CCGAAAGGCAGGGGCGTCGTCATGTATCAATGTGCGCCCCTGCGCTCATCGAAAAATTTGAGGACATTTGGCCTTTAAAAAGGCCACGAATTGTGGAATGTCATCCTACGTAATAAATAACGTTTAAAAAAATAAATTTATAATACGGAAATGCGCTACTATTAAAAATAGTTCGCGTATATAAGGGCCTGCTGGGACCTGTGAACTTTTATAGTAGAACCGCCCCGCCGAGTACGGCGGGGGGGTGTGTATTGAATGTAACAATGGAATGTTAAACTTGTGTACCGTTCGATACTTGGCCGGGGTTCGAAGGCGGCGCGGGTATGGTCTCTGGCACCGGCTCCGGAGCTGGTGCGCTGCGCTTATAACACCAAACACTTGTTAGTCCGATGCACTAGAGTTCACAACACTACACGATTGTCACTTGTAACTGTTCACATGCACTTGCACTCGCGACGCGAAATGCCGTGTACGCGAACGGACGGCCGTTTCATTCTGCAAGTTGTTCTCTACTTTTCTTCGTGTCCGATTGCGTATCCGGTGCAACCGGCGACGTGCTGAAGAACAAAGTCGTAACGAGCGTGTATGACAAAATTGATGAATGTGGAAGAAGCGAAAGAGGTTTGTTTGAATCGAAGCATTTGGCGTTCCATTGTTTCTGCCTACCCTAATGGGAGACAGGCGTGACAGATATGTATGTATGTATGTATGATAATAAATTATGCTATTTTTTTTTACAATTTTTAAAAAATCTTTTACAGAATAGAAACAATTATTAATTATATAGTCAAATAGTCTTCTTTTAAATTGTATGTCGGTCAAACTTTGTACATTTTTAGACAATTTATTTTGTGAAATTTGTTACGATGAGCTGACTGACTTACTTTCATCGTCACTTGTCATCTATCACTGGTGCCCCACCAGCGTATACCACTAGCAGAGACAGGGTACCATTCTTTAGTCATCCATAAAAAATAACCCTAAAAGCAGTACACTCCTTTTCTTGTACAGTCGAGTAATTAAACCACAGAATACGTATTCAATGGTTCAACTACTGCCTGTTATCATGACTTCATTGAGTCCATGATTCTATAAATAGTACAGTTATAAATATTTATTGTAAAGTAAACGTTCCTGCAGTGTTCACATAAGTGTAGTTAGCTGGGTGTTATTTTTAACAGTGAATTTTATGAGTTATTTTTTTCATAACTGGTATCGTTAAATAGTTTTATTTTTTCAATTTAGTAACGAGGTAAATATATATATTTACTTATATTATAATCTAGCCATCTGATAGTAGCTTAGTAGTTTGTATTCACACGAATTCGTTATTTATATAATTGATTTTTTTGAAAAAAGCAAGAAAACTCAAACAAGAAACTCAGCTATCTGAGTTTCTTGTTGAGGTTCTTCTTGGCTGAAATTGCGTACCGAATGGGCGGTAATGAAAAAGTTTCTATTTAAAAATGCTTTAATCTAAGTTTACTTGAATAAAAATGTTCCTTTTGTCTTCTTTCTTTCTATCTTTTTTTTATGCAACTTAGAATGGCAAACAAGCTGACGGCCCGGCTAATGGAAAGTGGTAACCGTCCCCTATAGACATGAGCAGTAGCATGGACATAACAGAGTATACTGTTTCGCCCGTAATACTCCCCATGCGTTGCCATTCCTGAGGACTCAGGTATTATTCCTCTGTACCCAGTAAATTCACTGTCATATCGCACCTATGTTTGCCACCACATTAGTTTCCCGAAATTTCGGGGCCGAAAGAAACACAAATTTGAGGTTATAATTACGTAATAAATAACGTATAAAAATAATAAAAATGTTAAAAATAGTTCCTTTGAACTTTTATAGTAGAATTTATGAAGAATAAAATGTTAAATTCCGTTCATTGGGTTTATTTCGGTGTCAACAAAAACACGAAATTGAGTTCGAAAATTCCGAATTTCATTCTGCGAACATTGCGGTCACGCAGACAAAGTCACGGGTAAAAGAAAGAAAGAAAGAATTCATGTTTCTAACGTGAAGCAGTTGTGTTTGCATGGCTGTGTTTCGGTTTGAAGGGTGGGATATGGCGTGAATTTACTGGGTACAGAGGAATAACACCTGAGTCCTCAGGAATGGCAACGCATGGGGGGTATCATGAGCGAAACAGTATACTCTGTTATGTCCATGGTACTGCTCATGTCTATAGGCGACGGCTACCACTTTCCATCAGGTGGGCCGTCAGCTTGTTTGCCATTATAAGTTGCATAAAAAAAAAAAAACGAGGGGTTTGGCCTTTTTACCCTCACCTATCACCCCTCACTGGTGCCCCGCCAGTGTATACTGATAGCGCAGGCGGGGTTACCATTCCATTATCATTCATTAAAAAAAAAACTCACTGTTACATCAATACATATAATAAAATCGTAACTGGACGCTGTCTGTACACGGAAGATATATAAGAAAAACTATTAGAGAGTGGCTTTATGAACGCAATAGAACGCAAAACAATAATTTTTAGAGATTTTGTCTGTTTGTCTGTACATTTGTGCATGCTAATCTCACAATCGGCTCAACCGATTTGGATGCGACTTTTACTATCATATTGCGGTTTGCGTCAATTAACATTTAGTGTTTGTGTTGTTTCAATTGGAACATAAATTTAAAAAAAAGTTATATTAATCTAAAGTATCGCTTATTAAACGCTATAAAATAACCGATCAGTTAAATTGGCTGAAATTTTTTTTATTACAGGTATTGATTTTTAAAAAAATTGTATACTCATGCAAAGCCGGATCGGATCGCTAGTTTTTTTTTTTTACAATTTAATAAAAATAGAGATCTCTAAGTAAAATAACCATAACATAATCCAAAAATAAAAAAAATTTGATAAATTTGGCTATTAAAATAACAATAAAGAAAAATACTCATTTATCTCTCTATGTATCCATACTCATGTGAACCCAGGGCGGATCGCTAGTGTTAATAACATTTTTCTTTTCAGGAACAATATGAAATTTACCGTCGTCTTTACCACCATCTGCATCATTCTTCAAGCTAAGTTTTTGACCGCAGACGCAGTTGCTCCCTCCGAACTGGGCGTGCTTGAATCTGTTATGTTCATATTTGACATTGCGCTAGCGCCGTACTATTTACATGAGACTGATCCATATGGATGTGTCATTAACTGTGTTACAAAATGCACATCGGATCAACTAAACTATAATGGTATTTGCTTACCAAAAATGCCAGATGATGCGTTTAATGATTGATTACTTTAAAAAAACAACAATATCTCAATACACAATTTATTACTGTCTATACAAATCATTGACTTACAGTTTACCAATATTTGGTTACATGAATAAATGATTTAGTAAAATAAAAAAAAAATTGGTTCAGTAAAATGAGATTTTATAAATTTAGAGTAACGCTCACAGTTTCCACCAAAATTCGAATCGCAATACATCTGTAATATATATATATATATATATATATATATATATATATATATATATATATATATATATATATATATATATATATATATATATATATATACGAGCAACTTCATTATACTTTCATTGAATAGAACAATAAATATGAATTACTGGTGTCATATGTGATAATTCTGTTTCCATATAAATGTATAAATTTTATTTTATTTTGAAGTTATTCCTCTATAACCTGTAAATTCACTGACATACCTGCCTACCCTTCGAACCGAAACACAGCCATGCAAACACAACTGTTTCACGGTAGACACACGAATGGGAAAGAGATGCCCAAGAATACGACTTTTGTAAAACGTCTTGTTGCTCCTCTCCATCCGAAGGTTGCCTGGAAGAGATCGCTCTTAGCGATAAGGCCGCCCATTGTTTTCTCACTGTGATTATTTCTTGTAATTGTTTATATTTATAATAAGTTTACTGTTGTAATCTTTTGGAGAAAACAATAAAGTATATATATATATATATATATATATATATATATATATATATATATATATATATGTTGTGTGTGTGTGTGTGTGTGTGTGTGTGTATATATATATATATATATATATATATATATATATATATATATATATATATATATATATATATATATATATATATAATTAAAACAAATCAATAAATCAGTCGCAGTGAGTAATAATAAAATTATAATTACTGTGATGTTTATCAAGGGGTAGTAATTTAGAAATACACGTCTTATATTACAGAATAATATTTAATATATATATTTTATTAACATCGCTACAACATTCATTAAATACAGACATTATTATATATTAACATTCAAGTATAGTGAACACTCTATATAAACAACCTATCTAAAAGCAACATTTTTTATATTTTATTTATTCTACTCAGCTTAGTTAGTAAAAGAAATAAGTAAAAATATTTTCCACACGGTAAGTATTTTTATACTCCTTTTTCCCCTATAAGCAACTTTTTCCAATAAGAAACTTTTTTATTAAAATTGGTTCAAATGAGTTGCTTATATAGAGCGTTCACTGCATATTCATACAATGACCAATATCAAGATCAGAAGATTTAAATTTATATAAAAAACACGTTAGAGAGGAATTTCTGGCAAACTACGTTTGATTAGAGAGTAAAGAATCATGTTTAAATTGTTATTGATATATTTGTTTTCTTTATATTACACTATAAAATGGGTAATCTTAGTACCGACACCAGTCTCTCACGAAGATTGTTTATATTGTAACCTACGTAGCTGTAAATTTTATTATGTTGTTATTTTGTGAGAGAAATAAATATATATTTACATTTTACGTATTATAGGAATCACCCATAATTATTTATCACGAAAAATTATATGAAAAAGTTGACCTGTTTTTCCCCGACGCATTTGTAAGAAGACAGTCCATCTATGTACATACTCGTATATAATCAAAGTTTGTGTGTTACCATTCTTTGGAATTAAAATGTTAAATTAGTTAATAGGTTGATTGACAAAAATACTGAAATGAAATGCCAACAAAGTAATTTGTTAAATGAAATATATTTATAAAGCCATCACTGTTAGAAATTGACAGAGCAGAGACAATAGAAATGTTATGTCACAGACAGTCAGTCAAATTTTAATTTCTGACGAGTAACGTCAGAAATTAAAATTTTCAAAGCGCTCATACAGATCACATTATGTGTTTTTCATAAATATATAAAATTACAATATTTCTAAATGTTCATCTTCAAGCAAGCACTATTTCACTTGTGATGAAAAATTTTAAATCTTTACATTCAAGTTTCCAAACATTTTATAATAATTGAAATACTATTCATACTTATAATGTGTGAACCTAATTATTATTAAGCATATGATGAAATAAATCATCATCATCATCTTAGATAATGACTGAAATGATGATGATGATACGATATAAGATGTTGAAAAAATTGGCAGGCAATTTAGGTATAAAACTACTTAATAGAATGGACCATAACCAATAGCACCACAACCGCAGTTGCCAGTAATAGAGACGGAGCCACTAGCGGGCAGGACGCCTGAGAATTGCACAGCGCCAATCGCTGGCACTTGACCGGTCACGAGGGTGGAGCCAACGACTGGTACCTCGGCAAACACTTCCATCTTACCGTTGCCCACACCGCCGTAGCCAGTGTTGACCACAGGCACAGGAGGTGCAGGTAGACCGATAGCGCCAACGTTGGCCCCCGCGATACCAAGGCCTGCGCCAATACCGGCGCCTAATCCAGCCACGTTGTAACCAGCTTCCCATCCGTAAGGAGAGAGTCCACCTGCGCCGAGTCCAACTGCGCCGAGACCAACTCGTTCAACACCGATAGCCCCAACATTGGCACCGGCGAGTCCTAGACCGGTGGCTCCAAGACCAGCTGGGCCGTATCCGTATCCAGGGCCCCAGCCGGCGCCCTTTGCAAGTCCAAAGCCACGATCGGCACGTCCGACTTCCACAGAGTCAACTACAGTTGTTTTCTCGACAGCAACCTCGCGAGCTCCTGCATTGCCAACGTACTGGCTGTATACATTCTGAAAAAAATATACATATACCATTTATTTCTCTCTAGTTTTCCTATTGAAACCCTTGAAATAATTAAAACTTGATTCATTAGTGGCATGACATAGGTAATAGAATTTTATCATTCCCAATAAACTCTACTGATTTTGGTCTAAAAGTAGGTTGTTGATATTTTCTGGATTTAATCCCAGATGTGAACAGCTTACTATACTCCCCTATTCTTGTATCTGGTCGAGAGATTGGGTGGGTATTGTGCCATTTATATTGAATCACCATCAAACAGTATTTTTTTTACTTTACACTTTATTGCACCAAGTAAAAAAAATAAATACAGTAAATATTAATGGGAAGTGATACAAAAGGCGGCCTTATCGCTAAGCAATCTCTTCCAGACGACCATTGGGTAGAGGACATTGTAAAAAAGACAAATGGTAGCTGGCACACTATTATATAGATCGTATATAAACGTAGATATATATAATCAAATACATTTTAAGATAGGGCATTGCCCCTCATTCCTCCCCCCCCCCCCCAGCTACGACCATGAGTATTGCTATATATTGCTCACTCTTAATCATAAGGTACTTTGTGGTACCTGTGGCGCTGTTTATATCTATTGATGACGGTTATCATCAGGCATGATCATTACTCCATTAAGTATAGATTCGTAATTTTACTGTCATGCATGCATGATGCATATGCTGAGTCAATTTTTTGTATGCAACTTGTAATAGCAAACAAGTTGACAACCCACCTGATTGAAACCGTCGTCTATAGACATGAGCAGTACCATGAACATAAGGGAGTATACTGTTTCGTCCATAAAACCCCCCATTTGTTGCCATTCCTGAGGACTCAGGTGTTATTCCTCTGTACACAGTAAATTCACTACCATATCCCACCCTTCAAACCGAAACACAGCCATGCAAACACGACTGCTTTACGGTAGAAATATGAATGGGACAGAGGTGTCCAAGCAAACGACTTTTGTACAAAGTCTCCCTCTGGTAAGATTATTGTTCGACTTTAATATAATAATAACTGTGAACACAAATTATTTTCCTCTCTTATACTCATTTTATTATATGTTAACTACATTAAATAAAGTTAATTTATACCAAGAATTATAATTATATGTAAATGAAATATAACTGTATTCCTTATTCCTTTTTAACTTTAATTACATTCCTTAATATTTTAATTGATTTATTATTATTATTATATAATTTTGTAATGTTTTTCTTAAATTTCTTAACTTTTTAATGATACAAAAAATTTGAAATTAATTTATTGTAATTTTTGTTTTCAATATTCGCACGCTTGACCTAAGTAGATTTTGTAAGGTACTTTTAATTTATAACATATAATGTTTTATATGTTATAAATTAAATAATTATTATTATTCATTTACCCAAATTAGTCATAGAAAATAGGTATGTATATTTTTTTTTGAATTGAGAATAGCAAACAAGCTGAGTGCGCTGTGTACAGCTGCACAGTGCTGGTTTTCAGCCAGTCCCTCTTTTAACAAACATACAATAAAAATACAAATGGGTACAACTGCTATTTTATGTTAAAAGAATGTGCTTTTTATTTTATTTTTAATGCATAGAGGAACATATTATATAGGTAAATTATTTTAATTTAACTGAAATGGCAAACAAGCAGATGGCCCACCTGATGGAAAGTAGTAACCGTCGTTTATAGACTTGAACAGTACCATGAACCTCACAAAGTACACTGTATAGTACTGTACTGTACTGTATAGTCCATGATACACTTCAATCGTTGCCAATCCTAAGGACAAAGATTTTATGCCCTTGTACCTTGTAATTTTACCACCATATCCCACCCTTTAAACCGAAAATACAACTTCTTTAGAGCAGTAACATAAGTAAGACAGAGATGTCTATTTAGATAACTTTTGTGTAAAGTCTTCTTCTGGTAAATTATAATAAAAAAAAGTATTTAAAAACTTACTAACAAGAATGGATCCCAGTTATCTAAAAATAAATAAATAAATAAAATAAATAAATAAATAAAAAAAATATTACCTGGATCAGGCAAGCCTGGACGCAGAGCAAGAAGAAAGCGAAGGTAGACATATTTGTTTGTATTCAATGGAAAACTGACTCGAGAATGATATGCCATTATCAATTTGGCATTTATATACTATATGCAATTTAATCAAAATTACATAGATTAGACATTTACTAAATAGATTTTATCAAAGCATTGTACAATACCAAACAAAATGTACGTAACAAATGTACGCAACTTTTAAAACGGCAAGAATTTGTACGTGAGTATACTGCGTGTTGATAACAAACACTGTCGCTACGCTACGCTGTTGTCACTGATGTCTCGCAACATGATTACATGTTCGTATAAAAACTAAAGGGTTGCTGTTAAAATCATCATTGAGTGAATAGCACATCAATAACTACGAAACATGTCAGTCAAGACTATTGTCCTCTGCGCTCAAATCTTCGTGATTCAGGTAACTACCCAAAGTTTTCTTTCAAAAGTTTTTAATTGATGATAAAGGAATGGTTACCCCGCCTGCGCTGACAGTATACATTGGCGAGGCACCAGTGAGGGATGATAGATGAGAATGAAAAGGTAAATCAGTTAGTCCGTCGTGATGAATACACCAGGAATTCAGCACGATGACTTCCAGGCAGACCACGTGGAAGTCGACCTTACGGGGCGTATTGCTAGCAATGGGACTGATAGTCCGCATTACTAACAATCTCTTCTCCTCTCTTTCAAAAGTTATGCAAGAGGAACGGAAACCTCTGGTGACCAGAAGGCTGGCCTATACTTTGGTCAACGCATTTCCATTGCAAGGCACCCTACCAGCTGGCAGTGATCTCTAAGAATTTTTTTATTTTTAAATATTGTTTTTTTATTTTTTAATTACTTATCTCTAATTATAATATCATATTATATTATATAAAATTGTAATAGAAAGTTACAATATTAATTTAAGAAAATCATTAAAATATATTCAGCAAGAGGAGAGATTTCATGATTCAATCATCAGGAGTACTAAGTAATTTACAAAACTCTGGGAATTATGAACCATATGTCACAAACTGGCCGTGTGATCTTGGCATTAAATAGGCCATCCCTTTCTTTCCCGTACGTGTTGTAAGAGACGACTAAGGCAACTTAATGGTAGAGGGATGAGTAACAATGTCCCTCATAGCACATTTTTTTTCTTTTTTATTCAACTAGGATGGCAAACAAGTAAATAACTAAACTTGTGAAAAGTGGTATCATCCCAACAGTATCATTGACATAACAGAATATGCTCTTTCGCCTATAATACCCTCCATGCGTTGCCATTCCTGAGGACTAAGGTGTTACCTTGTAAGTCACTACCATACCCCACCCTTCAAACCAAAACACAACCATGCGAACGCAGCTCCTTCATGACTTTGGTACAAAGTCTCTCTCTGATAAAAGTCTACCTGAGTTAAACTGTACAAAACTCATTTACTTGGATACGTCTTTCTCATTCGTGTTTCTACCATGAAGCAATTACATTCGCATGGCTGTATTTCGGTTTGTAGTCCAAGCGTGGTAACTACCGGCGAAACTCCCCTTATGAGGAAGGCTTATGTTCAACAGTGGGCATTTAACAGCTGGAAAGATGATGATATCACAAATTACGACTCAGGTATATTGCATCATAACAGTAATAGAAAAAGATGATTCCTGTCTTATGGAATGTCTATGAAACATCTAGTCTCAAATTGGTGTGATCTGTCAGGTTTGAAATTTCAGAGCAAAGTGTACCTGTTTATAATTTTTGGACTTAATTATCTTGTCTTTCCAGTCGGTGCTTGGAAATCCAATTCTCAACAGAAATCTGCCATCAGCCATCTCTGGTGCTTCGGTAGTCGAAAGCACTGTCGCTGTTAGTAACAATGCAATTGGCGGTATAGGCTTGGCCAACACTGGTCTAATTGGTACCGGACTCGGCTTGACCAACGCTGGATTGATCGGCTCTGGAATCGGTTTGCCCAACGCTGGATTGATCGGCACTGGAGTTGGTTTGGCCAACACTGGAATTGTAGGCACGGGTTTGGCTGGCGTTGGATTGGCCAACCCCGCCTTAATCGGTAACGCCATACTGCCTGCTCCTGCCACTGGATTCCTCGACTTTGCCACAATTACCAAAAGAGACAATCTCCCCATCTTCAGCTACTCTCCAATCGCTCCAACTGGTCTTACTGTTGTGTCGGAGAACATTATCGAAGGACCTATGGTAATCGCTGGACAGCTGCCGTTCCTGAGCGCAGTGGCGTTCGAAGGTGCTCTGCCATCTGAAGGTGCAGGCGCTGCTGGCTGCGGCTGTGGTATCAGTGGCAACATTGGCATCCTCCACGAGAACTACGGACCTCTTGCACCCCCCGCTCTGGGAGGACTAGGCTATGCACCTGGAGCCGCCGTATTGTATTAAAAGGATTAATATTTTTCTGAGCTTTCCCTCAATAAATTTAATTTTGGTATCATCATAACTATTTTGTTTAATTTCAAGAAAATATTTAGAGAAACACATATTGGAGACAGCCCTACTAATAATAAAAACTGGGGGAAATAGATTGTTAGTAATGGAAACTGACAGGTTGGCCTCGTTACGGTCCCCCACAGAAACCATCGTTCTTAATTCCAGGTTAATTTCTCTCTATGGGCTAACTGACTTGCCTTTTCATCCTCACCTATTATCCCTCACTGGTGCCACGCCAGTGCAGTACATACCATTAACGCAGGCGAGGTAACCATTCCATTATTAGCCATTAAAAAAATGATGAACTAGCTAATTCTACTGTACCACGTCTTTGCAAGCTGATGATTAATTGCAAGCAACACTTGGATATTCACTTGGATATGGAAGGGGATTTCTATAGGAAAGAACTGCAGTTAATTAAATAGCAAAAGTTTATGTAAAATAATTATTTAATGAAATTAAAATCCTATGTTTTGTTTTTATGGTTGATAATGGAATGGGGTTACCCCCACCCGCGCTAACGGTACACATCGGCGGGGCACTAGTGAAAAATAATAGATGAGGACGAAGCAGGTCAATTAGCCCATCGTGACGAATTCAACAAGAATTATTCACGATGGTTTCCAAGGGGAACCACGTAAAGGTCGACCTGATCGGGTGTATTACTAGCAATGGGGCTGTCAAACTCCATTGCTAACAATAGCTTTCCCCCCACGATACCTGTGTTAAATACCTCGAGTGTAAGTACATTATTGTTGTGTGTATGGGCCGTGTGGTCCCGGCATAGAATTTTTTTAATGTGTATGGTATTGCTAACAATCCCTTCCCCCCCAAAGGCATAGAATAGGCCACCCACTCCTTTCCCATGGGTGTCGTAAGAATCGACTGAATTTCTCAGATCCGAGATAATAATGATATTATTCGTTATATTGTCATAATTTTCTTCATATAAGCATTGTACGCTGCCCCCATAAGCAGGGTTTTGCCAGTAGTTGCCACGCTTGGCAGATGGGTTGCAACTTCAGTTAGACCAACATCACCAAGATGTTTTAAGAGAGATGCTTTTTATTTTATATCACTGAGGTGGCAAACAAGCATACGGCCCACTTGATGGTAAGCAGTTACCATATAGCCTATGAACCCCTGCAATACCAGGGGTATTACGCGCGCGTTGCCGACCCTGAAGAAACCTCTTTACTCCCCTTTTTAAGGGAACCCCATGCTGTAGTCTCCTAAAAACCTCGGCAGAGAGCTCATTCCATAACCTGAGTGTTCGATGGAGAAAACATCTAAAAATGCTGCTGCTGGTGTCGACCATTCTTTGCCGGGAATACATGACTAAAATATACATAGGTATGATTATAAATTAATATACACAATAGGAGCCACAGACAGCCCTCTATGTCGAGGCTGTTTCGACGCTGAAGAAACGGCTGCTCACGTAATCCTGGAATGTGAGGCTGTGGCCCATCAACGTTTAGAAATCCTCGAAACGGTGAGGTCGCTCCGTGAGGCCTGTGAAGAACCCAGGAAGCTTCTGCGTTTTTGGGCGGAGCTAAGTTGGCTGTACTAGCCACGACTCACACGCACAACGGCCCAAATGAGAGGCTAAGCGCAGAAAACAGAGTCTTTCTCACATTCACACATTCACATTAATATACATATTCATATATTAGTATGTAAATCAAAAACTTCGTACCTCTTTTTTATCTTTTTTATTTAGAGGCTTTTATCCTATAAGGATATGTCAGTCTCATCATACCCAAATTTAAAAAAATACCTCGCATACTTAAAACATTGATACATAAATAAATAATACATAATATCTTAGTAGTCTATTTGATAAAGGGAATTATTGATACAAAAATATAGTAATTAAAGATTTTGCCATTCCGGAATGTGGTTCTGCGAGTATATTTGAAAATAAACCAATCTCCTGTCTATTGAGACTATATTTCTGTATCAATACTTCCCTTTGTGTTTTGTATTTCGTACATTCGGATATCATATGGTGAACATCATCCAATGTGTTACAAACATCACAGTTCGGATTATTAACTTTTTTCATAAGAAAAGCGAATTTTGCATTTGGATAATGTCCTGAGCGTAATCTGTAAGTTGTAACAACCTGTACCTCTTTTTACGAAATTTGCGTGAACGGAGGAGTATGAATTTTAGCATACTTATAATTTATATAGAAAAGGAGTGTAGAAAGCTAATTATTTTTTAAATTATGTATTAAAAAATACATTAAATCAGTAAAAAAAAAACATTATACACACTACCATGTATCTGACACTCACACACATATATACACTTTTGTTTATTGTTAAAGTCTATGGTCATATTGAGAATAGATTAATATTGCTTGTCTGTTAATATTATTTGTCTATACTCTTACTGAATGTCAAACGTAACCATAATAAATTCATTTATTAAAACATATGTTATGGTCGAATTTCGACCACGAAGCGACCACTAGTAATTATTAAAAAAACCCTCGTCAATCATTAAAAAATTTAAACATTTGTTTACACTTATTTTTTTATATACAACTTAGAATGGCAAACAAGCTGACGCCCCACCTGATGGAAAGTGGTGACCGTCGCCTATAGACATGAGCAGTACCATGGACATAACAGATATACTGTTTCGTCCATGATGCCTCCCATGCGTTGCCATTCCTGAGGACTCAGGTATTATTACTCTGTACCCTGTAAATTTACTGGCATATACCATCCTTCAAACCGAAACACAGCCATGCAAACACAACTGCTTCCCGGTTGAAACACGAATGGGAGAGAGGTACCCAAGCAAACGACTTTTGTACAAAGTCTCCCTCGAAGTTTCACTCCGATGTAAATTAAAGTATTTAATAAAAATAAAATGGTAACCGTCGCCTATAGATATGAACAGTACCATGGACATAACAGAGTATACTGTCTCGCCCATAATACCTCCCCCCCTACGTTGCCATTCCTGAGAGGACTCAAGTTATATCTTTGTACCCTGTGAATTCACTGCCATATACATACGTCCACCATTCAAACCGAAACACAGCCATGCAAACACAACTGCTTCACGGCAGAAACACGAATGGGACAGTATACATACAAATTGACATAATTTATAATAGAATAAGTACAAACTCAAATAAAAAGTTGTTTATATTTTGCATATGACCGTTATTTATTTTAGAAATTTATCGTTTTGATAAATTAGTACAGTTTGTTAGCATAACCGAGACCGCACCCACAGTTTCCAGAGATGGACACGGCGCCAGCAGCGGGCAGGATACCAGCGAATTCCACAGCGCCGAGGACTGGCACTTGGCCACCCAAGAAGGCGGTGCCCAAGACTGGGAGATCAGCAAAAGCTTCAACTACACCGTTTCCTACGCCACCGTAGCCAGTGTTGACCACAGGCACAGGAGGTGTAGGTAGACCGATGGCACCAATTTTGCCCCCCGCGATACCGTGACCGGCTGTACCAATAACGGCGCCGCCTAAGCCGTACCCAGCTTCCCATCCGTATGGAGGGAGTCCAGCTGCGCCGAGTCCAACTGCGCCGAGACCAACTCGTTCAACACCGATAGCCCCAACATTGGCACCGGCGAGTCCCAGGCCAGCTGGGCCGTATCCGTATCCAGGGCCCCAGCCGGCGCCCTTTGCAAGTCCATAGCCACGATCAACTTCCACAGAGTCAACTACAGTTGTTTTCTCGACAGCAACCTCGCGTGCTCCTCCCTTAGCCAGGTACTGACTGTATACATTCTGAAAAACATTATCAAATGATCCGTTAATTGTCCACTGCTGAAGATGCCTTCCCGGTAAAGGGCATTATGTTAGTAGTTACCACGCTTGGCAGGCGGGTTCACTACCGCAGTTAGGCTTTTAGTGATGTTTTAAGAGAGACGCTGCTGCCCATTCCTCGGCAATTAAGTTCCCTTAAGTACCTCTTACGACACCCACGGGATAGTAAGGGGAAAAATACATACTCCTTACGTTTTACGTAATTGAGAATGTCAAGCAAGCTTAAGGCACACCTGATGGAAATTAGTAACCCTTGAAGTAATTCATTAGGCAAAACTGTACCATTATGTAATAGCAAGAAATACACAGTTGAGGAGTATAAATGTTTAACTGTTTATCCCACGACAGCACGTCACCGTTTTTCAATGATTATGGCATTTCCGTTGTTTCATTTTAATGGATGTCAGATCCGACTGTCGGATATGTTTAGAATAGTTTTAAATGTTAACCTTATTAAGTTTCGGGAATACAATGACTTTATATTGCAATACATTGCATTGGTATGATCTAGAATCTGACCAATGAGATGTATTTCAATATTTTTATTAAAGACAAAATATACGAGTGACTTGAGATATCTTTCCTTTTCAAAGGCACTAAAAAAAAATATTGTAATAAAAATTGTACCTGGATCAGGCAAGCCTGGATGCAGAGCAGCAAGAAAGCGAAGGTGGACATATTTGTTTGTATTCAATGGAAGATTGACTCCGGAATGATTTTCAATTATCAATTTGACATTTATATACCATTCGTTTGGAAAGCATCGCGTTGCGTACATTTGCAGACATTTAATAAAATCAACTTTATCAAAACATTGGGCAATAACGAACAAAATATTTGTAACACCTTTGAAAACTGTAACGTTTTGTACGTGAGTATATGTATGATGATAAAAAAATATATGTTAGTAATATGTCGAAACTTGATTACAGTTTTGTATAAAAAGTAATGGTTTGGTGTTAAAATCATCATTGAGTGAATTGCACATCAATAACTTAAAAAAATGGCAGTCAAGACTATTGTTCTTTGCGCTCAGTTTTTCGTAATCCAGGTAAAAACATTTTTTTTTAAAGTTTAACAATTAATATAGAAGTAGAATATTCAAAACAAGCAAACTGCAGTAGCAGTGACCAACTATGTACTATTATGAAACTCGTAACTCATGGGGTATGTACATAAGTTCTATGTAGAGCGAAGACCACAAATGTACTTCTGGGAGTCAATTTATGCAGGTGACCTAGTACCTTTTAGGAGTCTAGTGATGATCAACCAGGTGTGATCTGTCAAGTCTGAAATTCCAGAGCAAAATGTACCTGTTTATAATTTTTGGACTTAATCAAAACTTTGTCTTTTCAGTCGGTGCTTGGAAACCCAATCCTTAACAGAAACCTGCCATCAGCCATCTCTGGTATAAGCGGTACTACGGTGGTCGAAAACACCGTCGCTGTTAATAACAATGCTATTGGCGGTAAAGGTTTGATCAACAATGGTCTAATTGGTTCTGGACTCGGATTGGCTAACACTGGATTAATCGGCTCTGGAGTCGGTTTAGCCAACGCTGGATTGATCGGTTCTGGAATCGGTTTGGCCAACACTGGAATTGTAGGCACTGGTTTGGCTGGCGTCGGATTAGCTAACCCTGCCTTAATCGGTAGCACCATACTGCCTGCCCCTGCCCCTGGATTCCTCGACTTTGCCACAATCACCGCCAGAGACAATCTCCCCATCTTCAGCTTCTCTCCCCTCGCTCCAACTGGTCTCACTGTTGTGTCGGAGAACATCATCGAAGGACCTATGGCAATCGCTGGACAGTTGCCGTTCCTGAGCGCTGTAGCGTTCGAAGGTGCTCTGCCGTCTGAAGGTGCGGGCGCTGCTGGCTGCGGCTGTGGCACCAGTGCTAACATTGGTATCATCAAGGAGAGCTATGAACCCCTCGTGCCCCCTGCTCTGGGTGGATTCAACTATGGAGCTGGATATCCTCTGGTCTATTAAAAGATTTCGTCTCAATCTTCTCAACTTTCTCAATAAATTTAATTCCTAATATCAGCATTATAATTTTGTTTTATTTCTCTAATAATGTGTATGGAAAAAAATGGTAGAAGGAATTTGATATTTAATGTAGTAAATTTAAACGGATCACTTTCGACTGACCCGTTCAAGTGATGCAGAGTAGGAGATGGATCGGACTGGAGAGATTAAAATGAAACGCTTACTTTTTTCTTTCTTGTTATCTTGAAGTTGGTTGCGGACTGAATGCTTGCCTCGTTTTTTTTTTTCATACTATTTATTGCTATTAGCCTCAGATTCAGCTTTCAGCTTCATAGTATGAAAATAGGATGAATGCAGATGGCACTCTGAACCCGCAGAAGGAATTACGGACCAGTCTTTTGCCGTCTCCTGCCGACCGATTACGTCTTAATTATCATCTGAGGGCATATAATTAGCATCTCTGGCCGTCGTCTCTCGATCCCAACTTAAAGGAACCGGGTGTTCATTTAGAGTCGGCTAATGTACCAGAACTGAGCGCCCGGGAACTGAAACGTATAGTTGGGGTCTTCGCTTTCGCCGGCGAGGACGATGTCATCATACGTGTGTGTGATAACGTAATTGGAGCAGGACGAAGGAGGGATAAGGGTATTTGCGGTAGTGATGGAGTCATCGAATTCGTCGAAAACATGCCCCGGGCGGCATTATTGTGGCAATACATCTCTCCTCGGTACGTAGTCTACTATGCTGACTATGAGTGGGTTGGGGTTCGATTGGGAGGAGTTAAAGTAGCGTTTTGATGTTTCTTTTATGAAATGGTAGGAAGTTTGAGATTCAATGGAGGTCTGCACTGCGAACGAACTATAACGGCTCGTCGCAAGAATTTATTTTGCGATATTTGGAATTTTTTGAGAAGGGCGAGTGTCGCATGAGCGAATAAAGGACTGACGTATGTGAGTATGGGCCTCACGCAAGTTTTATATAATGTCAATTTATTATTAAGCGACATTCTAATGTGCATGTTAACGAAGGGATATAGCCGTCCGAGAACGTAGACGGCTCTGTCGCGGATGCGTTTTATGTGAGGTCGAAACGTTAGTTGACTGTCTAAACTGACACCTAGATATTTGACAATGCACCACCGACAAAACCATTCGCCCAATACGTTTACAGCTTTTCGTAGCCGAGTGGCGACGATGTCTTTTTTTTAATGGGTGATAATGGAGTAGTCGCCCTACTCGTGCTATTAGTATACACCGGCAGGGCACCAGTAAAGGATGATAGGTGAGAATGAAGCAGGTCAGTTAGTCCATCGTGACGAATTCAACAATAATTGTTCACGATGGTTTCCAGGGGGAAGCACGTGGAGGTCCAATGTACTCACATTGTAAATTTCTTGTGTGTTAAATAAATAAATAAAATAAAATATATACACAAAAACAAATAAAATAGGGCAGAAGAATACCTACGACTGAAGCAAAAAGTACAAGAAATAAAAATATATATTAAAAATTAAAAATATATATTAAAAAGCAAAAGAAAAGAATAAAGAGAAAAAAAGAAAGTTATTAAAAAAAATGTGTTGCAAGTATTTTAGGAAATCAACCCATAATTTATATTTAAAGGTGGATTTATTTTTAATAGATCTAATGTCGATAGGCAATGAATTTCAGTGTTTAATGGCCAGAGTGGCAAAGGAATAAGAAATAAACCTAGTGTGAAGACTCTAATCCCTTCGTATGTTATTTTTATAACCAATTCTTTCACTTTACATTCTTCACAATTCTGGGCCGCGCTCCTTGACTACAGTACTTAAAGAGACTTCCATCTAAACTGCAATACTAGAAAAGGTGCTTGCTTCTACAGTTTACCTGTGCACGTTGTCTTATACGTAAAAAATTAGTACTCAATAAAGTTTTTTTATGTCGTGTAAAGGCAATAGGCAATAGGCTTTCCTTTCCTTTTCTGTGGGCGTCGTAAGAGGCGACTTATGGTCGAGGAATGGGCAGTAGAGTATCTCTTAAAATATCACTAAAGCCTAACTGCGGTTGCCAATTCACCTGCCAAGCGTGGCAACTACTGGCAAAACTCCCCGTGAGGGGAAGGCTTATGTTCAGCAGTGGACAGTTAACGACTGAAATAATAATAAAAATAAACTTTTTTTTATACCACGATTTTGACATTTATCCATTTTTTTTTTTTTTTACAACACAGGGGGCAAACGAGCATGCGGCTCACTTGATGATAAGTGACTACCGCCGCCCATGATCACCCACAACACCAGCGACATTGCAGGTGTGCTGCCGGCCTTTTAAAAAGAATATGCTCTTTTCTTGAAAGTTATGTTGTCGTATCGGTTCGGAAATACTGCTGCTGGAAGTTTATTCCAAAGAGTGGTTGTGCGTGGAAGAAAGTGCCTTGAAAACGCATGATGTCCAGATGGTTGGGATGAAATTTTTATGTTTTAGTTTATGGCGGGTAGTACGGTGGTGAAAATCAGCAGCAGGTATCAATCCGAACTCCCCATGGTAAATTCGGTAGAAGATGCACAGAGATGCAACATCTCTACGCAGTTTCAGTGGGTCGAGTCGGACAGTTATCCATTTTAAAATACTAGAGGTTTTCATGTTCAGTATTAAATGGATTCTCTTTCTACCTTCGGAGTCGTCAGTCCCATCTACCGTCGTCTTCGAAATCAAAACAAGTAATAGTGTAGGCAATAGTTCATATCAATATATATGTATATATGTATGTATATATATGTGTATATAGGCATGTATGTATATGTAAATGTTTGTAAAAAAATCTACAATATATATGTGAAGCAAAAACTCTGCACACGAAAATTGCGCGGACTGAGTAGTATGAAATTTGGCACACTTATAGTTTATACAGAGAAGGAGTGCAGAATGATAATTTTTTTATAAAACCAAATTATGCGTAAAAGAAAAAATTAAATCAATAATAAACATTACACACACTTCCATGTATTTGACACATACACGCATATATACTCTTTTGTTTATTGTTAAAGTCTGCGGTCAAATCGAGAATAGATTAATATTGCTTGTCTGTTAATATTATTTGTCCATACTCTTACTGAATGTCAAACGTGACCATAATGAATCATTTATTACAATATATGTTATGGTCGAATTTCGATCACGGGGCGACCACTAGTGCTATAATTATATATTTATTTTATAAATGTATGCATATTATGCATTAATTCATTATATTTGTATATATGTGTAATTTACAATATTACACATGTACAAAATATTACAATTATATTAACAATTACACAAAAATATAAATTATTTAATTATTTAAACTGCCATCCATTATCTTTGCAAATCCTTTAAGGTTGATTTATAAAGAATGCTTGCAGCATTACGAGTAAGTCAGCATATTGTACCACATCTTATTGGTTAATAATTTTTTTTATACCACTGAGGTGGCAAACAAGCATACGGCCCACCTGATGGTAAGCGGTTACCGTAGCCTATGAACGCCTGCAATACCAGAGGAATTACGCGCGCGTTGCCGACCCTGAAGAAACCTCTTTACCCCCCTTTTGAAGAACCCCATGCTGTAGTCTCTTGGGAAAACCTCGGCAGGGAGCTCATTCCATAACCTGAGTGTTCGTGGGAGAAAGCATCTCTGAAACCGCGTTGTACGCGACCATTTAGGCTGTAAGGTATGGTAAGGTAATAAAATTTAAATCAATAAGTGAATATGTTACGAAATTAAACAAAAAGTTGCTTTTAAAATGCATATGATAGTCATTTATTTATTAAATTGTTCGTTTCGATAAATTAGTACAGTTTGTTAGTGTAACCGAGACCGCACCCACAGTTTCCAGAGATGGACACGGCGCCAGTAGCGGGCAGGATACCAGCGAATTCCACAGCGCCGAGCACTGGCACTTGGCCTCCCAGGAGAGCGGTGCCAAAGACTGGGAGATCAGCAAAAGCTTCAACCACACCGTTTCCCACGCCACCGTAGCCAGTGTTGACCACAGGCACAGGAGGTGCAGGTAGACCGATGGCGCCAATTTTGGCGGGGCCTAAACCAGCAACGCCATAAGCAGCTTCCCACCCATATCCACCGAGCCCAGTTGCGCCGAGACCAACTCGTTCAACACCGATAGCTTCAATATTGGCACCGGCGAGTCCCAGGCCAGCTGGACCGTATCCGTATCCAGGGCCCCAGCCGTATCCAGGAGCCAAACCAGCCTTTGCAATTCCATAGCCACGATCGGCACGTTCAACTTCCACGGTGTCAACTACAGTTGTTTTTTCGACAGCGACCTCGCGAGCTCCTGTATTCGCTAAGTAATTACTGCATACATTCTAAAAAAAAAAAAAAACAAATATACAAACTCTTCTATACAATTGTAAATGGGATTATAATAGTCAGATACACCTTAACCGACCGAAGAAACAATAGTGAGGCAAGTGGATGACGTTCCACGTTTAAGTTCGGGTTTGGTGGGTGATCTTGATTTTCACAAGAAATTAGGATTATAGGAAGAATAAATAACCTGTTTCTAGGGAAGTATGGAGGCTTGTGGATAACCGATATAGCCATCAAAAAAGGCACGCTAAAAAGGCTTGTATGTTAGTAGGTCCTGCTAACATTATTATGTAAGTATGCATTGCCTCTTAAATTTCTTAAATCGCTCTTAGCTTTTAGACCGTCCATTGTTTTCTTGTAATTGTTTGTATTTATAAGTTCACTATTATAATCTTATAGAGGAAACAATAAAGATATCTATTATTCTCCCGTATAAAAAAGATTTTGCTAGTAGTCGCCATGCTTGGCAAGCGAGTTGACAACCGCAGTTAGACTTTAGTGATATTTTAAGAGAGATTTTGCTGCCTATCTCTCCACCAATTAGTTCCCTTAATAGCCTCTTACCAACTTAACACTTAAGTAGTCCTAACCGATTCCACACGGCACCCACACGGCAGTAGGTCTTGCTATAGAAAGAAGTTTAATCAAGTATCCAATACACGGTGGAAAAGATGTTAGAAACTAACCTTTTTTGTTTTTTTTTTTTACATTACACTAGCTCTTGCTCGCCTTCATCTGTGGTATGATCATTGACCGATATAAAAAGTAGCCTATATTCTTTTCCATCCAATATAGAATGTAAAATACCAAATTTCTTGTTTATTTGCGAAGTCATTAAGATATCAAGAGGTCATAAAGAAACTAATTTTCACATTTGTATAAGTAAGGATTATTCTGTCTATTATTCCAGTGGTCAGGTTTTGAGTTTACATTCTCAAATAAAAGCAAATATTTAATCTAGTAATTTTTTATGCAACTTAGAATGGCAAACAAGCTGACGGCCAACCTGATGGAAAGTGGTAACCGTCACCTATAGACATGAGCAGTACCATGGACATAACAGACTATACTGTTTTGCCCATGATATCCCCCAAGCGTTGCCATTCCTGAGGACTCAGGTGTTATTCCTCTGTACCCTGTAAAATCACTGCCTTATATAACCCTTCAAACCGGAACAAAGCATAACACAATACAAATATATACAAGAAACTTAAAGAGTAAATTATAATAAAAGCAGTACCTGAATCAGGCAAGCCTGGATGCAAAGCAGTAAGAAAGCGAAGGTAGACATATTTGTTTGTATTCAATGGAAAACTGACTCCAGAATGATTTGAAACCATCAGGACGTTCTTTATATACTAGTTGAAATAAGTTATCTACATATGTATTTGCTAAGTCACTTTATCAAATATTGTGAAACGGACTAAAAGTAATGTAACAATTATCACAGAGTTTTAAAATTATAACACAATACGTGTTCAAAGGTTTATTGATAAGTAATATATGTTAGTAATGCCTTGCAAATTGATTATAAATTGCTATAAATACACAGAAGTCTATCGCAGTATCATTATATTGAGTGGATACATCAATAATATAGAAAAATGGCAGTCAAAACTATTGTCCTCTGCGCTCAGGTCCTTCTCGTTCAGGTAATTTAATAATCTTTTACTAAACAATTTTTACAAGTCTTCATCTTGCATTAACACGAAGGAAAGAGAAGAGCTCATGCGCCACTTTAACTTAAATAAATTTAACGTTGGTCTTATTCAATCTCTGTTAGCTGAACTTAAACCAGAAATTTTTGAACATCTCTGTAAGTTATTGATGCCATTTAATTCTTCTTTTTCCGCGTCTAGTGAAAGTAGATACAGTTTTGTTTGAGAAATCAGTTCAGGGTACAATAGGACTGATATAGCTGAAGAAGATAAAAGCCCTTAAAATAATAATATAAAAAAAAATAAAAAAAATTGTTCATTTAGTGTTGCTCCTAATTTTTTACTAGAATTTCGCAAACTTTAAATTCTGGTGAAAATATAAGAATCAATACTCGATATTGTAATATTTTCAGAGCAGTCATGGCCATGAGATAATAAGTATTTATATACTTTGTTAAGAGTATTAATAGGATTTAATATTCTTTTAATTATTAATAATAGTAAAATATAAAAAATATTACAAGCTTTCACTTCAACTTGCAATGTTCAGAATATATATTGAAAGCTAAATTACATCAAGTATCTCTTAACAAACTTTGCTAATATACTGCATAAACCTTTAGTTGCAGTGGAATTATAGAATACAATTTTTAGTATGGTATTTATTTTCTAATTTGAAGCCACAAGATAACAGACCACATTGTCAAAGCATATTTTGAAAACTGTTTTTAAACAGTCTTGACAAAGATTATTCCAAATTTTGTTTTTTCAGTCGGTGTTTGGAAAAACGATCTACAATGGAAACCTACCGTTACCCTTCTCTAGTGCAAGCGGTGCTACGGTGGTCGAAAACACCGTCACTGTTAGTAACAATGCAATTGGCGGTATAGGCTTGGCCAACAATGGTCTATTGGGTACTGGACTCGGCTTGACCAACGCTGGATTAATCGGCTCTGGAGTCGGCTTGGCCAACACTGGATTGATCGGCTCTGGAATTGGTTTGGCCAATACTGGATTAATTGGCTCTGGAGTCGGTTTGGCCAACACTGGAATTGTAGGCACTGGAGTCGGTTTGGCCAACACTGGATTGATCGGTAACGCCATACTGCCTACTCCCGCCCCTGGATTCCTCGACTTTGCCACAATCACCGCTAGAGACAATCTCCCCGTCTTCAGCTTCTCTCCCATTGCACCAACTGGTATCACTGTTGTGTCGGAGAACATCATCGAAGGACCAATAACAGTCGCTGGACAGTTACCGTTCCTGAGCGCTGTAGCGTTCGAAGGTGCTCTGCCGTCTGAAGGCGCGGGCGCTGCTGGTTGCGGTTGCGGCAATGGTAACATTGGCATCATCAGCGAGAGCTATGAGCCTATTCCCCCTGCTCTGGGTGGACTCGGTTATGGTAAAGGACTTGGGCTTGGAGCCGGTTACGGTCCTGTAGCTGGACGCCTGGCTTATTAAATTAATTCACCACGATCTGAGCATTACAATAATAAATAAATTTGATTCTGCAATCAATGACTCTTTATTTTATTTTCTTATAATTGATAATGTAAATAATTTGGATACTCAGGGACCCATCTAGAAACTAACCTCTTTATTCTTAAAAACTAAAACATTCTACTATTTCAAATTAGGAATATAAAGTAAGAGATAAAACCAACAATAAATAAAATAAAACAATAGATAAAATAGATTTATGAGAAGTTTAACGTTTTTGTGAACAAGGGGGTAAGGTAAGTAATTCTTTTCATTTATGATCTTAAAAAATTAAAAGAGGTTCAAAAAATAAATTTTACATCAAACAGATCGTTACATGTATAAAAGGGTATTTACTGATTTATGTCTCACTACAGATTGCTTGATACTCGTAAATTCTAAGGTATAGTCAGGGCAGCTGCCAATGATTCTTTTTAATGGAGAGCTTCCTGAACCCCAATGATGATAGGCGAGGGTGTTCAATCCCTAATCTAATTTAATGGGTGTTTAAAATGTGCACTAAGTAGTTCTATAAGTATTTATTATTATGGCTAATACAAAAGTATTATATTTTAAAATAAGACTTTAAGCAAATTCTGCACGAGGTTTCCCTGGAAATTATCATGGTTAATTCTTGAATTAATCACTATGGGCTAACTGGCTTGCCTTCATCCTTACCTATCTTCCGTCACTGGCCCCCGCCAGTGTATACCGATAGTGCAGGCGGGGCTCCCATTCCATCGTCACTCATTAAAAAAAATCGTCCGTCTGCAGTCAAATATAGTTAACTGCGTTTGCAAGGCTATTTTTCAGCCTAAAGGTTGGACAGTACTTTGGATATAACATCAAATTGGGAACAGTGTATAACATCTTTGTTTTTTTTTACTGTTGATGGGTCACGCGATTGATCACGATCTCAAATCAAATCAAATCAAATCATATTTATTCGCTTGCTACATGGTACAATAAGAAGTTACATACATATACAGGCACATAACATGCAGCACCCCGCAGAATCAAATGTTAAAATGGTTTTGTCTACATTATATTCAATTATAAAGTCCAAACATTTTCCAAATTGTAGTTTAGTTTTTAGATCAAAATTAATGCTTTTGTCACGATTGAAGTTGATATTTTTGTGGAAGACAATCTTGAATTATATAATATGTAATAATGTATTATATTATGTCTCCATATTTAGAAATAATAGAATTTTCATCGTGCCTCCGATCAAACTGTTTATAATTACTCCTCTCCATCCTAAGGTTTTCTGGAAGAGATCACTTTTAGCGATAAGGTCGCCCTTTGTTTTCTCATTCTGATTATTTCTTGTAATTGTTTATATTTATAAATAAGTTTACTATTGTAATCTTTTGGAGGAAACAATAAACAATATCTATCTATCTATCTATATTATGCACGAAAATTATAATATTAGACAACGATCAATGTTTGGATAAAGTGCAGAAGCGGTCATAAACCTTTTTTTAAATGAATGTTTCTTGATGTGGACAGAGTGCGCTTTCCAAAGTCGTGTTTCTAATATTCGTCTTACCGATGCTAAAAAATGATTTTTTTAAGCAGAATGCTTGCATCGTATTCTCGATCATTACAACAAAACTACTGTAGACGACAAAGGAAACCAGGAATGGACATGGGAAATATATGTATATTGGCGAAAGGAACTTAGAAGACTAGGACCGTGAAGGGAAGCCAAAAGGGAACAATAGAGACGCGTGTCAATTTCGAATTTGGTAAATAATAATATAAAAACTATAAATACTAAATGTGGCCTTATACTCCACAACTGCTATCACCCCGGTGGAAATATTTTGTAATTCTGTTTTACCATTAGGTCCATTTTGTCTCAATTGGGTTTTTGAAGGGCATATAGTATTATATGTAATTTCCACAATTTTACATTTTTTATTATTGACACAGGCAGCACTATCTATTTATCTGACAATTTTATTTAGAAACATCTGACCTTAATTGCCGTTCTAATAAGAAACGAACGAGCAATATTCGTTTCCCGACAGAAGTTATAGATGCCGCCATTTTTTTTAATATAAAACATATAACTAAAACCTTCTCGTACTGTTTACGGGAACGAGATTAGGGGTCAAAACTTCCCATCAACAAAGCTAAAGACCTTAAACTATCGAAATAGTGTGTATAGTAATAAAAGTGAGTATACTCATTGGCTGTGTAGTCCCGGCATATAATTGGCCACCCCTTCCTTTTCCATAGATGTCGTAAAAGCCGACTAAGGGAGGAGGAGGAATGGGCAGCAGCGTCCCGTTTAAAACATCTCTAAAGCATGACTGTGGTTGCCAATCCGCACACCAAGCATGGCAACTGCTGTCAAAACCCTCCATGGGGGAGGCTTATGTTCAGCTGTGAACAGTTAAAAACTGATATGATGATACTAATCAGCAAGATTAGAGTTAAAAATCTTTGCCCACACTAGTTGGGGTCTAGCAAGAAGAATCACCGGTGATTACCCTAATCGTATCTTAGAACTTACAAATACAAATCGACCTGCACTGTAATCGTTAAACTTCATTACCCAGCAAGTCGGCAACCTCTCTAATTACTTCTTTTAGCAGACCATGGCAATTCCATTCAGTGCCAATGATAGCCAAATTCCCTTTTAAACACTACAAAAAAAAAGTTTTTTTACTACTAAAAACTTTCTTTACTATTAATTAATAATTTAGGTAGAACTATTCACAGTGTTAGTTCTAGGGTGGTTTTTTGAATAGTCAAATTATTTATAGAACGAGTTAATTAATGAAATATAAAACAAAGTGTTATTGCTTGCAGAATAGATTTTATTTAGGCAACGTTCAAATTGCAGTGAAAAAGTTTACAGAGCTAGGCGTCCGGGTCCATAACCATAGCCGGCTCCAAGCCCAAGTCCTGGACCGTAACCGAGTCCACCCAGAGCAGGGGGAATGAGAGGTTCATAGCTCTCGCTGATGATGCCAATGTTACCATTGCCGCAGCCGCAGCCAGCAGCGCCCGCGCCTTCAGTCGGCAGAGCACCTTCGAACGCTACAGCGCTTAGGAAAGGCAGCTGTCCAGCGACTGCCATAGGTCCTTCGATGATGTTCTCCGACACAACAGTGAGACCAGTTGGAGCGAGAGGAGAGAAGCTGAAGATGGGTAGATTGTCTCTGGCGGTGATTGTGGCAAAGTCGAGGAATCCAGGGGCGGGAGCAGGCAGTATGGCATTACCGATTAAGGCAGGGTTGGCCAATCCGACGCCAGCCAAACCAGTGCCTACAATTCCAGTGTTGGCCAAACCGACTCCAGAGCCGATCAACCCAGCGTTAGTCAAGCCGAGTCCAGTACCAATTAGACCATTACTGGCCAAGCCTCTACCGCCAATTGCATTGTTACTAACAGCGACGGTGCTTTCGACCACCTTAGTACCGCTTACGCCAGAAATGGCTGACGGCAGTTTTCTGTTGAGAGTTGGGTTTCCAAGCACCGACTGAAAAAACAAAATTTAAATCAGCATTTTTTATACTCATTTAGATGTATGAATACAATAACAAAATCTCAAGTTATTTTTTTAAAAACGAGCTAATAAGGATGTGATCTACCATTTTGAAGCAGAGGCGATTATTATCAGAATTAAAGGTTTGAGCATTTAAGCAAAATTTAGAAGCGACTTGTTTCATTCAGTTTTCAAGATTTGTTCTAAACGATAGTTGCTAACGCACCTTTTATATTTTATTTATTTATATATTATTTATATTTTATAAATTTATTTTATTCATTTATTTACACTTTATTGCATAATTTAGAAAATAATAAATATAATTAATTTTAATAAGAAGTTATACAAAAGGCAGCCTTATCGCTAAGTAGATTTCTTCCAGACAATTTTGAGTAGAGAACATTGACAAAAAAGACAAAGGGCAGTTGGCGCACTATTATATACTAATATGTACACACGTATAAACAAATATAAACATACATAAACATACACATACTTAATACCACACATACAACAGGAGAGAATGAAATTGGAAGATTAAGAGAGAACACGAGAAAATAGTACTTAAAGGGAGAGATAATAGATCCAGAAGTTTTGAAGCTAGCGAAAGATTTGGCGCAACGAATAAAGCAGGTTTACTGTTTATCTTAAAAGTTGATTGGTAAAGAATGCTACTAGCATTAAGTCTGCCAGTTGTGTCATAATTTTTTTGTTAACAAACTTATTTTAATTATTAAAAAAAAATGAACAAACCTCACAAGCTAAAGTAAAGGCTTGTAAAAGTTCCTATATTTTCTAATTTTACAATTAAAAGAATAAAAAATTACCTGAACGAGAAGGACCTGAGCGCAGAGGACAATGGTTTTGACCGCCATTTTACTTTATTGATGTATCCACACAATAATGTGTATATGAAAACGACCACTGCGTATTTATAGCAATTCGTAATCAATTTACAAGACGTTACTAATATATATTCTTTATCAATACAACTTTGAACAGGTACTATGTGTTATAGTTTTAAAACTCTATGATAAATTATTGTTACATTGTCTTTGGTCCTTTTCACAATATTGATAAGGTCGCTTAGCAAATACATATGTGGATAACGTATTTCAACTAGTATATATAGGACGAACTCATTCTTTTATTACCATTCCGGAGTCAGTGTTCCATCGAATACAAACAAAGATGTCTACCTTCGCTTTCTTGCTGCTTTGCATCCAGGCTTGCCTGATCCAGGTAATACTTTTTATAGTAGTTTACTTTTTAAATGCCTTCCTAAAGGAGAAGTGTCTAAGAGGGAATGTTATAATAATTAAAATGTAATGAGATCTTGGGATCAATTAAATATTCATACTTTTCAACAGTTTTTTTTTTTATACAACTTTGAATGGCAAACAAGCTGACGGCCCACCTGATAGAAAGTGGTAACCGTCGCCTATAGACATGAGCAGTACCATGGACATAACAGAGTATGCTGTTTCGCCCATGACACCTCCCATGCGTTGCCATTCCTGAGGACTCAAGTGTTATTCCTCTGTACCCAGTAAATTCACGCTATATCCTACATTTCAAACCGAAACACAGCCATGCAAACACAACTGTTTCACGGTTGAAACACCAATGGAACAGAGGTGCCCAAGCAATTGACTTTTGTACAAAGTCTCCCTCTGGTTTAGATTTGCTTAATGAAACAGTGATCAGGTGTGCCTTAAGCTTACTTAGGATTCTTAGTTGCATAAAAATAATCATCGTCATTATAGCAGCTATTAAATATCCACTGCTGAACATTAGCCTCCCCCATAAAGGAAGGTTTTCCCAGTAGTTGCTACGAGAAATGGGCAGGCAAGTCTGCAATCGTAGTTAAGCTTTGATAATATTTTAGGAGACTGCTGCTACCCAATTCTCGATCATTAAGTAATAATATAAATAAAAATAATCGATATGTGTTTTTCAGAATGTATACAGTCAGTACCTGGGTAAGGGAGGAGCACGCGAGGTTGCTGTCGAGAAAACAACTGTAGTTGACTCTGTGGAAGTTGATCGTGGCTATGGACTTGCAAAGGGCGCCGGCTGGGGCCCTGGATACGGATACGGCCCAGCTGGCCTGGGACTCGCCGGTGCCAATATTGGGGCTATCGGTGTTGAACGAGTTGGTCTCGGCCCAGTTGGACTCGGCGCAGTTGGACTCCCTCCATACGGATGGGAAGCTGAGTACGGCTTAGGCGGCGCCGTTATTGGCACAGCCGGTCACGGTATCGCAGGGGCCAAAATTGGCGCCATCGGTCTACCTGCACCTCCTGTGCCTGTGGTCAACACTGGCTACGGCGGTGTGGGCAATGGTGTATTCGAAGTGTTTGCTGAGATGCCAGCCTTCGGCACTTCCTTCGTGGGCGGCCAAGTGCCAGTCCTCGGTGCTGTGGAATTCGCTGGTATCCTGCCCGCTTCTGGCGCCGTTACCATCACCGGAAACTGTGGATGCGGTGGAATCGCTAACAAACTTTATTAATATTATTAAAACAATTTTTTTTTTAAATAAAGGATGATCACATGAAATTATAACCAACTTATTGTTTGATTCCATAAAATACATTTTCAATCTATACATATATTATCAATTAGCTGACCCCGCGAATTTCGTACCGCCTAACAGTCAATTTTTTAATTTTTAGTTTTTTTAATACTTATTCTGCTATTCGGAACGCCGAGTCAGCTAGTAATATAAAAAAAGTAACTTAATATGTCAACGATTACATTATGTCAAAAAATAAAAATTATAAAACACGCCGTGCCACGTCACTCAATTGTTTTGATCCCTGGAACATCTCCACTAATACTTGAACTTTATAGTATGGTATTAAAGTTTAAATTGACTTTTAAATATTATTAAATCCAATCGTTTGTATGGATTGTTATGGATGAAGAATGATGGGAGTATAGAAAAGTGTTGTTTTAAGACTTTTTCAGGTATTTTTTTAAAATTTTCTCTCCGTAAGAACCATTCTCGTACTTCAAGGAATTAGCAAAAAAAAAAGTATTAGGGAAATCGATTTATTTGTTCTCAGTGAAGATTTGCGCTTAGCAACACATTCAGCAATTCATTTTTATAATAATATAAGTTTTTTCTGTAATGTATAAAAATTACGTAGAATTTGTACAAAATTCATGTAATGTAGATAGGTTAAAGGCGTCTATTACATAGACGCCTTTACTCCTTTACTTTTAGGTACTCGTTTATTTGCTGTCAAATGTAGTTAGCTGAGCTGGTACGGCTGATTTACAGTCTCAAGGTTGGATTGGATATGGCAGTGATTTTTATTTATTTATTTCTTATCGCATTCCGTAATTTAATTAGTACATAACATTCCAATTATGGACCCTGTTGGGCACAACAAGTAGGAGAGAGGAGGACAACACTTTTTTCACTTTCGAAATAGTCTAAGGTTTTACAGGAATATTCTATGATACCCGTGAAACTGGTTATATCTATAGGTGATAGTTACCACTAAACATTTTATCACGCATAAAAATTTTTTGAAGGATAGTTTAACCGGAAGTCTCTTGATGTTATCAGGGAGCACGTTTCAGAGTCGTAAAGTATATAAAGCGAAAGAATTATATATGAAAATAATACAGTGGGATCGGGATAGAAAGTTGGAGAGTTGATTATGTATTTATTAATTCATTAATACATTTATGTGTATGTAAAAGGAGGGCTTAATGCTAAAAGCGTTCCCTTGCAGTCAACCTTAGGGAACTGTTAGAATACTCGAATGCGGTACTAGTAACAATTGATATATAATAGATACATTCTTAACTTTACATATATAAACAAATAAATATGTATAAATAACAAATATACTTATACATTACATTATTATTATTACATTATCAGAGGGAGACTTTGTACCAAAGTCGTTTGCTTGGACATCTCTGTCCCATTTGTGTTTCTACCGTGAAGCAGTTGCGTTTGCATGGCTGTGTTTCGGTTTGAAGGGTGCGATATGGTAGTGAATTTACAGGGAACAGAAGAATAACACCTAAGTCCTCAGGAATGGCAACACATGGAATATCATGGGCGAAACAGTATACTCTGTTATGTTTATGGTACTGCTCATATCTATAGGCGACGATTGCCACTTTCCATCAGATGGGCCGTCAGCTTGTTTGCCATTCTAAGTTTCATAAAAAACAAATTATTTGCCGGCATCGTATAGGCATCTAGCGTGGATTCATCCGTCTATCTATCCATCCACCATTTATATGTCGCAGTTCTTCCATTACGAAAGGTTGTGAGATCTCTTATTCAATAATGTATGCATACATTTATAAAATAAACATATGTATAATTATAGCACTAGTGGTCGGCCCGTGGTCGAAATTCCTAACATAAGTAATAAATGAATTTATTATGGTTATATTTGACATTCAGTAAGACTATAGACAAATAATATTAACAGACAAACAATATTAATCTATTCTCAATTTGACCACTGACTTTGACAATAAACAAAAGAGTATAGCGTGTATGTGTCAATTACGTAGGTGGTGTGTGTAATTTTCTTTTTTTTTTTTTATTGATTTAATGTATTTTAAATTGTAAAAATATTATTATTCCGCACTCCTTCTCTATATAAACTAGTTCTCATCTCCTTAATATGTTTATATGTCTGGTTAGCATACTTATTTCTTGCATACTTTTTGTGAACAATATTTATGTATTTTTATGTTTTTGTGTAGGCGTTTATATCTCCTATATTTAGAACTAACAAAATCTTTCATTGTGCCTCCCACCAAATTGTTTATAATTACTCCTCTCTATCCAAAGGTTGCCTGGAAGAGATCGCTCTTAGCGATAAGGTCGCCCATCGTTTTCTCATTGGGATTATTTCTTGTAATTGTTTATATTTATAATAAGTTTACTATTGTAATATTTTGGAGAAAACAATAAAGAGTATCTATCTATCTATAAGTGTGTCAAATTTCATCCTTCTCCGTCCGCGCAATTTTCGTAAAAAGGGGTACAAAGTTTTTGCTTCACGTAGTAATATATATATGTAAGTATTTTTTTTTATTTTTAATTAAGATATAGATATACTAGTATCGCTGTGACATTTTCTATCCTTCTTTTGAGATTGACTGAGAGAAAACGCCGTTAGCTTTTGAAGATTTTTAAAGGCTATATTACAAAAATCCATAATCAATAGAGTTGTTTTAATAATAAATGTAACGTTGCAACTTGAAATGACAACAAAAACTCATAGCCCAATCGGTGACAATCATCACAGTTATAATCATCACCTGCAGATTTGATCAACTTCATGGACATTACTGAATACATTACAACACTCAGGGTACCTCTTAAGTATTTTTATTCTTGAAAACTGAGATGTCAGACTTTTTTTAGGACTAGTATTAGTTATTTTTAGACATGAGCAGTACCATGGACATAACAGAGTATAATGTCTCGCCCATGATACCCCCCATGCGTTGCCATTCCTGAGAGGACTCAGGTGTTATATCTCTGTATCCTGTAAATTCACTGCCATATATGTCCACCATTAAAACCGAAACACAGCCATGCAAACACAACTGCTTCACGGCAGAAACACGAATGGGACAGTATACATACAAATTGACATAATTTATAATACAATAAGAACTCAAATAAAAAGTTGTTTACATTTTGCATATGACCGTTATTTATTTCAAAAATTTATCGTTTTGATAAATTAGTACAGTTTGTTAGCATAACCGAGACCGCACCCACAGTTTCCAGAGATGGACACGGCGCCAGTAGCGGGCAGGATACCAGCGAATTCCACAGCGCCGAGCACTGGCACTTGGCCGCCCAGGAGGGCGGTGCCGAAGACTGGGAGATCAGCAAAAGCTTCAACCACGCCGTTTCCCACGCCACCGTAGCCAGTGTTGACCACAGGCACAGGAGGTGCAGGTAGACCGATGGCGCCAATTTTGGCCCCCGCGATACCGTGACCGGCTGCGCCAATAACGGCGCCGCCTAAGCCGTACTCAGCTTCCCATCCGTATGGAGGGAGTCCAACTGCGCCGAGTCCAACTGGGCCGAGACCAACTCGTTCAACACCGATAGCCCCAACATTGGCACCGGCGAGTCCCAGGCCAGCTGGGCCGTATCCGTATCCAGGGCCCCAGCCGGCGCCCTTTGCAAGTCCATAGCCACGATCAACTTCCACAGAGTCAACTACAGTTGTTTTCTCGACAGCAACCTCGCGTGCTCCTCCTTTAGCCAGGTACTGACTGTATACATTCTGAAAAACATTATCAAATGATCCGTTAATTATCCACTGCTGAACAAAGATCTCCCTCATAAAGGGGGTATTGCCATTAATTGCCACGCTTGGCAGGCGGGTTGGCAACTTTTGGTAATGTTTTAAAAGGGATGCTGCTGCCCTATCCCTCGACCATTAAGTTCCCTCTATTACCTCTTATGACACCCATAGGAAAGAGGAAGAAAAAACACATACACATTATGTTTTGTGCAACTGGTAATACTTGGCAAGCTTAAGTTGCACCTGAAACGTTGTAGTTCAAGCTGAAAACAGTGCTCTATAAAACGCGCAATGTATAGAATATTATGTGCGCGCAATGTTCTATACACTGCGCATACACATGAATATACATTTGCACAAACGAATATCCATTTGCACAAACAAATATACATTTGCATACACAAATATACATTTGCATACACAAATATACATTTGCACACACAAATATACATTTGCACACACGAATATACATTTGCACAAACAAATATACATTTGCACACACAAATATACATTTGCACAAGCGAATATACATTTGCACACACAAATATACATTTGCACAAGCGAATATACATTTGCACACACGAATATACATTTGCACAAACAAATATACATTTGCACAAACTAATATACATTTGCACACACGAATATACATTTGCACACACCTGTATATTTTTAAATTCAGAAATGGAACACACTTTTTTTTAATACTATTGTTTTTATTTGTTTTGTTTTTATTTTGTATGCTGCTGTGCTAGTCGCATGATTCTTTGAATAAATTATTTCTTTCTTTTTTTTTTGATGGAAATTTGAAGTAATATAATATGAAAAAGGTGGGATATGCCAGTGAATTTACAGGAATAACACCTGAGTCCTCAGGAATGGCAACACATGGGAGGTATCATGGGCGAAACAGTATAGTCTGTTATCTCTATGGTACTGCTCATGTCTATAAGCGACGGTTACAACTTTCCATCAGGTGGGCCGTCAGCTTGTTCGCCATTATAAGTTGCATAAAAACTCGCCATTTTTCAATAATTGTGACATATCCGTTCATTCATTTTAAAGTAGAGATCAGAATATGGGATATGTCTAGAATAGTTTTAAATGTTAGCCTTATTAATTATTCGGGAATTCAATGCTTTATATTGCAATACATTGCATTGATATAAGATCTAGAATTTGAACAATAAGATGAATTTAATAACTTTATTATTAAACTAAACACAAAATATACGAATGAATTGAAACATCTCTCCTTTTTGAAGGTACTTAAAAAATTTATAAAAAATATTACCTGGATCAGGCAAGCCTGGATGCAAAGCAGCAAGAAAGCGAAAGTAGACATATTTGTTTATATCCAATGGAACACTGACTCCAGAATGATTTGAAACCATCAGTTGATCCTTTATATACTGTTTGAAATACGTTATCCACATATGTATTTGCTAAGTCACCTTATCAAATATTGTGAAACGGACCAAAAGAAATGTAACAATTATCACAGAGTTTTAAAACTATAACACAATACGTGTTCAAAAGTATATTGATAAGTAATATATGTTAGTAATGCCTTGTAAATTGATTACAAATTGGTATAAATACCCTGAAGTCTGTCTCAGTACCATCATATTGATTGGATACATCAATAACTTAGAAAAATGGCAGTCAAAACCATTGTCCTCTGCGCTCAGGTCCTTCTCATTCAGGTAATTTTGTATTATTTTTCAAATATTTTTTTACATGTCTTTACTTGCAATGTTTGTTCATTTGTTGTTGCTCTTATTTTTTTTTTATTTTGCAAACCTTCATATTTGGTGAAAATATAATAATCAATACTCGATATTGTAATATTTTCAAAACAGTCATCGCCATACTATAAAAGATATTAATATACTTTGTTAATGATTTAAAGTATAGATAACGATAAAATAAATGACAAGAAATATTACAAAATGCCAAAAGCTCCCTTAGTCGCCTCTTACGACACTCACGGGAAAGGAAAGGGTGGCCCATTCTATGTCAAGACCTAGCGACCTAGCTTATGGTGGAGGGATGGAAACACGTCCCTCCAAAATGTGTAAAAGCCTATCTATAGTTGCCAACCGTGCCAAACGTGACAACTACTGGCAAAACTCCCTTTATGGGGAAGGCTTATCTTCAAAAGTGGACAGTTAACGGCCGAAATAATAATAATAAAATATAATAATAATTACAAAATGGTCTCAGCTAAATATGTATTTGGTAGAGCAACAGCTTTTTCAACAATAACAGTAAATATAAATTATATTAAGAAATAGACAGTCAAAATTGATTGCAATATACATTGATTTTTAAAAAATATAGTAACAGACAGATTTGGTACAGATAGAATATAGATTAACCTAAACTTTGTCTTTTGTAGTCGGTGCTTGGAAACCCAACCCTCAACAGAAAACTGCCGTCAGCCATTTCTGGCGTAAGCGGTACAAAGGTGGTCGAAAGCACCGTCGCTGTTAGTAACAATGCAATTGGCGGTAAAGGTTTGATCAACAATGGGCTAATCGGTACCGGACTCGGCTTGACCAACGCTGGATTGATCGGCTCTGGTGTCGGTTTGGCCAACACTGGATTAATCGGCTCTGGCGTTGGATTGGCCAACCCTGCCTTAATCGGTAACGCCTTACTGCCTGCTCCCGCCCCTGGATTCCTCGACTTTGCCACAATCACCGCCAGAGACAATCTCCCCATCTTCAGCTTCTCTCCCATTGCTCCAACTGGTCTCACTGTTTTGTCGGAGAACATCATCGAAGGACCAATAACAGTCGCTGGACAGCTGCCATTCCTGAGCGCTGTAGCGTTCGAAGGTGCTCTGCCGTCTGAAGGTGCGGGCGCTGCTGGCTGCGGCTGCGGCAATGGTAACATTGGCATCATCAGCGAGAACTATGAGCTCATTCCCCCTGCTCTGGGTGGACTCGGCTATGGTAAAGGGCTTGGTCTTGGAGCCGGTTACGGTCCTGTAGCTGGACACCTAGCTTTTTAAACTAATTCACCACAACCTGAGAGTTGCCTGAATAAATTCATTTTTGCAATCAATTGTATATTATTTCTGAGTGTCTGTATGCCCTTCGAACATCTGATTGAGATCGGCTCTTTTCGGTGAAATAAATAAAACACTGCGCAAGGTTTTCACTTGGTACGATATCAGTCCTGTAATTGTTTATGCCTATTTTACTTAGGTTTTAAATTTAGAATTTTCCTACTATATTCGAACTCAGTAGGAGACCTTATTCATGAGGGCTGTTTACGACTATATCTCGAAAGGCACAAAAACGTATTTATATAAATTTAAATAATTACAATACAGTATAAGTTATGATAATCATTTTTCATACCAGTCTTCCCATATTTAACGTCAACAAGACATGTATAATATATTCTCGATAGTAAATCCTTGTTAAGGAAAGTGGCCAATTTAAATAGTAGTTATTTTAACATACGTGGAAACTAAAGTAGAAATATGAGACCTAGGCTGGGCCCAGGTTCTAGGTTCCATCGAACCGGAATTTACTGATCAGTTCAACAGTTCACAAAAATACTGTTACTGTTATTTTTTTTATGCAACTCAGAATGGCAAACAAGCTGATGGCTCACCTGATAGAAAATGGTAATCGTCGCCTATAGACATGAGCAGTACCATGGACATAATAGAGTATACTTTTTCACCCATGATAACTCCCATGCATTGCCATTCCTGAGGACTCAGGTGTTATTCCTCTGTAGCCAGTAAATTCACGCCATATCTCACCCTTCAAACCGAAACAGCCATGCAAACACAACTGCTTCATGGTAGAAATACGAATGGAACATCTGAGTCCTCAGGAATGGCGGGTAATGAACGCATGTGGGGTATCATGGGCGAAACAGTATACTCTGTTAAGTCTATGGTACTGCTCATGTCTATAGGCGACGGTTACCACTTTTCATCAGGTGGGCCGTCAGTTTGTTTGCCATTCTAAGTTGTATAAAAAAAAAAAGAAAAGATGCCTAAGTAAACGCCTTTTGTACAAAGTCTCCCTCTGTTACTGTTAATCACTTTTGCTCAGCTTTTAGTTCAATTGACGATCTTAATAGCATTTAACATTGAAGTTTAACCCAAAAATAACCTAATAACCATCTTCCGAAAGTTGTACTTTCATTCCCCGCACAATACAAACATTTATTTGTGAAAACGACTGTTTGTAAAGTTTGAGTATTTGGGCGACTAAGAGAACTTAATGATCAAGGGATAGCCAGCAGAGACCCTTTTAAAATATCACCAAAACTTAACTGCGATAGCCAACCAACCTGCCAAACGTGGCAACTACTGCCAAAACCCCCATTATGAGTAAGACGTGTGTTCATCAGTGAACATGAATAGTTAACGTCTGATATGATGATGATGAAATAGTCGGCAAGTGATGACATAATACTGTTACTGTTAATCACTTATCGTTCAGCTATAATACCAAGATCGTTAAACATGTTAGTACATGTTTAACGATCTTGGTATTCTAGTGGTTTGACATTAGAGTATTAAACCTAAAATGAGGAGGGCTTCGCCGTCTGATAATCATTGGTTCATTCACCGTGTACAAACATATATGTTTGTGAGTATATCTGCTTGTAAAGGTCTGGATATTTTTTACATATAATGCGTTTAACTTAAAATTTGGTGTTTTTTAACATGATCTGTCCTTAGATTGTATAGATGGAGTGTCTTCATACAATTGCTTCGAGAAAAGCTAGTCAATTTTCTCATACAGTTTTGCATGATAAATAATTATGAGTGATTACTTTTTAACTTCTCTATTTATTTTGTCCTGTAATTTTTAAATGATATGTATAATGTTTTAATACGCGAAAACTCATTTTATTTATTAAATATAACTGCGTCGAGGTACGTCGCGTGCATAAGTATATAAATGGGTGTATTAAATAACTAAACTACAAGGTCATCGATGACGATGGGTAACATAATCATCATCATCTGATGATTCATGATTTCAGCCATTATCCATCCACTGCTGGATATAGGCCTCCCCCATAGACTGTCATAAGGAACGGTCCTGTGCCACCTGCATCACTGCACACTGACTCTCTACAATGCATATGAGGTCGTCACTCCATCTAGTGGGGGTCGTTCTACACTGCGTTTGTACGGGGTCGTAGTCAAGAGTACTACGTACTCAAGAACCTTTCTTCCCCAATGGTTGTCGGTTCTTCGAGCTATGTGGCCAACCCATAACAACAACAACATAACATCTAATAACATATTATCTTAAAAAAATTATAATGACCTATTTTAGAGAAAAAAGGTTTAACATAGGTACATTTTAGTGTAAAAAGGTCCATTTAACTCTCCCTAAGTACTGAATTAATAATTCTATATTGATACCAACGGGTCTCATTCAAACGGCATCTAAAATCAGTAGACTCTCTATATCACGTAAATCCAAGCTTATTGTTTGTGTATGTTTCTCCATCTAAAACCTTTAAAATTATTCAAAATTATAAAAAATTGTCGAAATTGCTATTAAGTAAAAAAAATCCAGATCATTAAAATGAAACCATAAAATGTAATTTAAAATAATTTATTTGTTTAAATTTATTATATATATAATGTTAAAATTTAAGTAATATATCAGTACCAAACACCACCTTTAGGGCCTAAACCAGCGCCAACACCAATTCCAGATCCTACGCCAAGTCCACCCAGAGCTGGGGGAGCGATTGGTCCGTAACTCTCGCTGATAATGCCAACGTTGCCACTGCTACCACAGCCGCAGGCAGCAGTGCCCGCACCTTCAGTCGGCAGTGTACCTTCGAACGCCACAGCGCTCAAGAACGGCAGCTGTCCAGCAATGGCTACTGGTCCTTCAATGACGTTTTCCGAGACAACAGTAAGACCAGTTGGGATCATAGCAGAGTAGCTAGTGACGGGAAAAACATCTCCTATAGAGAATGAAGCTAGAGTGAGGTAATTAGTGTTGACCGGAGGTACAATAGCATTGCCAATAAGTCCAGTGGTGGCCAAGCCAATGTCAGATCCAATTATGCCAGCAGTAGTCAAACCAGTGTTGGCCAAGCCAATGCCAGATCCAACTATGCCAGTATTAGCTAAGCCGAGGCCAGAGTTTATCAAGCCATCGTTAATCCAACCTGCACCAATACCTGCGTTGTTATTAACAATAACGGTATTGTCGACTACCGAAGTACCACTAACAGCTGCTGTGGTAGATGGACGAATCCCTCCAAATGCCAACTGACTGAATGCACACTGTAAAAGAAAAACTTATCATGTTGCAATCGGATAGGAATATCTATATTATAATAGTAAAACCTACATAAAAAAGTACATTTTTCATCGCAAAAACATCGACTTCAATCGTGGTGAAACACGCAAATGAGCTACGAGACGTATCATAGATACATTAGATTAAATATTTATACATTAGATTAAATATTTCTATTATAAATATATTATAAATATTCTGTAAGAATCGCATATTTTCAAATATAAATTTAGATTTTACTTGGCATCAATCTGTTTTTTGGTCTGTTCTTAATTCACCTGTAGATATTATCTGCGGTTACATAATAACAAGATTATTTAAATAGATGATAATATAATTGTCAATGCCGCTTGTACAATTGATATATGTTGGGGTACCAATGATGTAGATAACTGGGAATCGGAGCCAGGTCAATTTACCCGTCGTGACGGAATCATCAGGAATTAACCAAGATGTTTTCCAGGGAGAGTCGGATGGAAGTTAACCTAACAGGAGATATGTATTAGTAGCATTAAGTTATGTAGTATCTTAATGATCAATCCCTTCTCCCAAAATAGATTAAATATATCTTTATAGCTTTTAACTGCCTCTTAGATTAAACTTTTTGAACAATAAAATCTATTAAAAATAAGATTTTATAGCGTTATCCGCCATATTGTAGCTCCGACCATTTTATAATGACATCGTATACTTTATCATTACATACTTTTCAAATTCTTTCATTTGATACCTATAGGATTAACAAAATATATACCATCCGCCATCTTGTAATGGCGGCCATTTCAAAAACATGACCATTATTAACTTATTATATTGTCCCTGCAACTAAAATCAATAAGGTGGAATCAGTTTTATTTCATCTCACAAGTTTTAATCTAAACCGACTAATAAATTTGGTAATTTGTAAAAATATTTTACCTGGGCCAAGAGAATTTGTGCAGAAATGAATACGATCAGCTTAGCGGCCATTTTGTTTTCTCTTTGAGGTTTAGCTATTGAATGGTTTTATCGTATCTCAAATTAGCTTTTATACTTCATTTTTCTTTCAAAATGTATCGTAATGACATAATTTAAACAAATGATTACAATTTGATAAATATTACGTAGAAAACAAAAGCAGTACGTGATTTTTTTTTGTATTTGTTATCAAATTATCATGTTGATTGATAACCCAATTCTTGTTACGGGTAACACTATTGACTCATATTTTTATCACGAATTTCATCATCATCATATCCATCGTTATCTATCCATTACTGATCACAGGTTTCCCCTATAGATTACCATAAGGAACAGCACTAAGCTACCTACATCCACAGAATTCCTGCAATGCATTTCCATTTAGTGTGAGATTTTTCTAGACTTTATTTGGCAGTACAGAGTGCCCACTTAAGAGCCTTTCTTGCCCATCGGTTGTCGGTTTTTTGAGCTATCTACACTGCTGAACATAAGCCTCCCCCTTGGGGGATTCTACCAGTAGTCATCACGCTCGGCAGGTGGATTGGAAACTGCAATTAGGCATTGGAGATGTTTTAAAAGGGATGCTGCTGCTCTCCTCCGACCCTCCTCCTCTGTTTCTTACGACACCCACGGGAAAGGAAGGAATGTTTCTCGTAAACCAGTTGTTTGTATGGCTGTATTTCGGTTTGAAAGATGGGATATGGCAGTAAATTTACAGGGTACAGAGGAATAACATCTAAGTCCTCAGGAATGGCAACGTATGGGGGTATCATGGGCGAAACAGTATACTCTGTTATGAACATGGTACTGCTCATGTTTGTTGTCGGTTATCACTTTCCATTAGGTGGACCATCAGCTTGTTTGTCATTTTCATAAAAAACAAGAATCGATTAACTTACATCAATGACAGGTAACAATACTTTTTCAACTTGATAATTATTATGCGTAATATTATTTGTACAAGCTCAAATCAAATTACATTGTAAATAAAACTACAGTGATGTAATTATGTTATAAATATTTCGATAAATCACACAATGTGTTACATAACGTCAATTTTGTTTAACTATAAAAATGGTTCGTTTTAACACATCGTATCAGTTTTTGTATTTCTAACGAAGCATAAAATGTCGTGTTTTACGGTACTCCTGGTTCTTTTCCAAGCTTGTTTTATCCAGGTATCTGTTTTATAAATTTTTTTACGTATAACGAGGTAATGTTAAATATACGGCCCGCCTGATAATCGGACTTGTATGAATATATTATTGTTAAGTATTATTGAAGACGCCATTTCTCGTCATCATCATCATCATCTCAGCCGTTAACTGCCGAACATAGGCCCTTGGGGGGTTTTGCCAATAATTGTCACGCTTGGCAAACGAGTTGACAACCGCAGTTACGCCTCGGTAATATTTTAAGATGATGACCTTCCACCGACCATTGTATTTCCTTAGTCGCTTCTTACGATACCCACTGGAAAGGAAATGACCGCTCATCCTATGCCGAGATCACACGGTCTTTTCTTGTAATTTTCTTTAAATATTCTTTTTCATTCTTTCTTGCATTAACAGGCATTACTGATAGGTCCCATAGTTATGTCTTGTTGATATTAATAAAAATTTCACTATTTCAGAATGCATTTAGTCAGTGTAATACAATTGGCGGATGTCCTAATATAGGAAGCAAAGATGTAAACCCTTTCGGACTAGGCTTGACAGGCCTGGGAGATTTTGGTGCTATAAGACACGGATTTGGTAATACACTTGGACTCGAAGTAAATACAGCTGGACTCGGAAATCTCGGTCTTGGATTTGATTCTAAAATAAATACTGCTAATCTACTCGGCACTACCGGCTTAGGAGAGCTCAATACAGTAGCACTAGGCGGAATAGATGTAGCTAAGTTTGGCTTTGGTAATACTGGAATTGGATCTTTTGGAGCTGCTGAGATCACTACTGCACCAGTAGCTGCCGTTAATGCCGGTCTTGGTTTTGACAACATTGGAATTGGTATCACTGAAGTTGGTTTTGCCAGCCATGGGATAGTACCTCCTGGTGCAGCATATGGTGGTACTGGAAACGGAGCTATAGGTGTCGGAGGTAATTTCCCAGTTACTGGCGTAACGTCCGTCAACGGCCAGGTACCGGTAATTGGTTTTGTAGAATTCAGCGGTGATATACCAGCCAGTGGTCTGATATTCGCGTCCGGAAACTGCGATTGCAATAATTATTACAAACTATATTAAATCCATTACTTTTGTTGACTTATAAATTTACTTTCAATAAATTGTTATAAAAATACAGATCATATTTTTATTTCTCATATCCACTCTTCTATTTATTTTAAGCAATATTATCCTTGATAACAGAAATATATCAAACCAAAATTTTTACAAGCTTTTATTTTACATAAATATTTATTAATTCTAGTAACAATTTAATATGCAGTACTCGATACTGTAATATTTTTTCACCATCACACCACTTGCTATCGACAGAGAATCCAACCTCACACCTTAGAACCAGAATAATCACGGACAATGCAGTTTCAGAGGAGCTTTCTCCAGCAATATGGTTGTAAAATGATCTTCTTGCCTAGGCTTTCCTTAGAGACAGTATGGGGTTCTTCAAAAAGGGCGTATTAAGTTTTCTTAAGGGTCTTGGCGACCGTACGCGTGATTTTCCTGGTGTTACAGGCGTCCATAGGCTACGGTAACCTCGTTTACCACGAGACGGGCCGTATGGTTGTTAGCCAACTTACTAGTATAAAAAATTCATAATGACCATCGCCACAAGATGGCGCACGAAGTAGTTTATCAGTCTTTTTAATATGCGTTTAAAATAAAAGAGCTCGAACAATAAAATAAATTAAATGACTTTATGTGCCTTAAATTATTCAAAATACTTTAAAACGAACTTGTCGTGAGTAGCTTAATAATCTATTAAAATCAATGTTTTACTGACAATATTACTGAATGGGGGAAAGGGATTGTTAGTAATGGAGACTGAGAATCCCATTGTTAGCAATATACCCAACCAGGTCGACCTCCTCGCGGTTCCGCCTGGAAATTATCATGGTTAATTCCTGATGAATTCATCATGATAGGCTAACTGGCCTATTTTCATTCTCATCTATCATCCTTCACTTGTGCTCCGCCAGCGTATCCCGTTAGCGTAGGCGAGGTTACTATTCCATTTTATTTTATTTATTTATTTAAATAAATAAAATAAAATAAAATAAATTTAAAAATAAAAAAAATCCATTTTTACCCATCAAAAAAATTACTAAATGCGTAAATAAGCAATGGCAGCGATGAAACATTAAAATGATACGACGACTGATCATCTAAACCCTAGGAGGATGAGGTTGGGGCCTCAGGGTGGACCCCTTTACTTCAGCATCAATTCTGGGGGCAACTACTCCTTGGTTACTGGAACTATGTCTAACGCTGAGAGTGCGGCGTAGTCTTAGGTGGTTGGTCACTAAACATAATTAGACAAGAAATACTAGATGGCGCTAGAATCGAGACTTTTGATTTCTATTGAATATTTTGTAATTAGTTACTTTGAAGTAAAATTTCTAAATTGGCAGGTAGTTTTTATTATTATATATAAATGTGAAGTGACAAATAATACGCGACTCTTTCCCGAATGAATTATAACCCACACAATCGCAATATTTTTATTATGTGTTTTTTTTTTCAAAGTTTTGTATTGTACCATACAAGAGAATAAAATCAAAAATTATGATAAATTATTAGTACGTTGGTAAAACATAAATAAAACCATTCGCCAACTTAAAAAAAATTGCCTTAAATTATCTGTAATTACAAACTAATCAGGGAAAACCACAAACCTCGAGTCTAGCGCCATCTAGTAAATCGTATCAAATTTTGTTTAATGATCAACCACCTTAATTGGTTTATTTTAATATTTTTTTTTTATTTTTTCTAATGTACGATAATAAACTATCTGATGGCTCACCAGATGAAAGTAGTAAATATCGCCTTTAAAACAAAATAGCACTGTGATCATCACAGAGTACTCTCTGATGCTCCTGATATCTTTCCAGCTACTATGAATTTCACATGAGAGGTTAATACAACGTAAAAGAAATCATGTGTTGCCATTCCTGAGGATAAAGGTGTTTCCGTGCCTGTAAATTCAAGTTAATTCCCAAACTAAAACATTGCCAATTTAGCACAAGGAACTACCTTCTGTGCTAAAAAAGGGATTTTATTAATGGGGCTTCATAACTTTATTGCTAGCAATATATTTTATCAGGTCGGCCAGTTTTGCTTATCCCTACCAACGTTTCCCAGCTGGGGGTAAGAGTGGAATTTTATTCCACTTATCTCTACTGGTAGAGATGAATGGAAATTTAAATTTACCAAAGGGAGACTTTGTACAAAAGTCTTTACTTGGGCACCTCAGTCCCATTCGTGTTTCTACCGTGAAGCAGTTGTGTTTGTATAACTGTGTTTCAGTTTGAAGGGTGGGATATGGCAGTGAATTTACTGGGTACAGAGGAATAACACCTGAGCCCTCAGGAATGGCAACACATGGGGGGTATCATGGGCGAAACAGTATACTCTGTTATGTCCATAGTACTATTCATGTCTATAGGCGACGGTTACCACTTTCCATCAGGTGGGCCGTCAGCTTGTTTGCTATTCTAAGTTGCATAAGAAAAATACTTGTTAATATAAAGCTGCCAGAATTCGTTCAGTGAATTATCAAGCATATACCAATAAGAGAAAGACGTTTATATTTTTGTCGAAATGAAATAAAATGAAACATTTATTTGCTTTAAACAAACATTTAACATAAAAAAGATCACGTAACAGAACTTTTTGGCATCTGTTTAATTGACTTAAAATTGTAGGCATGCGAAGTTAATGTATTAATTAAATAAATATATTATAGCACTAATGTTTGTGATTATTAAGATTAAAGAAACAATTTTTTTTTTGGGATTTTATTTGGAATTTGGAATTTGGGATTTTTGTTTTTTAACATGTCAATCCCATAAAATCTAAGCAAGTTATCTACTATTATAATTATAACTAAACAATACTACTTACTAATTCACTTAAGCACAAAGAAGTACCTAGGTCAGTTGTAAACCGAATTGGAAAGTTCTTTTTTTATTTGAAAGGATATATTTACAAATTGATCCTTAATTTTTTTTTCAAAATCGGTTGCGTGGTTTACTTTTTAAATTGGCCAGTTCCATTTGTTTGAAGTAAGTAGTTTTGCCATAATTGAAGTATTTTTTTTTTTATTTTTATGAAAGATATAGTTACGAATTGATCCATAATTTTTTTTTTCAAAATCGGTTGCGTGGTTTGGTTTTTAAATCGGCCAGTTCCAGCCATAACAATTCTTTTTAGAATTGATAGGGTTTACCTATTCCTGTTTTGTTTAAAAGTAATATTATGGTGATTAAAGCCTTAAAACGTCGGTCTTCTTTGTGGAGCAAAATTTTGGGTATTGCGAAGCACAACGTACAGTAATGTTTTTTTTATACAACTTAGAATGGCAAACAAGTTGACGACTAATGTGATGGAAAGTGATAACTTTCCCCTATAGACTTGAGCAGTGCCATGGACATAACAGAGTATACTGTTTCACCCACGATACCCCCCATGCGTTGCCATTCCTGAGGACTCAGGTGTTATTCCTCAGAACCCTGTAAATTAACGCCATATCTTCACGCGCTTCAAACCGAAATACAGCCATACAAACACAACTGCTTTACGGTTGAAACACGAATAGGACAGAGGTACCCAAGCAAACGACTTTTGTACAAAGTCTCCCTCTGGTAAGTACGTAAGGTATGTGTCAAGAAAGTGAAAAATAATGTTTATCCATTATGTTTTGCTTAATTGTACTATAATAGGTTACAATAAAAACGGGGGGGGGGGAAGAAGGGTTTGTTAGGAATGGAAATTAGTAATCTCATTGCTAGCAAATTACCCTGTTAAGTCGACCTCCGCCCTATTCTCCCAAGATACTATCGTGATTAATTTATTGTTGAATTCGTTACGATAGATTAACTGACATGCTTCATCATCATCTATCACCCTTCACTGTATCACATCGCCAGTGTATACCGATAGCGCAGGTGTGGCTACCATTCCATTATCATCCATTAAAAAAAAATAAAGACAATGAAAACTCAAAATACGATGCCAATTAATTTATTTATATTTAACATTTATTTAGTTGTGAAATCCATCTGTGGAATCAAAATTAGTAAACTTTTTTAGCGATTACTTTGTTATCGTAACCGAGACCGCACCCACAGTTTCCACTGATGGACACGGCGCCAGCAGCGGGCAGGATACCAGCGAATTCCACAGCGCCGAGCACTGGCACTTGGCCGCCCACGAGGGCGGTACCGGTGGCTGGCATCTCAGCAAACACTTCGATCACACCGTTGCCCATACCGCCGTAGCCAGTTTTGGCCACAGGTACATGAGGTGCAGGTAGGCCGATTGCGCCGAGACCAACTCGTTCAACACCGATGGCTCCAATATTGGCACCCGCGAGTCCTAGACCGGTGGCTCCCAAACCGTACCCGGCTTCCCATTCGTATCCACTGAGTCCAACTCGGTCAATTCCATATGGGCCAAGTCCAACTGGGCCGAGTCCAATCGGGCCAGGTCCAACTGGGCCAAGTCCAACTGGGCCGAGTCCAATCGGGCCATGTCCAACTGGGCCAAGTCCAACTGGGCCGAGTCCAACTGGGCCGAGTCCAACTGGGCCAAGTCCGCCATAACCACCAATTCCGTAAGAGTCCACGCTTACAGACTCAACTTCAACGGCAGCCACTTCACCGACTGCACCATATCCTGCTCCATAACCGAATCCGGGGCCATAGCCGAGTCCAGGGCCATATCCCAAACCAGGAGGAAGGCCTAGAGGGTTACTGTAAGCATTCTGAAAAGAATTTATAATAATAATAAAAATAGGTTCTTAAAATTTGCATAGTAATTATATTTATAATTTCATCATCGACTTTACAAGGAATTTTCTTCATTTGACCTAAAATCACCTTTCATTCTGTTTATATTTGATATCAGCCTTTACATCGTCATATTAGCCTTTAAGAGTTCGCTGCTGAACATAAGCCTCCTTGGGGGTTTTGCCAGTAGTTGCCATACTTAGCAGGCGAATTGGCAACCGCAGATAGACTGTGGTGATGTTTTAAGAAGAAAGATTTAATTGATCAAATGAATGTAAATTAAAAACTGCTCAACTGATTTTAAAAATTCTTTCACCTATAGAAAGCTACATTAGCAGCGAGTAAAACAGGCTTTATATTATTTTCGAAAACTCTATCTACCCGTATGAAGGCGAGCAAAAAAAATACAATTTACTTACTTGGATCAGGCAAGCCTGGATGCAAAGTAACAAGAAAGCGAAGGTGGACATAATTGTTGATATTCGAAGAAACAATTCCAGAATGAGTTTCCAAATTTCAAATACGGGTTTTTATAATGGAAATATTTTGTAATATTCCTTATCAATGCGTGCTGTACAATTTATTTCTTAGTTGAAACAATGTATAGTATGTCAAAATGTTCTAATAATTATTGATAAAGCATTAGGTCACTAGGGTTTTGGTTTTGTAAAAGATAACGAGTGTAAGCTATATATAGGAGGAGATATTTTAGAAGCACATTCAATTGTTCGTGGAAACTAGAGAAACAATGGCATCCAACACCATCTTCGTCCTGTGCACACAAGCGCTCATGATCCAGGTAAAATTTAAGACTATACGAGTATTTCACAAAAAAATGTGTTTCAATCGTGTCGAAATTCGTTATTTTGATTTAGAAACTCAACTACTGAACCGATTTAGATAAAATTTCTACGAGACCAATCTGAAAGTATGTCTTTTCGGATAGAAAAAGAATTTTCCAAATCGGTTTGTAACTGACGAAGTTATGAGGTAATAAAGATAAAAAACCGAATTGATAACATAATCTTTTTTTGAAGTCTTTCGAAAATAAAACATATGTTGTAAACGATAATCATATTGTACTATAAAATAATTTCCAACAATTTACATAATCTTTACTGTTGATTTTATGAAATTATTTTAGACTTTTACATGCTATTTTATACGCGTGACCGAGATATATTCATTGACCAGGACAGAAGTAGCCTTTAAGAATATCTACCATTAATTTTATCTTTAGCGATAGGGTTTCTGTCTTCCCGTTTTCTATCCTTTCTTCATTTTATATTATTATTTATTTCTATTATGCTACGATCACTACGATCCCATACTCAGAATAGAATAAGCCACCCTTTAATTGTCCGTGGGTATCGTAAGAAGCGACTAAGGGATAGCGGGAGATGGGTAGCAGCGTCCTTCTTTAAACATATCCAAAGTCTAACTGCAGTTGCCAATCCACCTGCCCAGCATGGTAACTACGGGTAAACTCTCCCTAGGGAGAGGCTTATGTTCACAGTGTATCATTATGACTGTGCTTATTAAAAATATTCAATGAATATAGTTACAACAGAAGTAAATCTGCCTGAGTTAAAATGCTATTGTTCCTGTTTAAATACAAAGAGATGAAAATTTTAATTTCATTTAGATAATATATTACTTTTTCAGTGCCTGTTTGGTCAACTAAACTACGCTGGAGCCAATCCTGCAGCTTATTCGTCGGGTGTCAGCAGTAATGTAGTGACTGAGAGCACAGTCACGGTCAGCAGTACTGCCGCAGGTGTGGGCAAAGCTGGGCCTGGTTTAACTGGTGTCGGATGGAACCACGCAGCCCCACTCAGCACTGGAGTGGCTGGCATTGGTCTGAACAATGTTGTCCCACTCAGAACTGGACTGGCCGGTGTTGGATTGAACAACGCTGGGTTACTTAACTCTGGTGTTGCTTTAGGAAACACTGCTTTGATTGGCAATACTATAGCCCCAGTCATCAGCCCCGAATACATTACTCTCGCTTCATTCTCTACCGGTGGCCTTTTCCCGGTCACCAGCTTCTCTTCCATCGTTCCAACTGGAATCACCGTTGTATCTGATAATATTATTGATGGATCGATAACAGTGTTTGGTCAACTACCTTTCTTAAGCGCTGTGGCTTTCGAAGGAGCATTACCGTCTGATGGTGCGTCAGCGGCTGGTTGCGGTTGTGGCATTACTGGTAACATTGGCATTATCAGTGAGAGTTATTCACCTATCGCTGGTCCCGGCGTCGCTGCGCCTGTTCCTGCTGGACTCGGTGTGGGAGCAGGTATCGGACTCGCTACAGGTGTTGCAACACCAAGACTCGGTTTAGGACCTAGCCACGGATTAGGTTTAAATAACGGTCTAGGCGCTCGTCTTTATTAAAAACAAATTAAGATCTGTCAATAAAATTTTTATATCAGTGATTGTATTTATTCTATTATCCAAATCTTTAACTGTATTTTGACGTTTTTCTACAATACCTTGAATAAATGAATGAATCTGTTTTAAACATTCCAACTACAGTGACTCTCTGACTTCAATGACTTTCTCTATATATGTGAAATCTTATATGACTGTATAGTTCATCTTGCATACATGCCACTAAGCATGTTTTTTAACCTTCCAATATAATAAACTAACTATAATTGTAGACGTAACACATTTAAATAAATATATGTGAAGTTATAATATGTTTATTTAAACTTTAATACACAACAAAATTCTATATAAATTTGGCGGACTTAACACCGGATGGTGTTCTCTACCAGTCGACCAGTGGGCGAACAGAGTAATAAGTAGGCGGTGCATTATTGAATAGAGGAAATATAAAGCAATACTTGATATATTCATATAATTAAACTAATATAAACATTCACATAATTTATTAAATAAATAAATATATACATATACTAAATACATACATAAATAAATACATAAAATATTACTATATAAAACAAATATCTGTAATAGAAGAGCAAATGGCAATCTATGACTCAAACAGAGCAAGTTTAAAAAAAAGGTGATTTTTAAGTAGATAATAGGCGCGCAATTTACGTTTAAAAGTCTTATGTTTTAATTAATTTATGTTTTTAATTAATTTATTTATGTATATATGTGTCAATAGAAATTTAAAAGACTAACTGTTGAGTTTCTTGCGAGTTCTTTTCAGCAGAGAACAACCTTCGAACCCTGTAGTAGTTTAAAAAAAATTACGCTCCCCTTTTCCGTGGGTATCGCAAGAGGCGATTAGGGAACATAATGGTCGAGGGATGGGCAGCAGCGTCCCTCTTAAAACCAAATCCTAGGGTGAGTTTTTTTACAACACAGGGAGCAAACGAACATTCGGCTCACCTGATGGTATATGACTACCACCGCCCATGATCACCCACAACACCAAAGGCATTGCAGATATGCTGTCGGCTGTAGGCTTGTCTCTTAAACTTTCTGTTTTGAGTGAGGCGAGATGCCGTGACGCAAGGCGTTTCGACTTCATCCGGTAGTCTTCTTCAAGAGACGCCCCTTGAAGAAGACTACCTGATGAAGTCGAAACAATCGTCATAAATAGCGAAAACACAATGAGTTCATTAATTTCCCATCATATATGTATAGAGACATCGGTTAAAATATAAACATAAATTTTAAAAATAATAATGACCTAGTTACCCATAAAAAGAGGTGGGCCACTGTCCACTGCTGAACATAAGCCTCCTCCTTGGGGGGGGGGGGGGGGCCCGGTTGGCAGGTGGATTGGTAACCGTGGTCTTTAGAGATGTTTTAAAAGGGACGCTGTTGTCCATCCGTCACCTTCCTTAATCGATTCTTACGACTCCCACGGGCATTGAAGGGGTGGCCTATTTTATGCCGGGACCAGATGGCCACGTTACTCAATCACAATCACGCTAAAATGAGTATGAATTTACTCACATGAATACTGATTTATCCTTACTAATATATCTAAATGTGAATGTGTGTTTGTTTGTTACCTTATATAGCTTTAATAGCTTAACCAATCACTGTAAAATTTGGTATACAAGTAAAACTATATTTTTTATGCAACTTAAAATAAAAAACAAGCTGAAGGCCCACCTGATGGAAAGTGGTAACTGTCACCTATAGACATGAGCAGTACCATGGACATAACAGAGTATACTGTTTCGCTCATGACCGACCTCCCATGTGTTGCCATTCCTGAGGACTCGAGTGTTGTGCTTCTATATGAGATGGAGAAAGGCATAAGCTACATTTTATCCCGACCAGTAAACATATCCCGGTCACACAAAGTCGCGGGTAAAAGCTAGTACTAACATATATCAATATGAGGGAAATAGTTACTGTACTAGTTTGTAATTTGCCACTATAAACCAACTTGCATACAACGCGGTTTTAGAGATGTTTTTTTCATACATACATACATACATATCCGTCACGCCTGTCTCCCATTAGGGTAGGCAGAAACAATGGAACGTCAAATGTTTCGATTCAAACAAACCTCTTTTGCTTCTTCCACATTCATCAATCTTTTCATACATTCTCGCCGGTTACGGGTACTTTTAATTTGGCCCTTCTTAAGCACGTCGCCTATTTGGTCAACATACGTCCGTCTAGGACGGCCCCTACCGACATTCATTCTTGCTCGATAAATCTCTTTTGTAATTCTTCTTTCATCCATCCTCTCCAAATGACCAAACCAACGCAACATTCCTTTTTCGATTTTTGTCACTACATCATTTCGTACATGTTTTCTTCCTGCTGAGGTTTTGCCAAAAGACTACAGCATGGGGTTCTTCAAAAGGTGGGTAAAGAGCTTTCGTCAGGGTCGGCAACGCGCGGGTAATACCCCTGAAATTGCAGGCGTTCAAAGGCTACGGTAGCCACATACCATCAGGTGGGCCGTATAATTGATTGCCACCTCAGTGGTATAAAAAAAACTCTTTGTTCTTCCTCAGTCACCACATTAGTACCCTACTATACAAACTCTAAAGAAAGGTGTTGGAAATATTTACATTAGTATTACTCATGTTTTTAATTCGGAGTTATCCAACTTTTTTGGGACTTGATAGGAGCCCTTGTTCCTACAAGGGCTCCTATTATTCAAAAGTCACCTGCTTGGGTAAATTGAGTAGTTTGGGTAGCCTATAGGACAGGATATGGCAGCGAAATTATAAAGTCTACAGGCGTAACTCTTTAAGGATATCGATACAGTATACTCTGTCGTATTTATGATGCTGTCCATGTGTTATGGCAACGATTACCACTTTCCATCAAACGCGCCGTCAGCTGTTAAATTATAATTCCTTAGTTTCATAAAAAAGTCCTTACTCATGAACACAGTTCATGGCTATGTCATAAGCAGAATAACAAACCATGAAGTTTTAAATTCACAATAGTTGCTAAAGTTCAAGCTGTGAAATGAACTTCCTGGCGAGGGTTTCCCTAGAGACTACAGTATGGGGTTTTCCAAAAGGAGTATAATAAGGTTCCTTCAGGGTTGGCATCGTGCATGTAACACCCCTGGTGTTGCAGGCGTCCATTGACTACAATAACCGTTTACCATCAGTTGGGCTACAGCCCATTTGCTTGCCAATTTTGTGGTATAAAAATATGGTATTTTTTTTATAAATATATACCTTTGGTAACCTGTTAAGGATTACAGGCGTCAGCATATTCATTGTTAGTATTAATTTATGCAACTTGATTACGGATGAGAAAATCTGATAACCATCGCTTACATACAAGATTAACATCGCGGAGATCATGCGATTAGAATGGCAAAGAAGCTGACGACCCACCCGATAGACATAAGCATTACCATGGATATAACAGAGTATACTGTTTCGCTCATGATACCTCCCAAGCGTTGCCATTCCTGAGGACTCAGCTGTTATTCCTCTGTACCCTGTAAATTCACTGCCATATCCCACACATCAAACCAAAACACAGCCATGCAAACACAACTGTTTCACGGTAAAAACACGAATGGGACAGAGGTCCCCAAGCAAACGACTTTTGTACAAAATCTCCCTCTGGTAAACAGTGGTTCGCTGGCAAAGATTATTATTATTATCATTTTCCTACCTTTATCCCAATTATTATTTAGGGTTAATATGTTTTGGTATGGTATATAGGAAAGGATTGAGGAAAAAAATAAAGGAACGTTGGAAATGCGTAAAGGAAATTGCTGAATAAGAGGAATAAAGGATTTATGTGGGAACGGGGAGAAAGATTGGAACACTACAGTTCATTTAAAGGCCGGAAAGCAATGCCGCTGGTGTTGTGGGTGAAGTCACTTACCATCAGGTGAGTTCTTGTGTTGTAAAAAAAAAAAAAAAAAAAGGCTGGGATCAAATACCCGTATGCTCTAATTCTAGAATCGGACAGATTTCTAGAGAAGGACACCCCTTCCGCTGGCAAAGATATAAGTATTATATTTCATTATAGGTTTAGCAACAAAAACACAAGAGAGCCAATCTCTCCATAATAATATACTAAGTCTACTACATAATACCATGCAAACCAGGCGGATTGGCATTGTTTTATTTCAAATTATTAATATATCAAAACAGGTTCATGAATATAAAAAAGAATTGTAACTGAATAAATATTTATTTATGTTTCTTATTTAATAGATTGTTTGAAGAATACGTCCAGCTCCTAAGCCTAATCCGCGACCGACTCCTAATCCGAGTCCAGTTTCTGTACGAAGTCCAGCTCCTGGAATGAGGCTAGCTCCCACGCCAAGTCCAGTAGCAGCCGGAGCGACGACAGCAGGTCCAGTGGCAGGCGTATAGCTCTCACTAATGATGCCAATATTACCAGCGCTGCCACAACCGCAGGCAGCCGTTGATGCACCTTCAGATGGCAACGTTCCTTCGAAAGCCACAGCGCTCAAGAAGGGCAGTTGACCAAATACTGCTATAGGTCCTTCAATAGTGTTTTCAGATACAATGGTAATTCCATTTGGAACGATTGAAGAGAAGCTGGTAACCGGGAAGGTGCCACCGGTAGAGAACGAAGCTAGAGAAAGGTAATCGGGGCCAATGACTGGGGCTACAGTGTTGCCAATCAAGGGAGCGTTTCCCAAAGCAATACCAGAGTTGAGTAATCCAGCGTTGTTCAATCCAATGCCGGCCAGTCCAGAGCCCAGTAATTCAGCATTGTTCAATCCAGTGCTGAGTGGTACTGCGTTGTTCCATCCAACACCAGCTAGACCAGGCCCAGCTTTGCCCACACTAGTAGCGGTGTTACTGCTGACCGTAACTGTGCTCTCAGTCACTACATTACTGCTGGCACCCGATGAATAAGCTGCAGGATTGGCTTCCGCGTAGTTTAGTTGGCCAAACATGGACTGAAAAATAATAAATTACTTTTAAATTTTATAATAATAAAGAGAAATTTTTTAAATTTAAAATTAGATATGACTTGTCACTTTATCTTAAATAAAGGTAGGTATTCTATTTATTTATAGTATATGTATCTATGTAACATTCCAATATATATTAATATGTCATTTAACTGTTTATTTGTATATTTGATTATATTTTAATTATTTATTCGTATTCGAAGTATTAATAGTTGTTTATATTAATAGTTGTTGCACTTTAGCTACCCGCTTCCGATATGCTTCCAACTGTATTAGGTTGACTGAAAAAGATCTCTGTCAGAGATAATTCCACCCTTGCTCACAATATTTATAAATAAATTAAAATTATAATTTAAGTGCAATAAAGAATATATAAATCAATTTCTTTTTACTTTACCTGGAGTAAAAGTGCGTGTGCGCACAGAACAAAGATGGTTTTGGCTGCCATTGTACAATTAGACAGTTTGATCGATGAATGTGCTGATACGAAACATTTCTTTCCTTTTATATTAAATTGTCAAGACTTATCGCTTTCATAATAAAAACCTAGTAACCAGTTTATTTCTTCTTTATCAGCAATTATTCAATAATGTTATAATAGGCCTATGATTTTTTAAGAATAATTATTGTAAAATAGTTACACTTAATTGTTGTATAATACAATGATAAAAAAATATATGTTTCCAATCATTTTAATTATAAAATAATTTGTTTTCTGTAGCAAACTTTGTTTTCGACATCCTTATATACTTGAAAAAGGTAATAACCCCTTAAAATTAAAAAAATAGAAAAGAAATTAGAAATATTTTTATTTTAAATACTATTTGACATGTTTCCTTTCGCCTTCTTGTTACTTTGTATCCGAGATTGGATGATCCAGGTTATTTTAACGTTATTGCACCTATATGTTATAAATTTAAAGTAAACTTCTGTTTTGTGCGCCAAATAAATTTAAATTAATAAACAAATAAATTTACTTCTGTGTATATTTTTTTAATAAATACCCGATAAGTTATTTTAGAAACTGTACTGGAGTGTTTCAATTCGAAACATGCTATATTCCTTTGCATTAATATTGTAGAAAAAATATTAAAAAACATTACAACAAAAAAAAAGAAAAATATTTCGATAAAGAAGAAATCGGATAATATGTATTTTTATTATATAAAAATTCGTGAAATAACATTATCTATCTAAATACTTGCGGACATAAATTAACTTTCTTCTTGAACTATCCAGTAGATTATGGTCCTTAATGCCAGGAGTGCATTCCTTCTGATAGAATAGAAATGAAGGACAGTATTTAATGTTCATTTTTGTTTGTTTAAAGCCACCTGATAGAAAGACCTTAGCAAAGGGAGACTATGTACAAAAGTCGATTGCTTGGCTACCTCTGTCCCATTCGTGTTTCCACCGTGAAGCAGCTGTGTTTGCATGGCTGTGTTTCGGTTTGAAGGGTGGGATATGGCGTGAATTTACTGGGTACGGAGGAATAACACCTGAGTCCTCAGGAATGGCAACGCATGGTGGCTATCATGGGTGAAACAGTAAACTCTGTTATGTCCATGGTACTGCTCATGTCTATAGGCGACGATTACTACTTTCCATCAGGTGGGCCGTCAGCTTGTTTGCCATTCTAAGTTGTATAAAAAAAAGAACAAGCGAATAGAGACTTTAACGCAGTGTAATATAATTGCCGTATAGTCCTGGCATAGAATAGGCCACCCCTTTCTTTCCTGTGGGTGTCGTAAGCGTCGACTAAGGGAGGGCGGGAGATAGACAGCAGCGTCCATCTTAAAACATATCTAAAGCCAGATTGCGGTTGCCAATCCACCTGCCAAGCGTGGCAACTAGTGGTAAAACCCCCCAAGCGGAGACTTATGTTCAGCAGTGGACAGTTAAAGGCTGGTATGATGATAAATATAGTCACTATTTGCTAGCTCTGTACGGCCTAGTCGGCCATCTTTTTTTCATGCAACTTAGAATAGCAAACAAAGTGACGGCTCACCTGATGGATTTGGCCAGTCTGCTGTGATTTCACACTTATCACTTCACTACTAACAGACGCAGCTGCTAATTTACAATTAAATCTGATCTCAGTGATTATTGACGATTTCATTTCGTGTGATTTATAGCAGTTTATACAAAGCAATGTAACAGTAGTGATTCATGATTTTACGTTGCGTATGATATTTCACTTATTACACGTGATTATGTTCCAAGCCCAAAATTCACAGTGAACATGGAAGAATACATTTTGACCCTCATATATGTGTTGCTATTCCTGAGGACTGTGTTGTTATACCATGCTAGTCAGTAATTTCACACATACACACAGACTTCCGTAATCTTATTCTCCAAGCAAACTCATTTCTCCCGTCTCTTTTAGTCATGTGAGCACAATTGCCTGCTTTCTATACAAACTGTCCCTCCCGTGTGGTCCCGGTATAGAATAGGCTCCCCTTTCCTTTCACGTGGATGTTGTAAGAAGCGACTAAAAGAGGGCGTGGGATGAGCTCATTACAATCCACAGCTTGGTAGTAATAAATAGTGACAATATGAGGGTGGCCGAAGAAATTCTCGGGATGCCAGAAGACATTGCTCAATTTATTATTTTACTATTTATCTGCAATTAGCTATGTGGTCCCGAGATGAAATAGGCTACTCCTTCCATTCCCGTGGATGTCGTAGGAGGAGACTAAAAGAGGGCGAGGAATGAGCAGCAGCGTCTTATAACATCTCCAGAGCCTAACTGCAGTTGCCAATCCGCCTGCCAAGCGTAGCAACTACTGGCAAAGCCCCCAAAAGCTACTTATGTTCAGTAGAGGACAGTTAAAGTCTGATATGATGATGATCATTCTAATAAACTGTTTATATACTATACACTTTACAGGTTATTAATTATAATTGATATTAATCCATTTTCCAATTATCCATCCTTCAGACTCAATGCGAACCTATATCTCTTATTAGTATAGTTTTCACCGTCATACAATCTTACCCTATAGATTTGTATAAATACAATAATTTTATTTTAATTACCTGAATCAAGCAAGCCATATCTAATATCGTCATAGTCGTAGAATACTGACGGATCTTTATACGTAATCTTTGTCAGATCCGTCAGTATTCTACGACTATGACGATATTATGGTGTTTCAATTCTAAAACTTTCAAATGTGAACTCACATTTTATAATCCAAAAAGGTGTATTTTATAATGTACAAAAGGTAGTCTTGTCGTTAAAGCTATCTCTTCCAGACAACCTTTGTGTAAAGGAGAACAGAGAAAGACGGTAGCTATTTGGTGCTAGAAGTGTATCTAATAAATACAGGCTCGTGTTAATAAAATATATACAAATAATAATAATATGCGTACATTTATATACATCTAAGTACTTAGTATATAGAATAATATATAAATAAATATATAAAATACATAACACATTTAGGTATGTTATATAATTTATGGCTAGGCTATTCCTAGAGACTACAATATTCTTACAGGGTTCTTTAAAAGGGGAGTAAAGTGGTTACTTCAGAGTCGGCAACGCGCGCGTATTGCAGGCGTTTATAGACTACGGTACCGTCAGGTGGGTCGTATGCTTGTTTGCCCCCGTTGTACTATAGTATATATATATATATATATATATATATATATATATATGTATACAATTATTTCAATACAATAATGAGACATGTCGGTATTATAGAGCAAAACGAGAAAAAAAGATAAAAAAATCAATTTATAATGACAAGTAGTGGGATTTAGTTAGGTTCTTGAATGTTACTTATGATTAATTTAATAGTTTATCACTATATTCTATAATAGTGATATGAATTTAGTAATAATAATTCTTAACAATTCATAGGTTTGTTATTAATTACATTAATTACTTTATTGTATAATTGCTGATAAATAACACTTAAGCTGGTTACTAGATTTTTATTATGAAAGCGATAAGTCCTGTCAATTATGGTAAGTATATAAGGGAAGTAATACTTCATATCATCACATTCAACAATCGAACTGTCTAATTGTACAATGGCAGCCAAAACCATCTTTGTTATGTGCGCACACGCACTTTTGCTCCAGGTAAAATAAATTCGTTTCCAATTTTAAATTTTCAAATTTTCCGCCTTTTATTATATTTTTTTTCTTAATATTTTTTTTTATTTTCCAGTCTGTGTTAGGTCAAATAAACTACGGTGGAGTTAACAGTAATGTAGTGACCGAAAGCACAGTGGCAGTCAGCAGCAGTACTGCCGCTGGTGTAGGCAACGCTGGAGCTGGTCTGGCTGGTATTGGATGGAACAACGCAGCCCCACTCGGCTCTGGATTGGCCGGTATTGGATTGAATAATGCTGAATTACTGGGCTCTGGACTGGCCGGCATTGGATTGAACAACGCTGGATTACTCAACTCTGGTGTTGCTTTGGGAAACGCTGCCTTGATTGGCAACACTGTAGCCCCAGTTATTGGCCCCGATTACCTTTCTCCAGCTTCGTTCTCTACCGGTGGCACCTTCCCGATTACCAGCTTCTCTTCGATCGTTCCAAATGGTATCACCGTCGTATCTGAAAACACTATTGAAGGACCTATAGCAGTATTTGGTCAATTGCCCTTCTTGAGCGCTGTGGCTTTCGAAGGAACGTTGCCATCTGAAGGTGCATCAACGGCTGCCTGCGGTTGCGGCAGCGCTGGTAATATTGGCATCATTAGTGAGAGCTATACACCTGCCACTGGACCTGCTGTCGTCGCTCCGGCTGCTACTGGACTTGGCGTGGGAGCTGGCCTCATTCCAGGAGCTGGACTTCGTGCAGAAACTGGACTCGGATTAGGAGTCGGACGTGGATTAGGCGTGGGTGCTGGTCGCATCCTTTAAATGACCAATAAATTAAGAACTGATGAATAAATTTTAATTAAGTTATTAATACATTCTTTCTATCTTCATAAACCCATTTACATAAGACAAGTGTCTAACAAAATGAGTCCATTCCCTTCATCCAAGTCCCTGTACCAGAGGGATACTTTTTACGAAAGTCATTTGCTTGAGCACCTCTGTCCCATTTGTGTTTCTACTGTGAACCAGTTGTGTTTGCATGGCTGTGTTTCGATTTGAAGGGTGGGATATGGCAGTGAATTTACAGAGTACGGAGTAATAACACCTGAGTCCTCAGGAATAACAACGCATAAGGGGTATCATAGACGAAACAGTATACTCTGTTATGTCCATGGTACTACTTATGCTTATAGGCGACGATTACCACTTTCCATTAGGTAGACCGTCAGCTTGTTTGCCATTCTAAGTTGCATAAAAAATTACTATTAAAAGTCTACGAATCTCTTTTGAAGAAGTTTTAAAAGCAGTTCATCTTCATCTTCATTATTATCACCTTTGGTCTCTATTGTTGCTTTATTATTGTATTGTATTGTAAAGTCTTTGTTATACATAATTCATACTCAATACATTAGAAGATTTAATATACAATGGCGGACTTATCCCATAAAGGGATCTCTTACAGTCAACCTTTGAGAAGCTAAAAGAAAACTGTAGAATGTACAAGGGTAATATTATTAAAGGGTATTAATATTACTATATATTATCGTATATTTATGTATATATATATATATATATATATATATATATATCATAATATGCAGTTCTCTATATAATTTGTAAGTCAATATGGATACGTCTGTAACTATTTATTTAAGTCTCGAGACTTTTTACTTCACTTTATGATTTTTTCATGGATCGCGACATAAAAATGGTTGAAGACAATGGCGTCGACGCATCGCATACCCTAATCACGCATTCACGTCTACGTCTGATGTATTCGTATAATAAAGTTCTGATGTGTCATAAAATAAAGTTTACAACATTATTATAAAGGAAAGAAAAATGTTATCATCATCATATCGGCTTTTAACTGTCCACTGCTGGACATAAGCCACACCTTTGAAGGTTCTGCCAGTAGCTGCCACGCTGGACAGGTGGGTTGACAACCGCAGTTAGACTTTGGAGACGTTTTAAAAATACTCTACTGTCCATCCCTCGCCCTCCCTTAGTTGCATTACGACATCCATAGAAAATAAGGAGTGGCCTATACTATCCCGGGACCAGACGGATAGCTCATATAACTCGCTATTAATGTAATTATCTATAGGTGAAAGAATTTTTAAAATCGGATGAAAAGCTTACTGGAAGAGAACTCTTACAGAGTTAAGCTCGCCTGTACTACATCTTTATTTAATACTAGCAACCCGTCCCGGCGTCGCACGGGTGGACATTTTTACATTTAAAAAAGTGGCCATTAAGGCTGCACACGTGACGGAAGCTTAAAAATGGAGTAACTTCTCCCGTTTTCCCAACATTTCCCTTCACTGCTCTACTCCTATTGATCGTAGCGTGATGAAAAGTATACTACAACCTGCCCAGGAGTATAAAGAATAATTGTACTGAGTTTCGTTAAAATCCGTCGAGTAGTTTTAGTTTCTATAACGAACATACAGACAGACAGACAAAAATTTTACTGATTGCATTTTTTGGCATCAGTATCGATCACTAATCACCCTTGCTAGTTATTTTGTAAATATATTTCATGTACAGAATTGACCTCTCTACAGATTTATTATAAGTATAGATATAGATAAATAAAATGTATATATTTTTTTGTGTACAACAAAGTATAAATAAATAAAATCTTTCCTTTCTATGTAGATATACTAAATTTAACACACGACTTTGTTCACTTGACCAGGATATGTTTATTAATCTGAATAAAAGGTATCCTACATCCTTCTCCATTTCATAAAGTATGTACGTGTATACACTAAATTTTCTAGTGATTGTTTAAACCGTTAAGGTGCTATAAGGTAGCAAACAAACAAACAAACTCACTTTCACATTTACGAGTATCAATAAGGACAAATAAATCATGTACATTATATGACATGAACAAACTAAGAGAAAATTGCATGAAAAGCCGGGAAAAAATTAATCGTTTAACCAAAGGTCATCTGAACGCCTTTTGTACCTTTATGTATATATTTCAATCTGTACTTTATACTAATGTATTTCTCTTGAATTGATCAATTGGCATTGTATATTTTTATGTTTCTGGTGCAGTAAAGAGTTAAATAAATAAATATATGTTTTAAATAAATAGATAGATAGACACTCATTATTGTTTCCTCCAAAAGTAAATTTATTATAAATATAAACAATTACAAGATATGTTATGTAGGTGAAGTCAATAATTCATAGACAATTCTTAGCAGTAAGTGAATTTATTATGAAAAATAGAGGCACATGTAGTAATTAAGAATTACCACATAAATTTATGATAAGTAGTAACTTGGACACAGTTATAGGTATCCGATGTTTACAGTAATGGCGCAACACCATAGCCTAATCCTGGGCCATAGCCGAGTCCACCCAGAGCGGGAGGCGCAAGGGGTCCATAATTCTCGTTGATGATGCCAATGTAACCATTGTTGCCGCAGCCGCAGCCAGCAGCGCCCGCACCTGCAGTCGGCAAAGCACCTTCGAACGCTACAGCGCTCAGGAACGGCAGCTGTCCAGCGACTGCCATAGGTCCTTCGATGATGTTCTCCGACACAACAGTGAGACCAGTCGGAGCGAGGGGAGAGAAGCTGAAGATGGGGAGGTTGTCTCTTTTGGCAATTGTGGCAAAGTCGAGGAATCCAGTGGCAGGAGCAGGCAGTATGGCATTACCGATTAAGGCAGGGTTGGCCAATCCAACGCCAGCCAAACCGACTCCAGTCCCGATCAATCCAGTGTTAGCCAAGCCAATTCCAGAGCCGATCAAACCAGTGTTGGCCAAGCCGAGTCCGGTACCAATTAGACCATTGTTGGCCAAGCCTATACCGCCAATTGCATTGTTACTAACAGCGACGGTGTTTTCGACCACCGTAGCACCGCTTATACCAGAGATGGCTGACGGCAGTCTTCTGTTGAGGGTTGGGTTTCCAAGCAACGACTGGAAAGACAAAGTATTCATTAAGCGCAAAAATTATAAACAGCTACATTTTTCTTTGGAATTTCAAATTTGACAGATCACACTAATTTCAGATTCAATTTCATAATCATGTATAGTATAATTATCAGATTTCGTAGACATATTCAATAAGACAAGAATCATCTTTTTCTATTACTGTTATGATGCATGATCATGATTCTTTCTTAGCTAAATCCAGATTTCACCACAGAAAAATAAATATTAGCCTACTGTTACGACACTAGCTAGCTTGTTATGAACGGCAATTGTAGTTTTCCTTATTCTGGTGTATTGTGCTTTCTTCCCTTATTTGCCTCTTACGACACACTAGGAATGAAAAACAATGATGACATTTCGTATTATTTCTTCCTCACTATACATATTTTTGTATGCCACAATAGTGCCACTAACCAACCAAAGGTGGTACTAGGCTCATCCATCTGATGGTAAACAGACACTGTAAATTATGGACGTTTGTAATACCAGGAATGTAAAATACGCATTGCTTAAACTTAAGAAACCTTAATACGCTCTTTATGAAGAATCCCATACTGTGGTTTCTAAAGGAAACCTCACCAAGCAGCTCATTTTACAGCCTGAGCAGAAGAAACCGAGACGAAACCCCTCTGAAACTGCACATTTAGCATTTAAGATTCCTTAATAAAATCTATAAATAAAAGGATTCTTGGATACTTCGGCCATGTTGCTCGACGACAGTCCGACAATCTGGACAAACTAATGGTTGTAGGCAAGATAGAGGGAAAAAGACCACGCGGACGATCGCCTAGTCGATGGTCGGACCAAATAACCGCCGTTACGAGACTGTCAATTGCAGCTGCCCTGCGTGAAGCTGAAGACCGTGCACAATGAAATAACATCATAAGAGAGGCAAAGGACACCTTTCAAAGACACGACCTTCAGTAATGAAGAGGACGAAGAGAGAGAATAAAATCTAACCTTCTCTCTCTTTTCATTTTTTCATTTCAGAGTTTTCTTTGTTCAGGCTTCAGGTTGACAACCGCTGTTAGCTTTTGGTGATATTTTTAAAAGGGGAACTGCTGTTGCTTCTTCGATTATTAAGTTCCCTTAGTCGCCTCTTACGACACCAATAGGAAAAGAAGGGGTGGCCCATTCTCTGCCGAGATCACACGGCTAACAGTTTAATAAGTTAATTAATAGAAAATATAAGTTTTTCTTTTCAATTTGGACCAAAAAAATTATTGTTTTTACCAGTGTAAATAATGTATGTTACCTGAATGAAGAGTGCCTGGAGGCACAACACAATTACGGTCTTAGCGGCCATTGTTGAGGACGAATGTTTGTTGAATATGCTTCGAGAACAGTTCATACGCCTTATATACTTACTGATCCCATACTACGACCTAATTAGTTATTGTGCAGTCTCTCTTATCAATAATTGGAAGTGCTGTATCAATTTCGCATTTTACAAAGCATTACGTTTTTATAACACGTGATAGATTATATTATTAAGCATTTCAAAATAACATTCGGCAGTATTGTATATAAGACTGGACTTCATTGGAAAATATCATTCTGTGTTCATTATACATCGATAAACATGTCCACCTTCAGTTTCTTGTTGCTTTGCATCCAGGCTTGCCTGATCCAGGTATTGAATTATGTATTTTTTTTAATATTTCTAATTAATTGTATATTGTGTTGCACTAGTAAAACCTTTAAATCAATACTTCTGAACTTAGTAGTAAAATGACTGATATCCCAAAGGCTAAGAAGATTGAAATGAAAATGGGCTGGTTTTGTGAAACCAGCCCAAATTGAAACCAGCTCGAATTGGCTGGAGGTAGCTCAGAACTATTACTTATGACAGTCTATGAGCATACTTATGTTCAATAGTGAACAATGATTATTGTTACATTCCCGACACCCGATGGAACATCAGTCCATATTCCAAAGGGTAAGAACAATGATTATTGTTACACTCACGATACCTGATGTTCATCTAATCCTGGATATCATTCTATTCACTAGATTCGTTTCAGAAACATTAATATATTTTCAGAACGTCTATAGTAACCCTATAGGCCCCTGGGGTCCCGGTTATGGAAATATCGGTTACGGAGCGGTGACTGAAGTGGAAACAACAGCCATCGAAGTGGACAGCGTGAACCGCGGCGGGTGGGGCTACGGCGGCCTGGCCCCTGGCTATGGATTCCCCGGCGGGTACGGTCTGGGCGGCGGAGTTGCGGTCGGCGCAGTCACTGAGATCGACAAATTCGCTGGCATCGGCAACTTGGGATACGGCCTGCCAGGAGCCGGCCTCGCGCCTGGACTTGGTAAATATGGGTGGGAAGCTGAGTATGGGCTGGCTGGTTTAGGTGCCAATATCGGAGCTATCGGTGTTGAACGAGTTGGTCTCGGCGCAATCGGCCTACCTGCACCTCCTGTGCCTGTGGTCAAAACTGGCTACGGCGGTGTGGGCAATGGTGTGTTCGAAGTGTTTGCTGAGATGCCAGCCGCCGGCACCGCCCTTCTGGGTGGCCAAGTGCCAGTGCTCGGCGCTGTGGAATTCTCTGGTATCCTGCCCGCTGCTGGTGCCGTGACCATCACCGGAAACTGCGGATGTGGTCTTGGTTACGGGCTTTACTAAATATTGATTTGAATTTATGATTGTTTAATGTAAAATAGAATTTCTTACTTAAACTGTATTTATATATACATATATATACATAATAAAAACGTGAACAAATCATGTGTGTGTTAATTTTTTTTTAAGTTTTGTCAAAGCTAATAAATAGTTTTTACAATTTGAATATTTTCTATTGAACTGTGCACAAATATAAGACATAGTTCAACTGATTTGAACGCAGTTTCCACTGATATGTTAATCAATACTTTCTTTATTTGTTTTTTTTTTTTCAATCTATTAACAAATAACAAAGTTAACGACTACGCGGACAAACTCACGGGCACAGCTAGTTATGAATAAATGTAATTACATTATCATACGCTGTGTGGTCCTGGTATAGTGTAGGCCAGCTCTTCCTTTCTCGTGGGTGTCGTTAAAGCCGACTAAAAGAGGGCGAGAGATAGGTAGAAGCATTTCTGTTAAAACATCTTCAAAGCCCAACTGCGGTTACTAATCCACCTGCCAAGAATGGCAACTACTGGCAAAACCCTCCAAGGCTTATGTTCAGCAGTAGATGGTTAAGGGCTGATATGATGATGATATGAGATGGTGTATCAAGAGAAAGCATACACCTGTGAGGTTACTCTTGAAATATATTCCAATAGATCGATATTGGAATTGAGACGTTTCGCACTCTCGAATTGCAACACTAGCAACATAATAGTTTCATACTGTTCTGATAGATTTATGTATGACGATGCGAGGTGCGTATTGATGGTATGGCTGCGTTGATAAGCCACGTTTTGATGATGTTGAACAAGCAGTAAAAATTCACACAATACAATCAAAGACACAATAGAAAGAAGGAGTGAGAGAAGAATGATATAATGAAAGCAGAGTTGATATCTAAATAAACGCAAGGTTAAAATTTATAAGGCAGGTAGAAATTCCTAGACTATCAACTAAATCGTCTTTCAAAAAACACGTTCACGCTCACTTTTTTTACTTTATTCGAGCAGTAAGTGTTTTATATTATTCTCAATTTCGTGTATAATATAGTATATATCATATATGTGTAAGTGTATTTGTTATTTATATATATTTATTCATTTATATATGTAATTTTAGTATGTATGTATATCAATAATTACTAGTACCGTATTCGAGTATTCTGACACTTCCCTATGGTTGCCTGGGAGAGAATGCTTTTAGCATTAAGTCCGCCATGTACACATATTTGTACTAATGAATAAATAAATAAATTCGACTGTCCGCGGTGACGGGGGAAGCGCTCACGCAGTTGCCCCGTCATGGCGGCTGAGAACTAGTTTTGTACAGGGCTCCAATGCACAATCCGAACACCACACACTCACAAGTAACTTTTTCTGAGTCAATTTTCGTTTAGGGCAAGATTTGGCTGGGTCTGCAGGGCTCAGCTAATGCGACGAGCGCTTCCGATTATCGTACACTATTCACTTTTCATCATAAGAAATCATTCGATTTAAAATCCCTTCATTATTGTGTATGTAAAGTTGAGCAAAGTAACACAGCAGTCGACGCGTGATTGCAACTTCAAGTGGATTAATACAGTTTTATCACTTACCCCGAAGCCTGCAACTATCTCTGAAGTGCTTTGATGGATTCGCTTCCACAATAGCCTTTAGTTCTTACTATTCCACTTTGGTCTCCGGCCGTCCACGAGGTTGGTACTGAAGGTCGAAATTTCCAGACCGAAAACGTTTAAACTAAAAACGTACCCTGCTTTCTTTTGCAACACCAGCGCCGTAGACATCATTAATTCTTCGAGCTGTTTCTGGGACACTGGTACCACGGTAGAACTCGTACTGGTAAATATACCGATATTTCATGTTTTCCATTGTGCGATAATAAGCGACGCCAAGGAAAAACTAATGAGAAAAAACAAATGAATGACTGTTTTCAAATTGCAAATATACCACCTAAACGAATTTATAAATTTGGAATTCTTAACCAAAGAGGAGATATTTCAGATCAAACGATTTCGGCAGATATCTATTATTAGCAACTGCAAAGCATGAAGTAAGAATTAGTCGCTAAACAAATGAGATTAGTCAATCGCAGTAGGCCACCGCTGCTTCACCACAACGCAAGACCACACACTGCACAACAAACAATCATAAAGTTAGATGAGCTACAATTGGAATGTCTGCGACATCCACCATAACTTTAGTGTGTATTGTATAATATGTAGTTGTAAATTTAAATAGATACATTTAATAGTAATATAAATGCATATATTCATGTGGTATTTATTTATTTATATATGAAGTATAAATTATGTGTGCATGTTTGTTTGTATTTATTATAATTATATAATATAATAATTATGTACGCGTATGTATGACTAGTCTATAGATGTATATTACGAGTAGTATAATTTGCCATAGTGAACTATTGTAAACCGATCCCAATTATAACCTAATTCCTAACTCTCGTTTCATGAATGCAGTATAAAATTGTCATTGGCAATAGATTGAATTGATATTACATTAAAGAGTAGACCTGCTGATTTTAGATTATAATAATAATAATATGAGAATATAATATAATAATAATAAATGAGAATTTTTGTAAAGTTTAAAAAAATAATAATAATAAAGCCTTTATTCTCTGACCACAATTTTACTTTAACTTACATACTACTTATTACTAAGCTAGCTTACTAGCAACCATTATGTTGGTCAGGTTGTCTGTCGACATAGGCCTCCCCCAATTGCTTCCACTTTCCTCTATCCCTGGCTGACTTTCTCCATCCTTTAGGTAAATCGTCCTCCCATCTTTTGAATTGCCCTCCTCGTTGTCTTTTCCCATTTCTAGGATACCATTCTATTATATCCTTCGTCAATTTTTTTTTATTAGTTCTCATTATATGTCCAGTCCAATTCCATTTAAGTTTTCTTATTTTTTGTAACACGTCACTGATCTTTGTTCTTTTTCTTATTTTTGATGTTGTCAATCGATCTCTTAGTCTGATGTTTACCATACTTCGTTCCATGTTGCGCTGACAAACTACAAGTTTTTGGTTACCTTTGTTTTTAGCAGGCCAAGTTTGATATCCATATGTAAGACATGGTAGAATACATGTGTTATATGGTTTGCTTTTTATTGCCATAAGAATTTTAGGTTAGCCTATCAGGAATCAAATCCAATTTGAATTGTTTAATTGTCATTGTATATTTTTCTGTTTCTGGTGCAGTAAAGAGTTAAATAAATAAATACATGTTTTAGATAGATAGATACTTTTTATTGTTTCCTTCAAAAGATTACAATAGTAAACTTATTGTAAATATAAACAATTACAAGATATAAATATATGTTATGTAGGTGAAGCCAATAATCCATAGACGATTCTCAGTAGTAAGTGAATTTATTATGCAAAATAGAGGCACATGTAGTAATTAAGAATTACCACATAAATTTATGATAAGTAGTAACTTGGACACAGTTATAGGTATCCGATGTTTACAGTAATGGCGCAACACCATGGCCGAATCCTGGGCCATAGCCGAGTCCACCCAGAGCGGGAGGCGCAAGGGGTCCATAATTCTCATTGATGATGCCAATGTAACCATTGTTGCCGCAGCCGCAGCCAGCAGCGCCCGCACCTGCAGTCGGCAGAGCACCTTCGAACGCTACAGCGCTCAGGAACGGCAGCTGTCCAGCGACTGTCATAGGTCCTTCGATGATGTTCTCCGACACAACAGTGAGACCAGTCGGAGCGAGGGGAGAGAAGCTGAAGATGGGGAGGTTGTCTCTTTTGGTAATTGTGGCAAAGTCGAGGAATCCTGTGGCAGGAGCAGGCAGTATGGCGTTACCGATTAAGGCAGGGTTGGCCAATCCAACGCCAGCCAAACCCGTGCCTACAATTCCAGTGTTGGCCAAACCGACTCCAGAGCCGATCAATCCAGCGTTGGCCAAACCGACTCCAGTGCCGATCAATCCAGTGTTGGCCAAGCCAATTCCAGAGCCGATCAAACCAGTGTTGGCCAAGCCGAGTCCGGAACCAATTAGACCATTGTTGGCCAAGCCTATACCGCCAATTGCATTGTTACTAACAGCGACGGTGTTTTCGACCACCGTAGCACCGCTTATACCAGAGATGGCTGACGGCAGTCTTCTGTTGAGGGTTGGGTTTCCAAGCAACGACTGAAAAGACAAAGTATTCATTAAGCTCAAAAATTATAAACAGGTACATTTTTCTTTGGAATTTCAAATTTGACAGATCACACAAATTTCGGATTCAATATTTCGTAGACATATTCAATAAGACAGTTAAAATTCTTTAGTTATTTCTTACGATGGTGTAAATATATGGTATATATAATTATTCTAGATAATAACCAAAAACTTTATGAATAGACTGTATATGTAAAAGATAGATATGAATAAAAGAAGTATGAAACCTAACAATATTACAATTGGTAGACCAAAAATATCAAACGAACTTACAGCCCGTTTGATAGTAAACGGTCACTGAAGATTATGGATGTTCGCAATACCAGAAATATTATGTCTGCATTGCTGAGCCTTAAGAAATCTTAATAAACCCTTTTTTAAAAACTCTGTTCTATGGTCTTTAAGATTAATCTCGGCAAGGAGCTCGTTTCACAACCTGAGTATTCGTAGGAACAAACCTTCATTACAGAGTTTTCTTTTATCGGTACCTATATTCAGACTTCAGTTTGGCAACCGCTGTTAGCCTTTGGTGATATTTTTAAATGGGACACTGCTGTTGATCCTACGATCATTAAGTTTCCTTAGTCGCCTCTTACAACACCAACGGTAAAAGAAGAGGTGGCCCATTCTCTGCTCGGACTACACGGCTAACAGTTTAATAAATTAATTAATAGAAAATATAAGTTTTTTCTTTTCAATTTGGACCAAAAAATTTATTACTTTTACTAGTGTAAATAATATATGTTACCTGAATGAAAAATGCCTGAAGGCACAACACAATTACGGTCTTGGCGGCCATTGTTGAGGACGAATGTTTGTTGAATATGCTTTGAGAACAGTTCGCACGCCTTATATACTTACTGATCCCATACTACGACCTATTTACATATTGTGCAGTCTCTCTTATCAATAGTAGTAATGCTGTATCAATTTCATGTTTTACAAAGCATTACGTTTTTACGACACGTGATAGATTATATTATTAAGCATTTCAAAATAACATTCGGCAGTATTGTATATAAGACTGAACTTCATTGGAAAATATCATTCTGTGTTCATTATACATCGATAAACATGTCCACCTTCAGTTTTTTGCTGCTTTGCATCCAGGCTTGCCTGCTCCAGGTATTGAATTATGTATTTTTGATATACTTCTAATTAATTGTATATTGTGTTGCACTAGTAAAACCTTTAAATCAATACTTCTGAACTTAGTAGTAAAATGACTGATATCCCAAAGGCTAAGAAGATTGAAGTGAAAAGTGAAAATGAAACCAGCCCAAATTAAAACCAGCTAGAATTGGCTGGAGATAGCTCAGAACTATTACTTATGACAGTCTATGAGCATACTTATGTTCAATAGTGAACAATGATTATTGTTACATTCCCGACACCTGATGAACTGATATTGGTCTAATCCTGAATATCATTCTATACGCTAGATTCGTTTCAGAAACATTTATATATTTTCAGAACGTCTATAGTAACCCAATAGGCCCCTGGGGTCCCGGTTATGGAAATATCGGTTACGGAGCGGTGACTGAAGTGGAAACAACTACCATCGAAGTTGACAGCGTGAACCGCGGCGGGTGGGGCTACGGCGGCCTGGCCCCTGGCTATGGGTTCCCCGGCGGGTACGGTCTGGGTGGCGGAGTTGCGGTCGGCGCAGTCGCTGAGATCGACAAATTCGCTGGCATCGGCAATTTGGGATACGGCCTGCCAGGAGCCGGCCTCGCGCCTGGACTCGGTAAATACGGGTGGGAAGCTGAGTATGGGCTGGCTGGTTTAGGTGCCAATATCGGAACTATTGGTGTTGAACGAGTTGGTCTCGGCGCAATCGGTCTACCTGCACCTCCTGTGCCTGTGGCCAAAACTGGCTACGGCGGTGTGGGCAACGGTGTGATCGAAGTGTTTGCTGACATACCAGCCGCCGGCACCGCCCTTCTGGGTGGCCAAGTGCCAGTGCTTGGCGCTGTGGAATTCTCTGGTATCCTGCCCGCTGCTGGTGCCGTGACCATCACCGGAAACTGCGGATGTGGTCTCGGTTACGGGCTTTATTAAACTGTTTTGGATGTAACTATTAAATAAAACAGTGGATTGAATTTTTGAGTTTTAATGTACGTGATCATCCATCATCCATCATGACCACCCATTATTCCGAATTCTTTCTGTAACGTCTCATTTTGCTTTTTCCCCTAATACAATCAATTTTTATTCCTTAAGTCTCCGGCAAAAACTATTCTTATTTTATTCTAGCTGTATCCAGCGGCTCATCCCGCGCAAATCAGTACTACAAGTATCCTATGTACCATCTGTGTGCCAAATTTCATTGGGTTTCGTTTAGTAACTTTGCGAAAGAAAGGGACAAGTGTAGTACTTGTCTCTTCTCATCTTCGTGCACAATATAGTTAATCTGTAACAATTTTAAATTTTTTAAGTGCATAATTTCATTTCTGTTTTGCCAATGGTTGACTGTTAATAATTATTAAGGTAAAATTTGCAATAATAGTCAGTACTCTGTTAAGTATACAATATTATAAGTATTTCATTTTACATTCTAACAGTTTACATACTATATGTATATCTATATAGTATATAAAAATTAATGTCACTTTTCGTTGTAATTTTATAACTCAAGAACGGGCTTACCTATCCAAACCAAATGTTTTGCTTTTGTTCGGACTATTTAGTAGATGGTTTATGTGAAGTTTGCACAAAGTCGGTCGAGTGGTTCTTCATTTATCACATATTTTGTAACAAATGAATTCAATAAATGGCAGATCATTTTGTTAATGGGGATTTTTGAACTAATTTATAAATTTGAATTTGGAAATCTTAACCAAAGAGGAGATATTTCAGATCAAACGATTTCGGCAGATATCTATTATTAGCAACTGCAAACCATGAAGTAAGAATTAGCTGCTAAACAAACGAGATTAGTCAATCGCAGTAGGCCACCGCTGCTTCACGACAGCGCAACACCACAACAAACAATCACTAAATTAGATGAGATACAATTGGAATGTCTGCGACATCCACCATAACTTTAGTGTGTATTGTATAATATGTAGTTGTAAATTTAAATAAATACATTTAATAGTAATATAAATGTATATTTATGTGGTATTTATTTATTTATATGATAAGTATAAATTATGAGTGCATGTTTGTTTGTATTTATTATAATTATATAATATACGAACGAGGGCTACACTAAAAATTTTTAGAACTGGCTACTTGAAAGCAATATAATAAAAAAAATATAAAAATTTGAAAATGGAACTCTTTACGAATAAAATTGAGTATATAATTTATTCCTTAGTCATTTGTTTTACGATTTGGCGGCAAATTGAAAATAGTCTATGTAACGTTATCATGAACTTAACACGAGAAAATTTTTGTGCGATGATTTTTTATGATTTTCGATGTCATCTAAGTCAACAAGAAAGTTATGATAGACTACGATTGACCTCTCACGATGAAACCCCGTCTTATGCCACTGTTTACAACTGGTTTATTGAGTTTAAACGTGGTCGCACTAATCTCACCGATGATGTGCGTGAGGGACGGCCTTCTACGGCGACGACTGAAGACGATAACATCAGTGTTGTGCGGCGTATGATAGAGACTGACAAAAGAGTGACCTATCAGCAGATCCGGGCAAGATTAGGGATTGGTATGAGTCAAGTGTACAAAATCCTGCATGAACATTTGGCGGTCAGGAAGCTTTGGGCCCGGTGGATACCTCATAATTTGACCGAGGCTCAAAAACTCCGTCGTGTTGATTGGTGTCGTGAAATGCATGAAAAATTTAACGGAGGTGACTCAAATAGTTGATACTTGACATAGTTACGGGAGACGAAAGCTGGATTTACTGTTATGATCCCGAAACTAAAAGACAGTCAGCTCAGTGGGTGTTTCCTTCCGAGCCAACTAAAATGAAGAGAGGTAGAAGCGTGGGAAAAATGATGGTGGCCTCGTTTTTTGGAAGGACAGCTCATTACGCCACAATTGTTTAAGAGTATCGAAAAACAGTTACTGCAGAGTGGTACAGTAACAATTGTTTGCAACAGTAACACATGTTTTGGAAAAAGTGCGTGAGAAATGACCTCGCAGTAAGATCCTCCTTCACCACGACAATGCTTCGTCGCACACCGCCAGGCAAACGATCGATTATTTGGCGTCCTCAAACGTAGAACTACTGGGTTATCCGCCTTATAGCCCCGCTTAAAAACTTCGAGGAAAACGTTTTATGGACGCCGAGGAAGCTGTGGCTACGTTTCAGAAGACCGTCGAAGAGATCCCTAAGGACGAGTGGGCAAAGTGCTTTTCTCAGTATTTCTATCGGATACAGAGATGTATTGACGTCAATGGAGACTATTATATATATATATATATATATATATATATATATATATATATATATATATATATATATATATATATATATATATATATATATATATATATGTTGAAAAGATAAAATAAAGGTAAAAACTTGCTAATTTAATCAGTTTTTTTATTTTCTAAGGATGACTCTCGTATGTATTACTAGCCTATAGATGTATATTAGTATAACCTGCCATAGCGAACTATTGTAAACCGATCCCAATTATAACCTAATTCCTAACTCTTGTTTCATGAATGCAGTATAAAATTGTCATTGGCAATAGATTGAATTGATATTACATTAAAGAGTAGACCTGCTGATTTTAGATTAGACTATCAGGAATCAAATCCAATTTGAATTGTTTAATTGTCATTGTATATTTTATGTTTCTGATGCAGAAAAGAGTTAAATAATTAAATACATGTTTTAGATAGATAGATACTCTTTATTGTTTCCTCCAAAAGATTACAATAGTAAACTTATTATAAATATAAACAATTACAAGATATAATCATATGTTATGTAGGTGAAGCCAATAATCGATAGACGATTCTCAGTAGTAAGTGAATATATTATGCAAAATAGAGGTACATGTAGTAATTAAGAATTACCACATAAATTTATGATAAGTAGTAACTTGGACACAGTTTTAGGTATCCGATGTTTACAGTAATGGCGCAACACCATGGCCGATTCCTGGGCCATAGCCGAGTCCACCCAGAGCGGGAGGCGCAAGGGGTCCATAATTCTCATTGATGATGCCAATGTAACCATTGTTGCCGCAGCCGCAGCCAGCAGCGCCCGCACCTGCAGTCGGCAGAGCACCTTCGAACGCTACAGCGCTCAGGAACGGCAGCTGTCCAGCGACTGCCATAGGTCCTTCGATGATGTTCTCCGACACAACAGTGAGACCAGTCGGAGCGAGGGGAGAGAAGCTGAAGATGGGGAGGTTGTCTCTTTTGGTAATTGTGGCGAAGTCGAGGAATCCAGTGGCAGGAGTAGGCAGTATGGCGTTGCCGATTAAGGCAGGGTTGGCCAATCCGACGCCAGCCAAACCAGTGCCTACAATTCCAGTGTTGGCCAAACCAACTCCAGAGCCGATCAATCCAGCGTTGGCCAAACCGACTCCAGTGCCGATCAATCCAGTGTTGGCCAAGCCAATTCCAGAGCCGATCAAACCAGTATTGGCCAAGCCGAGTCCGGTACCAATTAGACCATTGTTGGCCAAGCCTATACCGCCAATTGCATTATTACTAACAGCGACGGTGTTTTCGACCACCGTAGCACCGCTTATACCAGAGATGGCTGACGGCAGTCTTCTGTTGAGGGTTGGGTTTCCAAGCAACGACTGGAAAGACAAAGTATTCATTAAGCCTAAAAATTATAAACAGGTACATTTTTTCAGTTACAAATTTCAGATTCAATATTTCGTAGACATATTCATTAAGACAGTTATCATCTTTTTCTATCACTGTTATGATGCAATATACCTGAGTTGTAATTTGTGATATTATCATCATTATTTCGGCTGTTAAAACTGCTGAACATAAGCCTTCCTCATAAGGAGGGTACTGTCAGTAATTGTCACGTTTGGTAAGCGGATTAACGACCGCAGCCAGGCTTTGGTAATGTTTTAAGAGAAACACAGCTTTCAATTCTTCGACTATTAGTATTCTTTAGTTGCGTCTTACGATGGTGTAAATATATGGTATATTTAATTATACCAGATAAAAACCTAAAAAACTATGAATAGACTATGTAAAACATTGTTATGCATAAAAGTATGAAACCTAACAATATCACAATTAGTAGACAAAATATATGAAAATACACATATATACTCTGTTTTCAACTAAATTAAACAAGGGTAAGGAAATGATGATTCGTTCTTAGCGCTCTCTATATCTCATTGTTAAAAAATATTATTAGCCTACTATTGCGACACTGGACTGCAATTGTATTTTTTCTCTTATTCTGGGGTATTGTGCTTTCTTCCCTTATTTGCCTCTTACTAGGAACGAAAAACAATGCTAACATCTCGTATTATTTCTCCCGAGCTCACATGTCTGATGATAAACAGACACTGTAAAAATTATGGACGTTTGCAAAACCAGGAATGTCATATACGCATTGCTTAAGCTTAAAGAACCTTAATACGCTCTTTATGAAGAATCCCATGCTGTGGTTTCTAAAGGAAACCTTACCAAGAAGCTCATCCTACAGCCTGAACATTCACGAGAGGAAACATCTTTGAAACCGAACATTTAACATTTATGTTTCCTTAATAAAATCTAATCTTCTCTCTCTTTTCATTTCAGAGTTTTCTTTTATCGGTGCCTATGTTTAGGCTTCAGGTTGGCAACCGCTGTTAGCCTTTGGTGATATTTTTAAATGGGACACTTCTGTTGATCCTACGATCATTAAGTTTCCTTAGTCGCCTCTTACGACACCAAACGTAAAAGAAGAAGTGGCCCATTCTCTGCCCGACCACACGGCTAACAGTCTGATAAATTAATTAATAGAAAATATAAGTTTTTCTATTCAATTTGGATTAGATTATTGTTTTTACTAGGATAAATAATATATGTTACCTGAATGAAGAGTGCCTGGAGACACAACACAAATACAATCTTGGCGGCCATTGTTGAGGACGAATGTTCGTTGAATATGCTTCGAGAACAGTTCGTACGCCTTATATACTTACTGATCCCATATTACGACCTATTTACTTATTGTGCAGTCTCTCTTATCAGTAGTAGTAGTGCTGTATCACTTTCACATTTTACAAAGCATTACGTTTTTATGACACGTGATAGATTATATTATTAAGCATTTCAAAATAACATTCGGCAGTATTGTATATAAGACTGGACTTCATTGGAAAATATCATTCTGTGTTCATTATACATCGATAAACATGTCCACCTTCAGTTTCTTGCTGCTTTGCATCCAGGCTTGCCTGCTCCAGGTATTAAATTATGTATTGTATTGTATATTGTGTTGCACTAGTAAAACCTTTAAATCAATACTTCTGAACTTAGTACTATAATGGCTAATATCCCAAAGGCTAAGAAGATTGAAGTAAAAATGGGCTGATTTTATAGCTTGAATTGGCTGGAGGTAGCTTAGGACCGTTACTTATGACAGTCTATGGGCTATTCACTAGATTCGTTTCAGAAACATTAATATATTTTCAGAACGTCTATAGTAACCCTATAGGCCCCTGGGGTCCCGGTTATGGAAATATCGGTTACGGAGCGGTGACTGAAGTGGAAACAACTACCATCGAAGTGGACAGCGTGAACCGCGGCGGGTGGGGCTACGGCGGCCTGGCTCCTGGCTATGGATTCCCCGGCGGATACGGTCTGGGTGGCGGAGTTGCTGTCGGCGCAGTCGCTGAGATCGATGGATTCGCTGGCATCGGCAACTTGGGATACGGCCTGCCAGGAGCCGGCCTCGCGCCTGGACTCGGTAGATACGGATGGGAAGCTGAATATGGGCTGGCTGGTTTAGGTGCCAATATTGGGGCTATTGGTGTTGAACGAGTTGGTCTCGGCGCAATTGGTCTACCTGCACCTCCTGTGCCTGTGGTCAAAACTGGCTACGGCGGTGTGGGCAACGGTGTGATCGAAGTGTTTGCTGACATGCCAGCCGCCGGCACCGCCCTCCTGGGCGGCCAAGTGCCAGTGCTTGGCGCTGTGGAGTTCGCTGGTATTCTGCCCGCTGCTGGCGCCGTGACCATCTCTGGAAACTGCGGATGTGGTCTCGGTTGCGGGCTTTATTAATCTGTTTTGGATGTAACTATTAAAAAAAACAGTGAATTGAATTTTTGAGTTTTAATGTACATGATCCATCCATCCATCCATCATGATCACCCATTATTCCGAATTCTTTCTGTAACGTCTCATTTTGCTTTTTCCCCTAACACAGTCAATTTTTATTCCTTAAGTCTCCGACAAAAACTATTGTGTTTTATTCTTTTACTAGCTGTATCCAGCGGCTCATCCCGCGCAAATCAGTGCTACAAGTATCCTATGTACCATCTGTATACCAAATTTCATTGGGTTCCGTTTAGTAATTTTGCGAAAGAAAGGGACAAGTGTAGTACTTGTCGCTTTCTCTCATGTATTATTATTAGTCTTATTCTTCGCGTGCAATATAGTTTACCTGCAACAATTTTTGCAAAAGTTTAATACTAGCTTGTACGGCTGAAATGTTGAATACAGTATTGAAGAATTTATTTTATTTAAACTATAATACACAGTAGTAGTCAATGTACATTTGGAAGATATAACACCAGACAGTGTTCTCTAACAGTCAGACATTGGGCAAACCGAGAAATACGTAGACGGTGCAGTATTGAATAGAGGAAAAATAAAGCAATACTTGATGTATTCGTATAATATAAACATATAAATAGACTCATATAAACATACATCTAATATATTAAATAAATAAATATGTATATATACAATAAGCACATAAAATATTAGTTAAAAGAAACTGTATTAGAAAAGCAAATAGCAATTTTTGACTCAGAGTAACCAGCAGGAGAAGTTTAAAGGGAAAGTGATTTTTCTAAGAAGTAGATGCACAATTTGTATTTAAAAGCTAGCTTGTAGAATTTTAACTTAATGATAAATATTTAAAAGTTTGAGTATATATTCAAACTTTTGTTTTGTTCTATAGTGTATAACTAGTCAGGCCATAAATACTGTTACTTCAAAACTTTTCTTTTTTCACGATTGAAAAACACTACAATAAACAAAATGATAAAGTGTACGCTCACAGTTCTAAAGAAGTTGCTCAAGTAGTCGGAAAGGTACAACGTGGTCATTATCCTGCGCCAGTGATCGTTTGGTGGGGCGTGTCTCATTAATGAGTCACAAAACTACATTCTTGTGAAAAAGGAATAAAATTTTAGCCAAAGTGCATCAGGATACAGTTTTGGACGGTGTTGTGAAACCTCTCAGCAATACACCGTTTAAAATAATACCGTGCACTTTCCTGCAGGACTCTGCATCTGGTTACAAGGCACTAATTACCCAAGCCTGGCTTGAAACCAACGATCCGGACTTTATAAGAGCTGAAGACTGATCCTCATCTAGCTCAGACCTTAATCCTTTAGACTAAACTACGGTCAATTTTAGAGGACATGGCTTGCTCTAAATGACACGCGACTTAAAAAAATCTTTGGAGTAAGCAGTGGAGAAATTCCCCTTGGAAACAGTGCGTAAATCCATAGAATCGTGGCAAGACAGATTAAAGGCCTATATAAAAGTCAAAGGTGGCCATTTCGAATAGAATATTTTTTTTATTTTTTACTGAGACTAATAAATATGTAGGTATAAATTTTAGTAATATTACATTACTTCATAGAAAATGCATTTTATTTGTAACAGAACTTATGGCTGGACTAGGTATATTATAACTCTCTTTACCGGGGCGCCAAGGTTTGTGTTGGAAAACAGCGCTGCAGCGCCACAAACGTTGCAGCAATATGCTAAGCACGGACCTATTTGTTCCCAGAATATTGCGACACACATACGCACACGACTACACACTTACGTGTATTATTATTATTATCTTTTATTTTTGTTGTTTTAATTATATAGTAATACTTAGTTTTTTTTATTCATGCAACTGTGTGAGTCGCATGATTCTGTAAATGAATACTTTCATCTTTCTTTCTTTTGTATATATATACTATATTCTGTTCCACTAAAATAAGTACGAATAACATGCACAACGCGACAGCGTTATTTTTTCTATTTCTATGAATTATTAAATTCGTAATATCTATTGAATGTAATAGCCGATTTGAACAATATATTTAAAAATATAAACACGATTATTTAGTAAATGGTTTATGTGAAGTTTGCACAAAGTCGGTCGAGCGGTTCTTCAATGTTCGGTGTCGCAATATTCTGGGAACAAATAGGTCCGTGCTTAGCATATTGCTGCAACGTTTGTGGCGCTGCAGCGCTGTTTTCCAACACAAACCTTGGCGCCCCGGTAAAGAGAGTTATAATATACCTAGTCCAGCCATAAGTTCTGTTACAAATAAAATGCATTTTCTATGAAGTAATGTAATATTACTAAAATTTATACCTACATATTTATTAGTCTCAGTAAAAAATAAAAAAAATATTCTATTCGAAATGGCCACCTTTGACTTTTATATAGGCCTTTAATCTGTCTTGCCACGATTCTATGGATTTACGCACTGTTTCCAAGGGGAATTTCTCCACTGCTTACTCCAAAGATTTTTTTAAGTCGCGTGTCATTTAGAGCAAGCCATGTCCTCTAAAATTGACCGTAGTTTAGTCTAAAGGATTAAGGTCTGAGCTAGATGAGGATCAATCTTCAGCTCTTATAAAGTCCGGAACGTTGGTTTCAAGCCAGGCTTGGGTAATTAGTGCCTTGTAACCAGATGCAGAGTCCTGCAGGAAAGTCCACGGTATTATTTTAAACGGTGTATTGCTGAAAGGTTTCACAACACCGTCCAAAACTGTATCTTGATGCACTTTGGCTAAAGTTTTATTCCTTTTTCACAAGAATGTAGTTTTGTGACTCCTTAATGAGACACGCCCCACCAAACGATCACTGGCGCAGGATAATGACCACGTTGTACCTTTCCGACTACTTGAGCAACTTCTTTAGAACTGTAAGCGTACACTTTATCATTTTGCTTATTGTAATGTTTCTCAATCGTGAAAAAAATAAAAGTTTTTAAGTAAAAGTATTTATGGCCTGACTAGTTATACATTATAGAACAAAACAAAAGTTTGAATATATACTCAAACTTTTAATTATTTATCATTAAGTTAAAATTCTACAAGCTAGCTTTTAAATACAAATTGCGCATCTAGTTCTTAGAAAAATCACTTTCCCTTTAAACTTCTCCTGCTGGTTACTCTGAGTAAAAAATTGCTATTTGCTCTTCTAATACAGTTTCTTTTAACTAATATTTTATGTGCTTATTTCATTTTTATATTATAGATAGAGTGAACTATTAGTTAAAAAATGTTATTACGATATAGATGAATATTTAAATGATAAAAATTTTTAATAAAAAATAACGCATAATATATAAATATAATTTATATATAATTAATTATTAATTAATAATACTAAAATTGATAATGATACTAAAAAGATATAAAAATATGAACAACTACATTAAATTGCATTAAAATAAAATAAAACATATGGAAATAAAAAAAATCGTTATAATAATAAAATAATTAAATTAATTTGGAATTTAATTCGAATTTAATTAAATTGATGAAATTGAAATTGAATTAGTTAAATCTATATGACAATTTAAGGATTAACGCCCTCCTCGCTTCTAATTGCTGCGCCCGACAGGGTCTACAATGTACTTTATCCATTATTAACATCTTTCATAATAATATTGGAGAATGCAATAAATTGAATTGATAATTGATAATTGAAAAAAAAAAACAAATAAAGGAAGCATTCCTTAATATAAAAGTAAAAACCGCGTTCAAATCAGTCAAACTGTATTTTACATTTGCGCACATTTTAACAGAAAATAGAACAATTTTAAAAACTATATTTTAGCCTTGGTAACATGTATAAATTTTTATTTAAAAAATTAACACACACATGATTCGTTCACAATTTTATTACATATATGTAAATACAGTTTAAGTAAGAAATTCCATTATTAAACAACCATAAATTCAAATCAATATTTAGTAAAGCCCGTAACCGAGACCACATCCGCAGTTTCCGGTGATGGTCACGGCGCCAGTAGCGGGCAGGATACCAGCGAACTCCACAGCGCCGAGCACTGGCACTTGGCCACCCAGGATGGCGGTGCCGGTGGCTGGCATCTCAGCAAAGACTTCGAACACACCGTTACCCACACCGCCGTAGCCAGTTTTGGCCACAGGTACAGGAGGTGCAGGTAGACCGATTGCACCGAGACCAACTCGTTCAACACCGATAGCTCCAATATTGGCACCTAAACCAGCCAGCCCATACTCAGCTTCCCACCCGTATCTACCGAGTCCAGGCGCAAGGCCGGCTCCTGGCAGGCCGTATCCCAAGTTGCCGATGCCAGCGAATTTGTCGATCTCAGCAACTGCGCCGACAGCAACTCCGCCGCCCAGACCGTACCCGCCGGGGAATCCATAGCCAGGAGCCAGGCCGCCGTAGCCCCACCCGCCGCGGTTCACGCTGTCCACTTCGATGGTAGTTGTTTCCACTTCAGTCACCGCTCCGTAACCGATATTTCCATAACCTGGTCCCCATGGGCCTATAGGGTTACTATAGACGTTCTGAAAAAAAAATGAAAACTATAGATGTTTCTGAAACGAGTCTGGTGAATAGAATGATATCCATATGAGTGTCGCAATCATCATTGTCCACTGCTGAACATAATTATCCCCATAGACTTCCATATGGAACGGTCCTGACTACCTCCATTCATTGACTCTCTGCAGTACATTTGAAGTCGTTGCTCCATCTAATGGTCAAAACTTAAAAAAAAATAATTTCTATTGATTGTTAGTAACTCCAGCCGTGAAACCAACCCATTTTCACTTCAATTTTCTTAGCCTTAGCCTCAAGCTCAGCGTAGCCTGGGATATCAGTCATTATACTACTAAGTTCAGAAGTATTGATTTTAAGGTTTTACTAGTGTACCACAATACGCAATTAATTAGAAGTATATCAAAAATAAGAAGAAGCGAAAGAGGTTTGAATCGAAGCATTTGGCGTTCCATTGTTTCTGCCTACCCTAATGGGAGACAGGCGTGACAGATATGTATGTATGTATGTATATCAAAAATACATAATTCAATACCTGGAGCAGGCAAGCCTGGATGCAAAGCAGCAAGAAACTGAAGGTGGACATGTTTATCGATGTATAATGAACACAGAATGATATTTTCCAATGAAGTTCAGTCTTATATACAATACTGCAGAATGTTGTTTTGAAATGCTTAATAATATAATCTATCACGTGTTGTAAAAACGTAATGCTTTGTAAAACATGAAATTGATACAGCACTACTAATTATTGATAAGAGAGACTGCACAATAAGTAAATAGGTCGTAATATGGGATCAGTAAGTATATAAGGCGTACGAACTGTTCTCGAAGCATATTCAACGAACATTCGTCCTCAACAATGGCCGCCAAGATCGTAACTGTGTTGTGCCTCCAGGCACTCTTCATTCAGGTAACATATGTTATTTACATTCTCCTTACATACTCGTATAGTCCTTCAGATCCACGAACACACAGTTTGCTTTTGATTGATGTGTTTGACATTTCTCGCCATTATATTAGCCGTTAACTGACCACTGCTGAACATAGGCTTCCCCTTATTGGGAGAGTTTGGCCAGTAGTTGTCACGCTTGGCAGGCGAATTGGCAACTGTAGATAGACTTCAGTAATTTTTTCTAATTGAGACGTTGTTGCCCTGCATCTCTTGACCAGTAAATTCTCTTAGTCGCCTCTTAGGACACCCACGGAAAAGTAAGAGGTGGCCTATTCTATGCCGGAATTATACGGCCAACAGGGTAATAAAAGTTTAATATCATCCTGCTAAGGGAATACTCATTCCTGCTTGACAATGAGACGTTTACAGGTTGATAAAGAAGGAATCATCATCGCTTTGCCATCTCCCATTTATTTGCAGTTAGTGCACTGTTTTCTTCTTCCACAAATTTCTATCCACTGTCATCTTTGGGCTTACCTCTCTTTTATACATATCATCTTTCACATATTCCATCCACCTTTTCTTCAGTTATCCCCTTCATTTACATCCATCCACTTTCATACTTAAAACTTTTTTTTATATATTTCTTTATTTTAATTCATCAACACTACTTTTACGCATAATCGTCTTTTTCCCAATTCAATGATCCCTTTTTATGGACATGGAATTTGGACTTCAATAAAATATCCCTCGCGTGTGCATTCCTAGTGAATTTCTTTAAGAGCGTGTTTGAATATGTATGTATATTAATTTACAGTGTGCATTCAGCAATCCGAGCTACAACACTCTACGCCCAGCCATTGCCAGGCCAGGTGTTGCTACCGTTGGTAGTAGCACCGTGGTCGAAAACACCGTCGCTGTTAGTAACAATGCAATTGGCGGTATAGGCTTGGCCAACAATGGTCTAATTGGTACCGGACTCGGTTTGACCAACGCTGGATTGATCGGCTCTGGAATCGGTTTGCCCAACGCTGGATTGATCGGCACTGGAGTTGGTTTAGCCAACACTGGAATTGTAGGCACTGGTTTGGCTGGCGTTGGATTGGCCAACCCCGCCTTAATCGGTAACGCCATACTGCCTGCTCCTGCCACTGGATTCCTCGACTTTGCCACAATTACCAAAAGAGACAACCTCCCCATCTTCAGCTTCTCTCCCCTCGCTCCGACTGGTCTCACTGTTGTGTCGGAGAACATCATCGAAGGACCTATGGCAGTCGCTGGACAGCTGCCGTTCCTGAGCGCTGTAGCGTTCGAAGGTGCTCTGCCGACTGCAGGTGCGGGCGCTGCTGGCTGCGGCTGCGGCAACAACGGTTACATTGGCATCATCAGCGAGAATTATGGACCCCTTGCGCCTCCCGCTCTGGGTGGACTCGGCTATGGTCCGGGATTAGGCTATGGTGTTGCACCACTGCTGTAAACAACCGTTACATAACTTCGCTAAAATGAACAAATTCTATAGTATGATTATGATAGTTTTCAGTTATTATGCAGACGTATTACAAAATCAATCAGTACTGCTCTTGCCTATCAATTTACTTAACAACTACTTTAATATTTCATTGCTTATTACATCGAGTTTCAATTCATTTATTTTTATTAAAACAAATCTAAACTGAACAACTTTGAACAACTTCTTTGACTTCATTCAAAAGTGGTCTACATCAGTACCTCTATCCCACCCGTGTTTTTAGTGTAAAATAGCTGTGCTTACATGGTTGTATTTCTATTTGTAGGGCTATGAAATTACAGGATACAGTGACCACTTTCCATCTTCAAAGAATGGCAACACATAAGAAGTACCATTGTACACAGTGCAATCTGTACTTTAAAAAAATTGCCTTAAAGAAATTTTGGAAAAATGCAAGTGCATTAAAATGTTGTTGAGGAAAATTTGGGACCCCCATTACCAGCAATACGAGTATACCTTATGAGTTCAACCGTAATAATGGTTACTTCTTGATAAATTCGTCACGATGGACTTACTAACCTGACTTTATCCCCACCTAACATCCCTCACCAGGGGGGAAAAGAATTGTTAGTAATAAGATCTTACAGCTACACAGCAATATAACCTAACAGATCGACCTCCACTCGAATCCCCCTGGAAACCATCGAGATTAATTCTTGTGGAATTCGTCACGATAGGCCAACTTACCTAACTTTATTTTCACTTGTCATCTCTCACCTCGCCAGCATAAACCAGTTCCGCGAGCGAGGTTACCTTTCAATTTTTATCCACTTCTACCTGGTTCCTCTACGAAGACCCAGTCGTCAAACAAAGGCCACCTAATTGCCAATTTTTATAGATTCTTACTAATATTATAAATGTGGAAAAGAGAAAGAAATATCCTGTTACATCCGTCATCATTTTCGACGTATGTTATAAGCCATTACCTGTCCTCTGCTGAACATAGCCCTCTCCCTCTCTCTCTTTTAGCCAGTAGTATGTGTTTGGCAGACAAGTGGGCAACCGCAGTAAGGCGTTTAGAGATGTTTTAAGGGGGACGCTGTTGCCCATCCTTCGACCATTAAATACCCTTAGTTGCCTCTTACAACCCCTACAAGAAAGAAAAGGATGGTCCATTTTATACCGGGACTACACGGAGAATCGTTAATTTATTAACCTACATATTAAGAAATATTGAATATTGATCCAATATATAACTATCTTTGTATCGCTACTTCGCATGAATGGATTTTAGATGTAGGAAAACCAATGAAATAGAATATTTCTAGATAAAACATGTATCAAGTTTTAAAATAGACTTTCAGGAGCCCTGTGAAATTTGCATCCAATTTTTAAGTGATGCCAAAACAATCACACTGGATGAATGAATGGACAAAATTTCTAAAAACTAATGTGCTGGCTTTTCGATATCTCTTACTCCTCTTCATCCGAAGGTTGCCTGGAAGAGATCGCTTTTAGCGATAAGGTCGCCCATTATTTTCTCATTGTGATTATTTCTTGTAATTGTTTGTATTTATAATAAGTTTACTATTGTAATATTTTGGAGGAAACAATAAACAGTATCTATCTATCTATCTATATTATTAATACCCTTCATGCATATATATGTATATACATATATAGAGATTGGTAGCAGCTTCCCTTTTAAAACAACGGTTGCCATCCGCCTGCTAAGCGTGGCAACTACTACCAAAACTCTCCAAGAGGGAGGCTTATGTTTAGCAGTTATATATATATATATATATATATATAACTATATATATATATATATATATATATATATATATATATATATATATATATATATATATATATATATATATATATATATATGTATGTATATATATATATATATATATATATATATATATATATATATACAGTCTTTCTTAAATATCTACCATGTACAGACATAGTCTAATTGCGATTTTATTATTTTAACAACATGTTGTTAATGATATTACGATACATATATGTAACAACAATTTTATCAATTTGCCAACAATTTCATAATTAAATTACACGTGATTTTATCAAAAAAAAAGATGACGTAAATATTATTAAATGGTAGGTATAAGAAGGATATATAAATAATAAATAGAATAAACAATCTTAATGTTTACCCTGGTTTTATCTCGGACAAGTTAATTTAAAAATGGCTCACAAATCCTTCTTAATTGTTTTCACTTCGGCTTTATTTAAATAAAACCATTATTATATTATATTTCATCTTGCATTTGTTAATATAAAAAATATATTTGTATATCTGTACAGTCGACAATTTTGTTATTTACCAGCCAAGAATTTGTTCTGTAGTAATTTTTTTTAATACAACTTAGAATGGCAAACAAGCTGACGGCCCACCTGATAGAAAGTGGTAACCGTAGTCGTCTTTTTTTTACAACACAAAGGTTGTAAAAAAAAAAACAAAAAAAATTCTATATAACGATTTTTTTTTGTACAAAAATTTCTTAATCGATTTATAACTGACGAAGTTCTGAGGTAAGAAATATAAAAAAAACACACGCGAATTGAGTACCTCCTCATGTTCGAAAACGGTCGAAAATCGATCACGCCTCCAGTGAGGAAATTAAAAATAGACAACTCACTTACTGGAGTCACTTGTAAGATGACTCGGCGTATTTTTAATATGAAAATTCCTACCATAGCGGCGTCAATAATGCAATAAATTTAATAATAGTGTACGTACAAAACGTTAGTAAACTAGGTGTATCACGTGGCTTTAGACAGGTTGAAAATATATTTTTCTCAAACATGCTTGGAAAGAACTCAAACTCACGTATGTGTGCCTCGGCTACGCCTCGGCTCACATTTGCACGTTCGTCCATCAATGCCTCAGTTGCTTGTCGCTGCAGTAGTGTACTTTAATAACATGATTTTGTTCATTTACTTTAAACACTAAACCTACCGACATTTTATATATACCTGATCCTACCATGAGGGGGGAAATGATTGTTAGTAATGGGAAGGTTAGTCCCCATTTCTATTAACATACACTATCAGGCCGACCACTACGCGGTTCCCCCTGAAAACTATCGTAACTAATTTATCATTGAATTCGCCACAATGGGCTAACAGACTTGCCTTTTCATCCTCACCTATCACCTTTCACTGGTAACCCGCCAGTGTATACCAATAGCGTAGGCGGGGTTACCATGACATTTTCACTCATAAAAAAAATCCTACCATAAGCGATCAAATGACCGCTTTAAAATAATGTATCTTAATATAGAAAGAGATTTTAGGCAATTGGATAGTAAACAAACAAATAATAGTAAGTTGTAAATTTTTTTTATACCACTGATATTGCAAACAAGCGTACGGCCCACCTGATGGTAAGCGGTTACCGTAGCCTATGAAGGCCTGCAATACCAGATAAATTACGCGCGCGTTGCCGACCCTGAAGAAACCTTTTTACCCCCCTTTTGAAGAACCCCATGCTGTAGTCTCTTGGGAAAACCTCGGTAGGGAGCTCATTCCACAACCTAAGTGTTCGTGGGAGAAAACATCTCTGAAACCGATGAAACATATTGAAAAATGGCATGTATGTATATTATATCGAATTAGTAATGAGGAGGTGCTGCTTAGGGGTTAAGGAAAAGAGACAAATTATTAGAATTGTTGAGGACAGAAGGGGAAAAATGTTGGGACACTTGACACGACACGACGAACTTATGAACATTATAATAGAAGGTAAGATAGAAGGAAGGAGGGGAGGAGGGAGACCAAGGCATAGTTATATCAAGGCAGATCAAGGAAGGAGTTGGTGTCGTGTCGTAACAAGAGGTGAAGAGACTCGCTGAAAATCGTAGTGAGTGGCAAGAGCTCCACCGACAAGAGCGCAGCTCTTAAATGGGAAAGATAGTATATTATAGGAAAAGTCAATAAGTTACATGGTGATACAGTAAAGTTATACATAAAAATTATTTTTTTTTATACGACTTAGAATGGCAAACAAGCTGACGGCCCACCTGATGGAAAGTGGTAACCGTCGCCTATAGACATGAGCCGTACCATGTACATAATAGTACACATACTGTTTCGCCCATGATACCCCCCATGCGTTGCCATTCCTGAGGACTCAGGTGTTATTCCTCTGTACCCTGTAAATTCACGCCATATCCCACCCTTCGAACCGAAATACAGCCATGCACACACAACTGCTTCACGGTAGAAACACGAATGGGACAGAGGTACCCAAGCAATCGACTTTTGTACAAAGTCTCCCTCTGGTAGTTTTAAACAAAATTTCAAAAACGGTCATTTGACCGCACTTGTTAGGTTTAGTGTTAATACAGATTTAGGTTATAACAAACTCCTGTCCTATCCACTGCTGATCATAAGCCTCCCCCTTGGAGGGTTTTGCCAGTAATTGCCACACTTGCCAACTGGATTGTCAACCGCAGTTAGGCTTTAGAGATGTTTTAAGAGGGACGCTGCTACCCATCCCTCGTGCTTCCTTAGTTGATTTTTACAACATCCATGGAAAAGGAAGAGGTAGCCTATTCGAAACGGCCATAAGATATATGTATATATATATATATATATATATATATATATATATATTTATTTATTTATATCACACTTTTTTACCACCACTGCCTTTCTTACGCTTTCTGTTACCTAATGGTCAACTGGTGGGGGCATCCCTTACTGGTGCCCCACCAGCGTATACCGTTAGCGCGAGGTGGCCATTTCATTATCACCCATTTAAAAAAAATTATCAGCTGATAGAGTATACCATATGGCATTAAGCTCGAAACTTGTACTAAGTTTTATTGTGCAATATAGAATAAATAAATATATAAATTTTACTTGTATAGAAAACTACTTAATTTTCATTCGAAACAAAGCAAAGAAATCGAAGGGGACATGAATTTGTTTGCGTACAGTTCGAATTAAGATGGACTGCTATTGTCTGCCCCGGGGGGCAGTGATGGCTTACCGTCCATTTAAAGGTGTTTACAAACGTATACTGTATTTTTATTGCTATACTATCATTGATTATTTATTTAGAATTATTTTGTTTAATTCCGCTACCATTAGTATATGTTCGACTGCCAATACTCGAAGATTGACCCCACTATTACTAGCAGAAGTTCCACAACCTTCCATATTAGACATCAATCTCCGACTGTCATTTTGTTCACGCATGTTTTGGGACACGTGTTTCACCTCTAAACGAGGCGTCTTCAAATTAATTATTTTTAACTTAATGCGCGCGTGACATTCTTAATCTAACAGGCATTCATAACCTCGTGTACCATCAGACGAGCTGTATGCTTGTGTACCACCATGGTTTTATAAAAAAAAGTAGCTTTAAAAGTATTTATCGCTCAGGCTTTGCCCATAGGTTACGGTAACCCCGTTTACTATCAGACGGGCCGTATGTCTGCTTGCCACCATAGTTGTATAAAAAATGTCTGAAAAAGTATTTATCGCTCACTCTTTGCCCATAGGCTACGGTAACCCCGTTTACTATCAGACGGACAAGTATATTTGTTTGCCACCATAGTTTTATAAAAAAAAAGTAGCTTTAAAGGTATTTATCGCTCACGTTTTGCCTATAGGCTAAGATAATCCCGTTTACTATCAGACGGACCATATGCTTGTTTGCCACCATAGTTATAAAAAAAAGTAACTGAAAAAGTATTTACTGTTTACGCTTTGCCCATAGGCTGCAGTAACCCTGTTTACCATCAAACAGGTTATATGCTTGTTTACCACCACAGTTGTATTAAAAAAGTAGCTAAAAAAACTTTTATCGCTCCCGCTTTCCTATATTCGTGTACTGGCAGCCTAATGTCACGGCACAAATAAAACATTCCTTGCGCCTCCGGAGTTGTGATTCAGTCTTAATACGGGCCCCTACCTGTGACGTACACTAAATAACAGCATAGTCTGGAATTATTCATCATCTGTGGTATTTAGTGAAGTGTTCGATTTTTGAAAATTTAAATTTCGTCTAATAGCTGCATTTTTAAATTGACCAGAACTTTATTTTAATATTCTTATTTTCGAATTTGCGTTTGTTGCAATCAAATTTAAATATAATACTTAAAAAAAATAATGACTAAATAAAAAAAAAAATACCAATAAGTTATACAACAAATCGTGTAATTTCAAAACAATAATCGAAATAAAATAAAATAAAATGACGTAGAATATTTTTTACTTGCAAATCATTCCAACAATGTGATTACTCACTTAATAAACCAAACCCCGTACTATAATTTCATTTTTACCTTTTTTTAATAAAACTATTATATTATTATTATTATATCAGCTGTTGACTGTCCATTGCTGAACATACATCTCCCTCATAAGGAGGGTTTTGCCAGTAGTTGCCACGCTTGGCAACAACAAGACAGGTTGGCAATCGCAGTTAGGCTTTGATGATGTTTTAAGAGATACGCTACTGCCCATCTTCTGATTATTAAGTAAATTTATAATAAAAAAAAAATAGGATAATTTAAAAAAAAAAAGTTATAACAATTATAATAATTTTTACATATTATCTAATATATAAAATTCTCGTGTCGCGGTGTTTGTTACCAAACTCTTCCGAAATGGTTTTACCGATTTTCATGAAATTTTGTGTGCATATTGGGTAGGTCTGAGAATCAGCCAACATCTATTTTTCATACCCCACAATGATAAGGGTGACCCACCACAAAATTTTTTTTTTTATTTTTTTGACAAAATTTTGTATTTTTATTTTAATATGATTTAGCATTGAAAAATACATACATACATACAATAGGGTTGCAAGATGGCAATTGAGTATAATAATTGTAGTATGATATATTTTCATATATAGTTCTAGAAATAATGTACATGGTAAAACAACGTTTGCCGAGTCAGCTAGTTATTTTATAATATTCAAATAAATAAAATAAATATGTATTGTTAGTGCATAAAGAGGTTTAATTTGTATTAGATAAAGTCAAATAGAGTATAGGGATAGAAGAAAAATTAGCTGATTTCAAAAATTCTTTCACCTATAAAAAGTTACATTATCAGCCAGTATCATTGGCTGTGTTTTATTTAAAAAATAAAAATCTTTTATTATCTATCTTTGTACAAAAGTCTGTTGCTTGGGTAACTCTGTCCCATTCGCTTTTCTACCGTGAAGCAGCTGTGTTTGCGTGGCTGTGTTTCGGTTTGAAGGCTGGGATATGGCAGCGAATTTACAGGGTACAGAGGAATAACACCTGAGTCCTCAGGAATAGCAACGCATGAGGGGTATCATGGGCGTAACAGTATACTCTGTTATGTCCATGGTACTGCTCATGTCTATAGGCAACGGTTACCAATTTCCATCAGATGGGCCATCAGCTTGTTTGCCATTCTAAGTTGTATAAAAAAAAACGTTCTACTCGTGCGAAGCATAGAAGGTTCGCTAGTTCATTATATTTTCTTCGACTTTAAAAAAAATAGGTCCAATTCGGTTGTATTTTTTTTATAACCTCATAACTCCGTCAGTTGTAAACCAATTTGAAAAATATATATTTTTTTTTTATCTAAAGGTGTATACTTATTAATTGGTCCTATAGAAATTTTATTAAAATCGGTTTATTAGTTTAGTTTTTAAGTCAAAATAAGTTTTTCTATTGTGGAACACAATTTATTTGAAAAATAGTTCATTTTTTGCCATAGTTGATTAATTTCAGTTGAGATATCATGGGCGAAACAGTATACTCTATTATATCCATGGTACTGCTCATGTCTATGTGGTAACCGTCGTCTATAGACATAAGCGGTACCATGGACATAACATAGTACTACTCATGTATGGGCTACTCATGTATCATGGGCCGTCAGCTTGCTTGCCATTCTAAGTTGTATAAAAAAAATACTATTTTGCCCATGTTACCTCCCATGCGCTACCATTCCTGAGAACTTAGGTGTTATTCCTCTATATCCTGTAAATAAATGGCAACGCATGGGGGGTTACATGGAAGAAATAAATTTAAATAAATTACTCTGGTATGTTCATGATAGTGCTCATGTCTATAGGCAACGATCACCACTTTCCATCAGGTGAGCCGTCAGCTTGTTTGCCATTTTAAGTACCATAAAAAAGAATCGGAAAATACATCCTTTCAAATAAAAAAAAAGAAATTTTCGAATCGTTTCATAAACGGTTAAGCTCTAAGGTAACAAACACAAAAAAAATACATTCGAATTAAGAACTTCCTTTTTTGAAATTGGTCTGAAAAAAACAAAGTCTCAAGTAATGACCAGTACAAAATTTAATCAATAAATTAATCACTGTTGTAATCGGTAAAATTAAGTGAAATGTCACGTCCCTGATAGCGGACGATGGGTATTAGAGTGCCGTTATCAGAGATCAATTTTCGCCTGCTTACCTGATAATAAAATGTAGGGGGAAATTAGAATCAGATATCTGGACGAAAGCGCGTCATATTGAAGATTAGGGAGTAAAATTGATAAAAAAAAATCAATCAGTCTTTTTTTTATACAACTTAGAATGGCAAACAAGCTGCAACCCACCTGATGGAAAGTGGTAACCGTCGCCTATAGACATGAGCAGTAGCATGGACAGAACAGAGTATAATGTTTCGCCCATGATACTCCTCCATGCGTTGCCATTCCTGAGGACTTAGGTGTTATTCCTCTGTACTCAGTAAATTCACGCCATATCCCACCCTTCAAACTAGGGGGGAAAGGGATTGTTAGTAATGGAGACTGAGAATCCCATTGCTAGCAATATACCTAACCAGGTCGACCTCCTCGCGGTTCCCCCTGGAAACTATCATGGTTAATTCCTGATGAATTCATCATGATGAGCTAACTGGCCTGTTTTCATTCTCATCTATCACCCTTCACTGGTGCTCCGCCAATATATCCCGTTAGCGCAGGCGGGGTTACCATACCATTTTCACCTATCAAAAAAACCCTTCAAACCAAAACACAGCCATGCAAACACTACTGCTTTACGGTTGAAGCGCAGGCGGGGTTACCATACCATTTTCACCCATCAAAAAAAAACCCTTCAAACCAAAACACAGCCATGCAAACACAACTGCTTTATGGTTGAAACACGAATGGGACACAGGTATCCAAGCAATCGACTTTTGTACAAAGTCTCCCTCTGGTAAATCATTTGATTCCGTTTAGCTGTTTTAGCATGATTCAGTAACAAACATACAAGCATTTAAACATCCAAACATATTTTTAAACTTTCACATTTATTAGTAGCAAGTCTTCTGTTCGAACTGGATTTTAGAAGTGGATAGTGTAATAAAAAAAAAAAACAATGGAATAGGCTATTTCTAGATGGCGCGTCAAGACAAAACATACGAGTACATGAGCAGGCCTACTCTTGAATCTAATACCAATATCAATCCAATCTATTGCCAATGACAATTGTACACTGCACTCATGGAACAAGAGTTAGGAATTAGGTTATAATTGGGATCGGTTTACAATAGTTCGCATTGACAAGTTACACTAATATGCATCTATTAGAACAGTATGGAACCATTATGTCGCTAGTGTTGCTAGTCAAAAGCGCGAAACGTCTCAATTACAATATTGTTCTTTTGGAATTTATTTTAAGAGCAACCCCACAGTTTTTAAATTAGACCTTCAGTAACATAACAGTGAAAACCGTGTGTAAAAACTAGTGAATTACTATTTAAATGATTCATTCATTCATACTGATTCAATATATTTTACCATATTTACTGTTCAACTACAGCAAACTTCAAACTATGACAAAAATAATAACAAAATGAAAATCGTCACAGTGGGTTTAATGATACTGACAATACCATATTATTGTTTCTGCCTTGAAGATATACACATCCGAGAATTATTTGAAGAAATCAACCATAATGTAATCAAATTCAATGCACAAGCCGCAGATATAGCTTGGGCATCCTCGTTCGATCCTCGAAACCCAGTATTGCCAGCTAAATCGGCGAAATATCAAAAGCAACGGATCATATGGCAACAAGAAACGTGCAGTCGGTTGGCGGAACTGGTAAAACGTCACTTGTTAACAAGCGCGCAAAGGCGACAGACGTACCTTCTGTGCAGAGAGCCTAAATACACTTATAGAGAGACCAGGTAATATATTTTTTAATTATTTTATTTTTATATGTAATGCTCTATTAATTGCGTACCCAAATGCTTTAAGATTGTCAAATGGCTAGTTGAAACCTATAAGATTCCAGAAAACCCGGAAATTATCAGTAAAGTTGGTTGAAAAACAATTACAGTTCTTCTAACTTTTTACCCGTGCGAAGCCGAGGCGTAGATAGATAAATAAATAAAAAAAATAGATAGAAAAATCATAACATTAATTGAAGTACTGTCTACTATCACATTTTGATAGCCATTCCCCCACAATACTCAATTGTGATTCACATAATGCTCACGTTCATAAATAATCAAAAAACTGCAGAGCTGATTGTCACTAAGGACCTTCAGGTATCCTGTACATGAAATAACTATATACAATACTATGATAATTCCAACTACTTATGATGGGGGGGAAAGGAATTCTTAGTAATGAGGATTAATAGCTCCATTACTAGCAATATACCTTCTTAGGTCGACCTCCACGCGGTTCCCCCTGGAATCCATCATGGTTAACTTTTGTCGAATTTATCATGGTGGGCAAACTGACCTGCATTCATTCTCATCTATCATCTTCCACTGGCGCCCTGCCAGTGTATACCGATAGTGCAGGCGTGGTTACCAACACAACAACTTATGATCAACAATTGATAATTATGATAATTTCTTTATGAAACATAGAATGGTAAACAAGCCAACAACCCACCTAATGAAAAGTGGTAACTGTCATCTCTAAGTACGTTGGACATCAGAGAAAACGTTGTGGTGCCCACAGTACCTAGAGGGAAAGGGATTGTTAATAAAAGGAATCTAACAGCCCCTTTGCTAGCAAGCAATCCCTATCAGGTCAACTTCAACGCAGTTCCACTTCGAACCCATGACCTGCTCTGATTCTCACTTATATCATCTCTCACTGGAGCGCCACCAGCGTATACCATTAGCACAAGCAAGATTACCATTCCATTTTTGTCACTAAAAATCCCTAGTACCTCTGTCCATCCTGGTTATAATGATTATATAGATTTGGCATCTCATCTCCTCATCTTCTAGAAGCCCCAATACTCAAATAACTACGATAATCCTTCTAAAATCTTACATCCAAAAAAACATAGTTTGAAAAACGAGGTAATGACATAATTTTATTAATGGAAATTGTATTTTTAAAGGGTCGCCAGTGCATTGTATGAACAATTACAAGCTATATACTCAGAAGTAAATATATGCATACCCAGTGAACGGAACTTAACTGTAAACAATCTAGCAGAAACTGAAAATGCTATTGAAAATTATTTAATAGCAATTAACGAAGTTGTGACTTCACAAGACATAGATGAAGTATATGTAGCATCCAAAGTTGCTACTAATCATCACGATGACTCTAACAATGCTGTTTGTCTAAACGATGATGCAGATTTTGACAAATTGATGGCTTTTTCGAAGAAAGAGGAAGTGTTGAGATGGCTATGGTTGACGTGGAGGGAAAAAGTGGGACCACTCATGAAGATACCGTACCGCCAATTAGTGGATCTCGAAAATGTAGCTGCAAGAAGAAGTGGTAATTATGTTAACGATATTTTCAGAAATATAGGCCGTAAATATTTTTTACAACTTAAAGACCTTGGTGGAAATATGCACATTGATCGACAAAATTAGATTGAAATACGTGGAGACTTCTTTTCCCGTGGGTGTCGTAAGAAGCAACTGAGTAAACTAACAGTCGAGAGATAGGCAGCAGCATTGCTCTTAAAATATCACCAAAAACTTAACTGTGGTTGCCAACCCACTTTCCAAGCGTGGCAACTAACACTTTCAAAGCGTGGCTAACCCCGCCCTTATGAAGAAGGCCTATGTTCAGCAGTGAACAATTAACGGCCGATATGATGATGATAATTAGATTGTAAATTAATTTGAAACTAATATGTATATCTGGTAAATGAGAGAATCATAATAATAAATATGTCATACTGCATTGTAATTATTTCTGTCGGCTTTACACACATTTTAATTTCGGGGATCTCCGACTAGTTTTTGAACTCGATCATTACATTCCTGAACATAAGCCTCCCCCTTGAGAGGCTTTGCCAGTAGTTGCCACTCTTGGCATGCGAATTGTCAACCACAGCTAGGCTTTGGTGATATTTTAAGAGACGCTACTACCCATCAATTGGACATTAAGTTAATCTTCTCTTATGACACTTACGGAAAAGGAGGAGGTGGCTCTTTCTATGCCAGAATTAGACGATAAGATATAATTACTTTAGAATAAAATTGTATGTTCAACAAAGAATTCATTCATACATTTTTCAGGCTATGCCGATATAGGGGCAGCTTGGCGAGATGAGCTAGAAGTACCAAACTTGAGATTACTCTCTCGTCAACTAAATGATCAAGTACGTCCACTGTATCAACTTCTTCATGGTGTGGCCAGATATTACCTAAGAAAGCGATACGGAGACTTGGTACCCGAGTACGGGTATTTACCAGCACATTTACTTGGTAAGATTTTAGTGAATTTAACCAATCTGATGACAATCGGCTTATAAATCCCGGCATAGAATGAACCACCCCTTCCTTTCCGTGGATGTCGTAAGAGGCGACTAAGGGAGCTTATGGTGGAGGGATGAGCAGTAAGCTCCTTCTTAAAACATCTCTAAAAGCCTAATTACGGTTGCCAAACCGCCTGCCAAGCGTGGCAACTACTAGCAAAACTCCTCTTATAGGGAAGGCTTATGTTCAACAGTGGATAATTAACAGCGGAAGTAATGATAATAAAAACCAATCTGATACAATACTTCCACATCTTAAGAAGAGTCTTGAAAAATCGTCCTATGAGGATAGATAGAAATGATTAATCTAGTATTAGTTATTTTACTGGTACTATACTGCTTTGTTTTGTTTCATCAACTTAATTTTTCATTTCATTTGTTTCGTAGAAATTTTTCCGTGTTTGAATCTCGAACTCATCCTTGCAGTCAAAGCGGAAACAAGCAGGTTTTGGCCCCTAAGTAATATTCCACGCTGAACACATAACAGCAAAATATTACAAGAATTTACATTTATTTTTTTATTTTGACAAATTGATATTTTTTATGATGTTGCTTCAAATTAGCTTTAATTACGAAATAATCAACAAAAATCATAAGTCTGGATTCCAGCGTCATCTAATATTTGATCTCCAATTTTGCTTAGGGACCAATCATCTTCAAAGGTAGATAGATAGATAATTTATTTACATTACTTACAGCACACAAATTACAATACAAACATACACATGATACACAGTAAAAAAGATAAAAGATAGAAAAGAAAAAAAGCAACAAAAAAAAACAAAAAGCAAAATATATAAAACAACAATTTCCTTTTTTTTCCTTCACGCGCGTGCTGTAGTAACACAAAATGGTCACAACTCAGTTTATTGGTTTGCCCTCAAAAGAGCAAAACACTGATATTCTGTTGTGGCCAAGAGTCAGTCGCGAAATTCCTTATTAAAAATAATAATAAAAAGAAATATGAATAAGATATATTGTGTGTGTCCATTACATACGCCTCCATTTGATATTATATTCTAAATAAATAAATAACAGATACCATTATATGAGGGCTAGTCAGAGGTCAATAAAATTTAATTATACTTATCTAGTGACAAGAATTAGCAAAGTTTAATGCTATATTCGACCATTTTAATTATTTAATTTCAGGCAATCTGTGGTCGCAGAACTGGGAACATTTATTAGACATGATCATACCACAGACATTAAACTTGGATGAAAGTATCAAGAAACTTAATTGGACGACTATGCATATGGTAAATCTTGTTACGTTCTAACAAATCTTTACTAGCAACTATATATCGCCGTATGGTCTTTTTTCTTTAATATATAATAATGGAATGATAACTCACTCACCTCACTGGTGCCCCGCCTGCGCTAATAGTATACGCAGGCGGGGCACCAGTGAGAGATGATAGATGAGGATGAAAAAGCAGGTCAGTTAGCCCATCCTGATGAATACATCTGGAATTCAGCACGATGGTTTCCAGGTAGAACCACGAGGCCTGACAGGGTGCTAGCAATGGGACTGGTAGTCCGCATTACCAACAATCCCTTACCCCCTCGACTACCCTACGATTACATAAAATGTAATTAATTACATATATTTATATAATTTAAGTTTGTCTCGTGCCTTTGAAAATTGTCACAATATTGTACACCGCTCTACCCGCTGACATTGATGCTCCTTTCCACTTTGCGTGTTGCTGGAAGAGAACTCTATTAGAGTTAAGCTCGCCTTTGTACATTTGATAACCTAAGTCATATTTTTATGTATAATTGGTGTGTACAATGAAGAATAAATAAATAAGTACGCTAATGCACCTACTATGTACAGAAGAATAAATCAAATTCTTCTCCATTTGATGTACAAAAAAAAATTATACAAATATACGAATAAAAAGCATTTACACTCAAGGACACCAATAAAACATGTAGTAACTTTTTTACATCGTATTGTCTAAAGAACGTATGTAAAACTCATTAAATATAAAAAAAAAATATTAAAATTTAATTATTGTTTGATTTGATTTGAAATCCATTATCCGGATTATCGAGTATAAATTTAGTTCATATTTAGAATAAAAATATCGTTGCGATATCAAAATGAAATTTCAATTTTAGAGACAAAAGGTTAATGAAAATGCCTCAAAGTTGACTATATTATCATCTAATAACTTGAGATAGTGGGAAAATGGATTTTAATTAATTACAAAATTAGTTAGTTAATCGGATCGACCTCCACGAGGTTCCCCCTGGAAACTATGTTGGTTAATTCTAGTGGAATTCATCACGATTGGCTAACGAACACGCTTTAATCGTCATCTATCATCGCTCACTAATGCTCCGCCAGTGTATACCGTTAACGCAGATGGAGTTACCATTTCATTATCATCCATAAAATCTGAGATAATATTATCTATATCTCCAATAATACTAATTACATTATAGGTGAAACGAGCTGAAGACTTCTACCTATCGTTAGGTTTACCGCCAATGACTGACACATTTTGGCGCGAATCCATATTTACGCGGGAAACGCACGTTACGCGCTGCCATGGATCTGCGGCGGACATGTTTAAAGATGGCGATTTTAGGTAAAAAAGTTTTTATTCACATACGAGTATCATTCAGAAATCTGTGTAATTAAAATAAAACCTATTAACGTAAGATCTCGATACTGTCTTCTGCAGATATAGGATTTTTTAATGAATCTTGACCAAATATATCAAAATTATTACCTATTTTCACCTGGCAACCATTATTTTCAAGTAACTAAGAGGAAACAATCCAAATGCAGTACATTTTTGTTCATCTTTCATTTAAAATTTTAAACAAATTTCGTTGAAAAGTCTTATAGATGCAAAAAGCGTTATAAATTTTTTTGTCTATTTTAAACTTTGTTGATTTTTGAAGATCTTTTGTTGAAATCCATCATCAGCAATAGTAGTCGATTAACGGAATTAAATGTTGATAATCACAAAACAATTTATTTATTTATTACATTATTAATTAACAAGCCAAAAGTTTAAATTAACAAGGTTAATAAAATAAAAAAGTGTAGAATTTAAATAAATGATTTTAAAAAAGAAAAGATTTTTATAAAATAGCCTTTGATTTTGATATTTTCAAACTTCAAAATTGAAAGAAGTACTTAATTCAGTTGTATTTTTTATGTATGTTACCTCATAACTCCGAAAATTATATTTCATCTAAAAGCATATACTTTCAAATTGGTCCCATGGAAAATTTAACAAATATCTGTAGTTTAGTTTTTATGCCAAAGTAACTGGTTTAACACGACTGAATTTTTTTTTTAAAAGACATATCTATTTAAGACTTTTGTACTGCTCTGGTACCACTTTGGAAGACTTCTACGTGCTGCACCACGAACTTGGACATATCCAATATTATATGGCTTACCAGGAACAACCAGGTCTGTTTAGAGTAAGTATGGAAAATTTATATCTCTTTCAAAAACAATATCAGCTGTTATTACATTATTATATTTAGCTTTAAAGGCTTTTTTTACTGCATTTAAATTTGTTAAATAGACTAAGGATCTAGTTCACGGGAAGTTGGAACTGTCATCTAGACATTTTTTTTTTATACGACTTAGAATGGCAAACAAGCTGACGGCCCACCTGATGGAAAGTGGTAACCGTCGCCTATAGACATGAGCAGTACCATGGACATAACAGTACACACACATACTGTTTCGCCCATGATACCCCCCATGCGTTGCCATTCCTGAGGACTCAGGTGTTATTCCTCTGTACCCTGTAAATTCACGCCATATCCCACCCGAAATACAGCCATGCAAACACAACTGCTTCACGTTAGAAACACGAATGGGACAGAGGTACCCAAGCAATCGACTTTTGTACAAATTCTCCCTCTGACATACTCAAATGTTGCTATTCCTGAAAATTAATCCTTAAAAGCCTGATTTTTTAAATCAAATTAAAAAATATATAAGTGTATCCATTACTGTGTTTACTAATGGGGAAAAATAGTGAAAAAATCAAAACGATATTTTTGTATATTTATTTTGAAAAAAACATATGGTATCATTTTTGATACTTTAGGCATTACGGTAATCAAAATATTTAAATTTATTTAACAATGAAACAATGAAAACGCTGGTATCAAATTTGAAACTTCAGGTATTTAAGGGTTAAAGTATTAGAAGGGTTAAAGTAGTAGAATTGGATAATATATAGCAATATCTAAATATCCGACCGATATGGACGATACCGAAATGCGTAATGACCTTTGCCCCGCCATCAATGTGCAGAGGAACCCAATATATAGATAACGCATCGATATTCATATTGCCCTATAAAACGTTATGGTTTATAACTCTATAATTTTACAGACATATCCGACTCTTCAAACCGAAACAACCATGCAAATAAAAAGACATACTTCCTACTTTCACTGAAATATCCCATACTGTTACTCTCTCTGTAACTGTAGTATGAGATATTTTACTGAAAAGATAAAGGAAATTTATCGAGCAACAATGAATGGAGATGTCGGTAGGGGCCGCCCTAGACGGACGTATGTCGACCAAATAGGTGACGTGCTGAAGAAGGGCCAAATTAAAAGTACCCGTAACCGGCGAGCGTGTATGAAATGATTGATGAATGTGGAAGAAGCGAAAGAGGTTTGTTTGAATCGAAGCATTTGGCGTTCCATTGTTTCTGCCTACCCTAATGGGAGACAGGCGTGACAGATATGTATGTATGTATGTATAAAGGCATAGTTTTACTCACCTGGATTATTGTTCTTTCATAAGTTGACCAGTTATTGCATATTCAATATCAACATTTGAAATCCTAATTTAACAGGACAGTATTTTTTTTTGATGGGTGAAAATGGAATTTGAACCCCACCCTGCCTGCGCTAACGGGATATGCTGGCGGAACACCAGTGAAAGGTGATAGATGAGGATGAAAACAGGCCAGTTAACCCATCATGATGAATTCATCATAAATTAACCATAATAGTTTCCAGGGGGAACCGCGAGGAGGTTGACCTGGTTGGGTATATTGCTAGCAATGGGATTCTAAGTCTACATTACTAACAATCCCTTTCCCTCCTCAGGATAGTATTAGTCCAATAATAAAATAATTAAAATAACTTCATTTCATGAGATAATATAAATTTATTGCACTTTTGCAGCAAGCAAACACTGCACTTCATGAAACCATAGGCGATACAATAATGCAAGGCGTGCTAACACCCCAACACTTGCACAGACTTGGGCTTGTCAATGATTCTGTTCTGTACACTAATAAATTTGAAAAAGAAAATGATGATAAACTTAATGACTGTGACAGGAATAATGAAAATAATGATAATATTAATGAAAAGAAACAAGAAGATGATGTTAATGAAGTACTTCGTGAATTCGAATCGAGTGATAATATATTAATGCTTAAACAAGCACTAAACAAAATACCGCAAATACCATTTGCACTTCTAATAGATGAGTACAGATGGAAATATTTTGAAGGCACAATTAATTTTGATAATCAGAATAAAGATTTCTGGAAGATGTCCCAGGAATTAATGGGAATAGCACCACCAGAAGTGAGGAGCGAAGATTATTTCGATATAGGAGCAAAATTCCACGTTCCTGATAACACGCCATTTATAAGGTACTAGCTGAACGTTGTTTTACCACTTTCGTTTGCTAGATACATTTTTTGTTAAGATAAAAATTAGAATAAATCTCTCAAATTGGAGCAAAAATTTATTAGCATTTACAAAATATCTTGTGTGTGAATGGGTTGAGTAATTTCAGAAATTAACGTCGATGTCTATATTTTTTTTAATGGGTGATAATGGAATGGTAACCCCACCCGAGCGATCGGCATGTATATATATATATATACGGCTATATATATATATATACACCGGCGGGGTACCAATGAAGGATGATAGGTGAGGAGATGAAGTAGGTCAGTTAGCCCATCGTGACGAATTCAACAAGAATTGTTCACGATGGTTTCTAGGGGGAACCACGTGGAGGTCGACCTAATAAGGTATATTGCTGGCAATGGGGCTGTCAAACTCCATTACTAACAATCTCTTTCCCCTTCGTCGATGTCTATTAAAACATTTTTTTTTTGTATATCAAAATAATGAAATTTTAACTAGATGATTGAACTTGGGAGATATTTAAGAAAAATTGACTTTGCTATGAAGCAAAATATTAATGTCAATACTTATTATTCGAGAACAAAATGTAATATATCCCACATAATCCCAAGAAGTTTAAGTGGTACTAAAGATTCTTAAGTTTTTTTTTTATATATATTTGCATGATAATAAAATAGAATAATAATATGTGGAATCTAAATAAGAAAATTAGAAGGCAAAACGATCATTTTTTTAATTTTTATTTGCTGCTTATATGTTTGTTCGGACGTTATGCAAAAACTAATGCACAAAATTGGATAAGGTCTTCACAGTCATTGCTGATGGTCGAACTAAAAATCTTTTGCATGTTTCATCTTAATACGCAGTCTAGAAATGATCTACTTCATTGATTTTTCTTCTTCCTAAAACCACATATATCCATTCACCAGCAAAAACCAGTTTATATTAATCTTCTAACTTCTGTATTTCTAGATATTTCCTCAGCAGCTTCATCCAGCATCAACTGTTCGAAGCTCTCTGCAAAGCAGCTGTGTACGGCAGAAGATCGATTGCAGAAGATGTACCAAAAACTATCGCGATGAACCGCTGTGACATTTATGGTTCCAAGGCAGCAGGAAAACTATTGAAGTAAGCTTATTCATTCAAAAAACGGGAAGATTCTCAATTCGGTTGCATTTTTTATGTTTCCTACATCCGATCTTGGCTAGCATACAAGATCATGGAATGGTTGCAGAGTCGCAGGTTTTCTGCTTGAAAGAGCCCGACTTTCAATAATGATAAATACCTTAGACCTTGACCCACAGGAGCGTTCCCACAATCTTCTGCAGACCCCGGCTGGAGCCCCAATGAAACGGATTCTTTATCTAGGCGCGCAGGATATGTGCTGTATGGCACTAGCTGACTTGTTGCTACCGTATGGATTTTGGATGTCCCTAAGTATCTGCCACCGTCATTTATAAACCGATTTGGATTTTTTTTTATCTGAAAGGTTACTTTTACATTGGTTCTACAGACAATTTGATGGATGGCCCACCTGATGGAAAGTGGTAATCGTCGCCTATAGACATGAGCAGTACCATGGACATAACTGAGTATACTGTTCCCCCCATGCGTTGCCATTCCTGAGGATTCAGGTATTATTCCTCTGTACCCTGTAAATTCACGCCATATCCCACCCTTCAAACCGAAACAGCCATGCAAACACAACTGCTTCACGGTTGAAACACAAATGGGACAGAGGTACCCAAGCAAACGACTTTTGTACAAGTTTAAAGATATTCAAATGAGCCGTTAAGGCACTAAGAAACAATAAACAAATAAATAAAATCAGATTTATATTATTAGTTAGAATGGAAATACAATCACTGAATCCTTTTAAATTCCAGAGACCTCATGTCCAGAGGTCACTCACAACACTGGCGAGAGATCCTCCAAGCAACGACAGGTGACACCGACATATCGTCGAAAGCTTTATTACGCTACTACCGCCCTCTACAGGAGTTGTTAGAGAAATTGGTTCGCATTTATCACATACCCATCGGTTGGTAATAGGCCTGAATCAGATTGAAAGATGCGCATTTACAGAACACGGATATGTCAGCGTAAATATTTAAAATGGGTGTTAGACGATTTAATATTTAGAGAGAATAAAAGAATTAATATGTCTATCACTTTCATTATCGTTTCATCCAGTGATCGTCTGTTTTGGAACATACATCTTCCCCATAGACTGCCATAAGGAATGAATCAGAGCCACCACTATCTACTGAGTTCTTGAAATGCATTTAAAACCATCTCTTTTTTTTTTATACAACTTAGAATGGCAAACAAGCTGACGGCCCAACTGATGGAAAGTGGTAACCGTCGCCTATAGACATGAGCAGTACCATGGACATAACAGAGTATACTGTTTCGCCCATGATATCCCCCATGCGTTGCCATTCCTGAGGATTCAGGTGTTATTCCTCTGTACCCTGTAAATTCACGCCATATCCCACCCTTTAAACTGAAACACAGCCATGCAAACACAACTGCTTCACGGTTGAAATACGAATGGGATAGAAGCATCCAAGCAATAGATTTTTGTACAAAGTCTCCCTCTGGTACAAAGGTGATTCTCGGTCAAGGTTAGATTTTTTCTTTATTTATAAACATTTGGATTATTAGTTTAATGTTTCATAAACTAATTAAACACCTAAAAATAAAACAAACCAATTAAATTAACAATAAATACAATTTATTAACTTATTCATTTCATTAAATAATTACAACTTTTTGTTTCTCTACAAAAAAATAAGAATAGCGAAGAAAACGTGGTAGTGAAAAAAGTGTTTAAAAAATAAATTAGAAGCACATAGAAAATAATTTACTTAAAGCCATCTTAATTATTCTTAATTTATTTACATTGAAGTTGGTAAAACGAAAATAAAAAAGAAATAAACGGAGACCTGTACAACTATTTATAAAAAAAGAATATTTACAATATGCTATAGGCACTTATGAATTATAAATTTTTTTTTCCTCAATATTTTGACATATTTTACTATCTTCAATGTGTTATTATTAATATCAATATCACATTTTTATATCTATCTATCTATAATTCAAAACGGTAATTTTAATATACTTTTTTTTTAATTATATTTCTTGTAAGGCGATATATTTGTTCTCTTTCCAAAAGAATAATGGACAAATTATTTTTTAACAGTTTTTTTCTCTCTCCCGCTCTGAGAATACAACAATTGATCGAGCTGAGTGATTATTGATAAATTACTTAAATTTTGATATGCAGAATAAATACTAAACTACAATTTGATAGAAAACAAAAACAATCATAGAGAATTTTCTACGAATTTTAATTTAGTGATATTTTAAAATTGGAATGTTTTGAAATGTCACTATTAATTTCAAACTTTCAAATTAATAGAATGGAAGATTGACAAGACTGGACATAAAACAGCATTATTGTGGCCAAGTACACTCAAATTTGAATACAATTCTTTTAAGTTTAAAATTCAAAATTCAATGCAACTACATATTAATAAACTTTTAAACAACAAATAATATAAATAAACTTCACAAATCATCAGTACGAATAACAGACTCCAAGAGAATTTTCATTGAAAACTCATATTTTGGAGTAGAATTATTGTCTGTTAAGTAACAGACCATAGTGGTAGCCTCCAAATACTTATGTAGTGATAGACTACTTGGTAGTGAACTACTAATTTAGCGACGGACTACTTAGATAGTGACGGAACACTTATGCGGTGGCGAACTCTTTATTGACGATCTACTAATGTAGTAGCGGACTTTGTTAGTGACAGACTTCTAACGTAGTAATAAACTACAAATGGAGTGGCTGACTACTTATATAGTAATGGACCACTTAGTGATGGACTACTATAAGTTCGATGGACTGCTATTAATTTGACGGACTTCTTTAAGAGTGACGGACTGCTATGAGAGGGTCGTCGCATGTGAGATCCAATCTACAGTATGAGCGACTCTATGATAAATGCCAGGTTGACCTCTACTCGCGCAGGAGTACCCAGCAGAGACGACGCCGATGAGGTACCATCTGCCAGCTCTTTCTAGCATTAGAGGCCCTCCGCTGTCACCTTGGCAGCTATCCTTCCCTCCGCCCCGATATCCGGCACAGAGCATTTCTGGATATATGACTACGTTTATACCTGTAAAGAAAAACAAAAAGAAATTAAGGCTTCTAATTTGAAAAGTAACTAATATTAAAATATTTACTGATAGCAAATCTTTTTTTATTTTGGTACATAATCTAAAATGATATCATTACCAAAGGGAGATTATGTACCAGATGTCGTCAACATTGTTACTTCTGTTCTACTTCTATTTCTACTATTGTGTTTCTGTGTGTGTGTGTGGGTACATAGAAGTATTTCGATTTGAACGATGGAATATAGAAATGAAATTATAATTTAAGATTGTGTTCCACAAAAAACCGACTTCATTTGTGGCAGTTATTTTGGTTTAAAAACTAAACTACTGCACAGACTTTGATAAAATTTCTATGGGACTAATCTGTAAGTAAATCCTTTTGAATAAAAAATATAATTTTCCAAATCGTTTTATAACTGACGGAGATATGGTGTAGCAAATAAAGAAGACCAACTGCGGTTGTCAACCCGCTTGCCAAGAATGGCAATTACTGGAAAAACCCCCTTAATGGGGGAGGCCTATGTTCAATAGTTAATAGTTAACGGCTGATATGATGATGATAATCTATACTTATATATATAATCTGTAGCGAGGTCAATTCTGTACATGAAATATATTTCCAAAATAACTATTAGGGGGTGATTAGTGATCGATACTGATGCCAAAAATGCAATCAGTAAAATTTTTGTCTGTTTGTATGTTTGTTATAGAAATAAAAACTACTCGATGGATCTTAACGAAACTTAGTACAATTATTCTTCATACTCCTGGCCAGCTTATAATATACTTTTCATCACGCTACAATCAATAGGAGCAGAGCAGTGAACAGAAATGTCGGGAAAACGGGAGAAGTTACTCCATTTTTAAACTTCCGTCGCGTGTGCAGCCTTAATGGCCATTTTTTAAAATGTAAAAACGTGCAACACCGGGACGAGCCGGAACTTCCTTCTTTTTGGAATCGGGTGAAAAAGTAAGGAATAATATCTTAGTCCTTAGAAAAGGCAATGCATGAGAGCTATTATAGATTAATGTAGTGCAATTAGGTAGTATGTTCAATAATACCCTTGATTCATGTCTCCAAGAAATATGTCTGATTAAAACATTAATAAATACTCCGGTCATAGTATTTAATATACGATTATTTATCGGTTTTAGTTTTACTTAATTAGGTATATTATAATAAAAATTACAAAGCAATAAAAAGACAGTCTCGTAGTGTTATAGTGTTACAAAGAGGGCGTCTCATCCGCGCGATGAATATAAAATTTGCAGGGTAGTATGGTGTGCCGTCGGAGATGTGGTGAGTGCGAAAGCGAACCCTTGTCTCCGACATATGGCACCTCGAGGGTATATCGTCTGGTTTTTGGTGGGTACACTCCCACCTTACGGGGGGATTCCTGCAGTACCCATTCACCTCCCACAAGGTGTATGGGTCTGCATGAAGTATTTTCCAGACGTTAAAAAAAATGGTAGTATAGTGTCCGTTGCGCTGTATTGATATGCACGGCCTGTCTGCTACGTTTATGCCGGTCCGCCATTGTCTAGCCATGTATTAGTGTTAACATGATGATTACCGTTTCCCATCTGGCCTGTCAGCTTGTTTGCCTGTTTGCTAGTCCAAATTGCAAATAACTACCTACCATTAGCCCGATGCCATCTTTCGCAGACTCGGTTGTCCAAGACTGGTACATCGACAGCCTGAAGGGTACGAGGTCGAAGTCTGGATCCTGGACTTAAGGCACCCCAGCCGGCAGCCCAGCCATACTGGCCGAGGAAGTCAGACCCTCGTTCCGGTAGGCAGATTGGCGCTGGAAAAAGAATTGGAGAAACTTTAATATTTTCAATATGTTACTTTATAATTGAACGAGAAGAGAACATTGGTTGAAATAATAAAGAATAGAAGAGGCAAAATGCTGGACTACCTTATACGACGTGACGATTTTTTAAGAGCATAGTAGAAGGAAAGATAGAGGGCAAAAGAGGAAGAGGAAGACCGAGGAATAACTACATGGGACAGATAATGGGAACACTAGGCATCATGTCGTATAGGAAGATAAAGGATATGGCCTGGGATAGAGCTGGCTGGAGGAAGATGCATGAATTAGTTGCACCGACAAGAAGAAACTCTTAAATGAAAAGAAGACTTTGTAGTTATAATGTTCCCCCTTCCTTTTCTGTGGGTATCGGAAGAGGCAACTAAAGGAAAGACTTAATGGTCGAGGAATGGCTAGTGGCGTCGCTCTTAAAACATCACCAAAAGCTTAACTGCGGTTGCCAATCCGCCTGCCAAGCGTGGCGACTACTGGCAAAACTCCGAAAAGGGGAGGCTTTTGTTCAACAGTGGACAGTTAAAAGCTCTTGAAAAAATTATCACGCTAATTTCGGATAGAGTATTTAAAATTAACTTACCTATATGAGGCATGTAATGTACATTCCGGTCCAAAGTCAATACAGCCACGTCGAATCGGTCAGCTTGGGGGGTGAACTTGAACAATGGATGGACCTTTATTGATCTGACGCCAAACGTGTATGCCGGTAAGGGTTCAGCCGCTGAGTTTATGACATAATCGCCGAGAGTGACGCGCACGTGGCGAGGCTGGGCGCGGGCAACGCAGTGCCCCGCTGTGACCACGTGACGCCGGGATATGAGAGATCCACCACACCTGAAATGTGACAATATTTGATTAATAAGTATATGTATTTATTTCTTTACAAAAATTTTTGAGGTCTTTTTTATTTTTCAGAATTACATGCTATTTTGCGGAAGTCCATATCACTGGTTATTTGATTGGAATTATTTTGTTTAATTCCGCTACTATTAGTATGTGTATGACTGCCAACGTTAATAATAATAATGGCAGTCAAATTTCAAGTATTAGCAGTCGCACACATACTAATAGTAGCGGAATTAAACAAAATAATTCTAATCAACTAACCAGTGAAGGGTCTTACGAGTACCAGAAGGAATAAACTTTACTCCACAAAAAATAGCAACTTCAATCGTGACGAAACCAGTTATTTCGATTATTAAATTTAAATACTGGACCTATTTCGATAAAATTTCTATATAACCAATTTATATTTTATTTTTAAACGGAAATGATTGGTTGTCACGATTGAAGTAATTTTTTGCAACGGACTTCAAAAAGAAGGAGATTCTCAATTAATTTGTATTTTTTTGTTACCTCATAACTTCATCAGTTGTAAACCGATTTGGAAATTTCTTTTTTACCTAAATTAATATGCTTACAGGTGAGTCTCGTAGAAATTTTATCAAAATCGATTTATTAGTTTCGTTTTTTAATAAAAATACGATTGAAGTTGGCCCTTTTTTGTGGAATAAAATTTACTTCTTCTAGTACCCTTGACTGGTTAGTTTGAATTAAAATTATTTTGTTTAATTCCGCTACCGACTTCTTTAGCTAAGAACTTCCTTCTTTTTCAAGTCATTTGAAAATACTAAAGAAGACGATTAGACTTAATAGCACAGTATAAAGAAATCTATTTTTTTATATTGTCTTAATAATATACAAAATAGAATTTAAATAATTATTATAATATATTATTATATATAAAGAAAAAATTGAAAAAAAACTAACTAGATAGAAAATATATTTAATATATAAGATTTAATATTCTCTCTGAAAGAATACAGTAAAATAGGGAAAAGAAAAAATAAAAGTGAGTAGGTACATTTTTCTCCCCAAAAAAAGCGTTTTTAACAAGTATTTAATAATGGGTTTATGAACTGTCTCAAGCGTTTTGAGACAGTTCATAAACCCATTACTAAATAACGAAGTTACATTACCATATAACTTAATTGCCTCTAATAAAGTTTAAATCCGAATTGCGTAGAATTTTGATGCGAATAGAATAGAAATTGTCTTTATTCAAATAAACTTGTTTATGAGCTCTTTTAGAACGTCATTTCTTTATGATTCTACTACTGGGTTCGGGATGTTATCTGCCGAGAGGAACCCGCAGGAAACTTGACAGTTATTCTTTTTTAAATTATTATGTTTTTTAAACAACTTAGAATGGCAAACGAGCTGACGACCTGGTGGAAAGTGGTAACCGTCACCTATAGACAAAAGCAATACAATGGACATAATATAATATACTGTTTCGCCCTTGTTACACCCCATGTGTTGCCATTCCTGAGAACTCAGGTGTTATTCCTCTATACCGTGTACAAGATAATTTTAACCCATGTAAACGGGTTCTGTGGCTATAATTGGAATTAAGTACTATTTATATGTTTGATTAATAATTCTTAATACAATTTGGACATCCTCTTGACAGATTCGTCATTTTAAAATCATTATTTATTTATATATAATCATTATATATTACACATTTGAAGTCCAAAAGGCAGTCTTATTACTAAAGCAATCTCTTCCAGACAGTCTTTAAGTAAAGGAGAAACGAAAGAAAAATTACTGTAGATTCTTTTATTATTATTGTGTAATTATAATAATGCAATTTATTTAATTTAATTCATTAATAAAACTGAATAATTGATTGATTGATTGATTGCTTGTTTGATTAATTGATTGACTGACCGATTGAATTGATAACAAATATTTTAATTTTGAACGCGAAATTATGTATTGGTAAACAGATTTTGCTTCGCAAAAAGCTGTTTTTTGCTCCGCAAAGAAATACAGCACCTTTGTTCGTCACAATATTAATATCAATTTATATTTTAATGTAAACACTCTAACTTACGTGTATTTTAATCGAGAAAACTCGAGTATTTTCTGGACTGTCCAGGACCTTTAGTCATAGGCTGGCCTATTGGGGAAATCTATTTATGTAACGATTGATCGAGCTGTTAAGGCGTTAAAAGATAACAAACTCACTTTTTTTTTTTAAATATTAACAGAGATAATACAATTAATAGACCATTATCATCCGTAACAGACTATAGTACTAAATTGAACTGATAAGAAAATAAAGAAATACGCTGATAAATTTTTACCTAATTAAAATGGCGTATACGAGATAATGTAATAGATATATGACATAACCATGAATTACATATGAATGAATGAATAAGTATACTTTATTTGTATTATACAATATAGGTAATTGACTAATATAATGATACAGTTGTATAAGTACAATAAGGCGGTCTTATTGCTAAGAGCAATCTTTCAAGATAACCTTAGGGTAATAGACTAATTGTTGTACAAGTAGGTATGATATATATATATATATATATATATATATATATATATATATATATATATATATATATATATATATATATATATATATATATATATATATAGTTATGTCATATTCAGGCTCTATGTTACTTCTAGTTAAATCTTTTTTATATTATTTCTTTTTTTCTTTTATTTATAAATATTATTCCTTTTCTCGCCGTATATGTCCCGGCATAGAATGGGCCACTGTTACCTTTCCCGTGTGTGTCGTAAGAGGCGACTAAGGACGAGAGATGGGCAGCAACGTCCCTCTTAAAACATCTCTAAAAGCTTAACTGCGGTTGCCAATGCGCCAGCCAAGTATGGCAGCTACTGGCAAAACCCCCCAAGGGAGAGGCTTATATCCAGCAATGGACAATTGAAGGCTAATATGATGACCAAACCGAGGATACACGCAAAAGAACCAAAGTAACCGACATAGTCTGAAGGATAAGCAAGCTGAAGTGGCAATTGAACTTGTCACATAACTCGAAGAACCGACAACTGACTGATGGAAGAAAGCTTCTTGAGTGGCGACCTCGTACGGGCAAACGCAGTGTAGGACAACCCACCACTAGATGGAGTGACGACCTCGAATGCATTGCAAGGAGTCTGCGGATACGGGTGGCTCAGGACCGTTCCTTATGGCAGTCTATGGGAGAGGCTTATGTCCAGCAGTGGACAGACAATGGCTGAAATGATGATGATGATGATGAATTAAACCTTTCCTTTTCATAATTTTGGTCCAAAAAAATTGGAACGCACAAATAAAATCACTTGTCACTCGCCTCTGAAACACGTGACAAACGGATTGCATCAAACTAAGTAACCTTTTTTTTATGCAACTTAGAATCTTATTGTAACATTCCTTAACAATAGTTGCAAGTCGACAAACTAGCGTAATTGGTGAAATTATATGTTTAAAGTAGTGATGTGGCGAATTATTCGAGTTAATATTCGAGTACTACGCTAATATATAATACTCGAATTACATGAATCGATGAGTACACTTTATTTGCATTTTACAATATAGAAAAGAAAACATCACAACCAATAAAGAGTGTTTTTAATTCGATTTTTTTAACTTTATTCTTACAAAAATTTTAAATTTTTCATAAATTAATAAGTTTCCTTAGTAATGTATTTAATATGGACATATTTGTAAGAGTCAACCCACATTTATTTCCTCAATTGTCTGACAGAGACATTAGACGAAATAATCGCTTATATATGTGTATGGCTGCAGATAAATATTATGTGTATGACATCAAAAATCTACAATAAAATTCCAGAACAATACAAATGTTTAAACAAAAAAATTGTTTAAGAAAAAATTGAAATAATACTAATTTATAAATGTTATAATAACATTGTTGAATTTTTAAATGATAATTTTTAATAAGGCATACCTAAATTTAATTATACAGATATTAAGTACTCTCTATTTAAATATTATTTAAATTTTAAAATAAATACTGTTTAATATTTTGAATTATTATTATTTGTTATTATTATACTATTATTGACATTATATTATCTGCAATATATATATATATATATATATATATATATATATATATATATATATATATATATATATATATATATATATATATGAAAAACACACTAGCAACATTAGAGTATCATAAATACTTGAAATCTGTATTCGAATACCGTGTATTCGAGTTTTGTACACTGTATTCGAATTTTTATGTATGTAGTAGTTATTCCAGTCGATACTCGAATGAATCTGACACATCACTAACTTTAAGTATCCACGTACGCACTATAACTTAGTTATTGTGAAAAAAATAACAATAGAATTTCACATGTTGATTAACGATGAGTTAATCAATTAACGGTTTGTACATTTCCTTGTTAATTAATAACTAATTACATTGGATTAATCTTCGTTTTAAGTAACTTCCCAAAGATCGCGTAACATACCGAGTAGAATGAACGTAATACGAATCAGGAAACTGCTCGTTCTCGATTCGCCTGTTTTTCTGTACTTATATATATTAGTAATTGACTCGGCAAACGTTGTTTTACCATATACATTATTTCGAGAACAATACATAAAAATATATCGTACTACAATTATTATATTCGATCGCCATCTTGCATTCCTATTACGGCATATAAAAATTGGGTTTAAAAAACAGGGGTTGATCGTAAAAGCGTGAAAATTTGAATTTGTATGTATGTTTCAATGCTAAATCATGATAAAATAAAAATTTTAAAAAAATTACAAAAAAAATATAAATGTATAGACGACGGTTATTTTACATCAGGTGGATCGCAGCTTGTTTGACATTTTAAGTTGTATAAAAAAAAAATTAGCAATAGATCACCCTTATCATTCAGGGGTATGAAAAATATATGTTGGCCGATTCTCAGACCTACCCGATATGCACACAAAATTTCATAAAAATCGGCAAAGCCGTTTCGGAGGAGTTTGGTAACAAACACCGCGACACGAGAATTATATATTAGATATCACCGTATAGGTCTAGGCATACAATAGGCCACCCCTTCCTTTTCCGTAAGTCGTAAGAGGCGACTAAGGGAGCGTATGTTCGAGGGAAGAGCATCAAGCGTACCTCTTGAAACATCTCTTAAACCTAACTGCAGTTGCTAACCCACTTGTCAAGCGTGGCAATTACTGGCAAAAGCCCCTTTATGGGAGGCTTATATTCAGCAGTGGACTGTTACGATTATGAACATTATATGAACATGAACAAACATATACATTGTTAGTAATACATATAAAATATATATACATATATATATATATATATATATATATATATATATATATATATATATATATATATATATATATATATATATATATATATATATATATATATATATATATATATATATATATATATATATATATATATATATATATATATATATATATATTTGTTAATATATAAAATACAAGAAGAGAAATGTGCGAAAAAGTCGGTGTATCTATTTTTTTATACTATACTTTAATACACTACATAAGAAAACAACTGTATAGTCTATGATTCAATATAATAATTATTTATTTTACAAAATATCCAACTAGCTTTTTGCCCGCTACTTCCTACGCGTAGATTTCAGGAGTAGAAAAACCAAAAAAAAAATTAAAAGCACTACTTCTAAACGGTGTATGTAGATAAAAGATATATTTAAAAGACTAAACCGTTCAAAAAAAAACGTTCACGCTCACTTTTTTACTTTATCCGAGCAGTAAGTGCTTTATATTATTCTCAATTTAGTGTATAATATAGTATATGTCATATATGTGTAAGTATATTTGTTATTCATATATATTTATTCGTTTATATTTATGTAATTTTAGTATGTATGTATATCAATAATTACTAGTACCGCATTCGTGTATTCTGACACTTCCCTATGGTTGACTGGGAGAGAATGATTTTAGCATTAAGTCCGCCATGTACACATATTTGTACTAATGAATAAATAAATAAAATAAAGCCAGATTTTAAGTTAAACCTTTATGAACACAACTATAAAAACCGCATCCAATTTGGTACTGTATTTTTGATAGCGTGAAACCGGAATAAAGATGTCTATGAGAGACAGCGAGACAAAATTTTTAAACAATATTATTTTACCTTCTATGACTCTTATTAAAGAGATATTTAAGAAAAATTTATATAAGAGATCTTCCCTTGTATCAAATTTTCTTAAATATCTCCCATGTTAGATATGGGAGAATATGAACATGGGAGATATTTAAGAAAATTAATTGTTTAGTTACAATTTTATTATATTAATAAGTTTATATTTTCCACTACAACTACTACTCAATTTAACTACGATATACACTTTTAAAAGCATTACAGCCCCTACAAACAACTATAAGACAAAGTAATCCCTTTTTATAACTCCACTACTTTTTACAAGCTTTCATGAAAATATAAAGAATATAGCTAGTATGAAGGAATATTGAAATGCCAAAATAAGTACGTGACTTAACAAATTTTTTTAAAGTAATGTAAGGTAATATTTATTACGTAAAATATTTATGTGATTTGGTGTGTAAAAATTATGAATTATCTGCGACTACTACGTTATGTTGGAATCGGCAGAACGTGTTTGAGTTGTTTCCTATAATTTAAGATAATTTTGTATCCATACTTAGATAAATAAATGAATTGAATTTATATTATATCATAATACTATTGTATGTACTGTAATACTACTAGCTTTTATTCACGACTTCGTCCACATAACCGAGATATCCGACTGATCCGGACACATGAAACATAGAATTCAATTAGAAATCTTATCAAAACCGATTCAAAAGTTTTTAAGAGAACTATTTATTTATTTATTCATTAGTACATATATGTGTACATGGCGGACTTAATGCTAAAAGCATTCTCTCCCAGTCAACCATAGAGAAGTGACAGAATACTCGAATGCGGTACTAGTAATTATTACATACTAAAATTACATATATCTGAAAGCTTCTTCTTTTAAACCGGTACATAACTAATAGAATTTGTTTATTTTTTTTTATTTACTCTCAATAGAGAGTAATTTATATTATTACATGTATTCCATGTTTAGAATTAACAGAAATTAACATCGTGCCTCCGAATAAACTGTTTATAATTACTCCTCTCCATCCAAAGGTTGCCTGGAAGAGATCGCTCTTAGCGATAAGGTCGCCCATTGTTTTCTTATTGTGATTATTTCTTGTAATTGTTTATATTTATAATAAGTTTACTATTGTAATCTTTTGGAGGAAACAATAAAGAGTATCTATCTAGCTATCTATCTGTTTATCACGCAAAATTGTTATGAAAATGTTGACCCGCTTTTCTCGAAGTATTTGTATGGGGACACTACTCTATCAATGTAATGTAAGGCTGTATTTTATGTACAAAATAATTAAAGATACATGAACTGTTCACTCTTGCGCAACTGAAGTGGATCGCTAGTTGAAAAACGGATACAAATTGGTAATCTTCTCCTTTTGTAATGTTAAAAAGTATTGTATTGTACTGCTGACAAGCTCCAATTGTTGAACGCAATATAGTATTGTGTGACAATTCTCTCGTTATGTCACAATATAACTCTTGTCATAGTGATATTATTATTACAGTATTTTTGTAGTTAAGGTCAAAATATCCAACCTTACTAATAGTGCAAATGTGAAAGTGAGTTTGGAAACCTAAAAAATCTTCTTAAGCCCTTAATAGTTAAGGTTCTTTTTTCAAACGTTTTCTTAAAGTAGGGAGACATTCTTCACCAGAGGGAGACTTCGTACAAAAGTCGATTGCTTGGGCACCTCTGTCCTGTGTCTGTGGGATATGGCGTGAATTTACTGGGTACAGAGGAATAACACCTGGGTCCTCAGGAATGGCAACGCATGAGAGGTATCATGGGCGAAACAGTATATTCTGTTATGTCCATGGTACTGCTCATGTCTATAGGCGATGGTTACCACTTTCCATCAGATTGGCCGTCGGCTTGTTTGCCATTCTAAGTTGTATAAAAAAAAATAAAAAATAAAAAAAAGGTTCTCAATTCGGTTAACTTTTTTATATGTTGTTACCTTATAACTTTTTTGCAGATAAAGTCGCAGGTAAAAGCTAGTAATTAGTAATTATGTAAAGAGACTAACTGTCATACAAAAATTTATTGATTTTCTTTTAAATATTTTATATTTAAAACATTTATTTTTGATATATTTATATCGAACTGGACAATGGAATATAATGAAATTAGAACGTTTGTCAATTCCAACAATTTTATTTATATATTTTTTTTACTTTACTAGGGACCCGCCCCGGTTTCGCACGAGTGCAATGCTAACTGGCGCCGCCGGCCCCCCATTACTTTAGAAACCTCTAAAATTATTAATGTTTCTCTGCTATATTTTATATGTATTGTACATATAAACCTTCCTCTTAAATCTCTCTATCTATAAAAAAAAAACAGACAGACAGACGGGAATCGACTTTGTTTTATACTATATAGTGTACATATCGTTACAGGATACATCCTAGTTCGACATGTTGCTACAAACAACATTAAGTTTAAATTTTACAATAACAAATAGTAAATATCCCAGCCCTTGTGAACTCCGTCAGATTCGAAACTTAATAAAACAAGTGCTCTAATAATGATGCGTACTGGAGCAAATTTGTTTTAGCCTAAGATACGGCAAATTGTTTCCACTTCATCTGTAAGTACTCTTTTTTTAAATAAATTAAAATTTATTTTTTTAATGTTAGACTTAATTGCAACTAACTCTATTTATCTACTAACCATAGCCACAGAGTAAGTAATTACTTGACAATACCAACTAAAAAGACGAAAGTAGATTGATTTAGAACAGAACAGAATCATAGAAGAAATCAAAACTATTTCCCTTTTCATAAATTTAAAAATAAAAAAGTAATTGAAGTATGTTTAAAAAAGAAGTACGAAGAATAAATCGATCGACTAAAGACAAAATTAATCGAATAAATAAATCGATTAATTTTATTTTGAATCGATTCAAGGAAAGTTGTACATTTTATGTAAATAATATTTACAACATTCCACTACGGCTACTACAACTACATTTAAGAGGTGGATATACAGAACGCATGCTGTCTCTTTCGCACATTTACCTCTCTATCCAACACTGTTTCCAACCAATAAGCTCGAAAATGGACATGAGCATGTTGCATCTGAAAAATTAATGTATTAATATTTATTATTAGTATTTATTAGTGCACACACAAACACGCACACAAATATTCCAATCGTTAGACTTTATACACAACAAAGGTGATAATAAAGCATACGGCCAGCCTACAAGGTGGTAGGCGGCCACCACCTAAATCTATGAGCAATTGACGTGTCAAGATTGCCTCGAACACCTGCCAGATACTAGCGTATTCAATATACAAAATTCGAATATAAAATATTCAAAATTTCGAATAAATGATTTGCGATATTCGAATATTTGTCGAATATTTATCATAAGTTTTTATATTTCTGTTTCATTGAGATTTTATTATTTAAAGATAAAATCAAAAAGTAAACTTTAGTAATCAAGTGGTGAATTACTCAAATTTGATGAAATACTTAAGTACCCATACAAGTACTCAAACACTTGTATCTAAAAATCGGCTGCAGACTCGAGTCTGGGGATTCGATTCTTTTTTTATCGAGAACCAAAGTACAATAATACCAAAAAGGTCGACTTGGCACATCACTACTGTAATATCAACCCCCTTATACTGATACGATCCGTAGATACATCTTCATTACCACACACATGACACATGACAATAGATATTACTATCTCGTTCTATCTGATGTATAGAGTAATAAGTTCATATCTATTGCAAGATTAATTTGTCTTCTTTTAGCTACAGATTACGACATTAGAACACGGTGTCACATTCTATAGCAATTTTAAATTTTAGAATAGTTGATAAAAGACTACATAAATATGGCTGTATATGTATTGGCCCTGTGCATTTAGAGACAGAATAATAATCTAGGTCTATAAAAAGACAAAAAAAAATGTTCTATCGATTGTCTATGGCGCCAGGTGTATTAAATTTCCCGCCAACGGACGTAAAACAAAATGGCGTCACAGATTATTATATAAATTGAATTGTGTCTATAATTAATATAATTTTGTAGTAAAATAGTTATCTAACGATTGAAATATTTGTACGTAAGCAATTATAATTACACAATTTAACCATTAACCGTTATTTACAATGTATATTATGTAAGTATTAGTTGTAAGTACAAAACATGTATATTAAGTAGCCATTCTTATTAAAATTCAAAATATCTCCTATTAAATGCAAGTTATTTGCTTATTTTAAAATAAACAAACATATACTAATGATTAAAAAGTCACTGTTTATGAAATAAAATGAGTTTACAACAAACAATGGCCTCTTAATTCTTTTTTTATTACAATGAGTGATAAACATGCCCTCGCTGTCGATAGACGCTGGCGGGGCACCAGTAATGGCAGTGGAGGATTAAAGCAGATCAGTTGGCCCATTTACATGGCATAAATACATAAAGATGATTTCCAATGGGAAAACGATCTGACAAGTCATATTGCTAGCAATAGCACCCTAAATCCCCCATTACTAACAATCTTGTACCCTCAGAAAAGTTAATTACAGCCTAAACATATTTATAATCACTTCTGAAATATCTAAACGATTTGTGTTTTGTGTTTTTTTTTTTGTTGTGTTTGTATATACAAATCGCTGTATACTCGTATATAAATGTGTCACTTTTAACTAGTGCGACCTCTGGCCAATTTATGTGGACTTCTGAACTGGGCTTTTCTGAGGATATTAACTTCGAATCTTCAGAAAAGCCAATGTTTTCCGAAATATAGCAAAAAAATTCCTTCTATATTTATAAAATACTTTTTAGAGATATCTTTGATAGAAATCTCACATGCTGAAAATCACCCAAGTGTAGATTTCTAGGGCATTATGCAAAATGATAGGAAAGGCTTATGTTCAGCAGTGGACAGATAACGGCTGAAATAACAATAATAATACAAAATGTCATTTATAGAAGCGTGGCAACACAAATATGTTGGGATTGGACATAAAAATAACAGAAATATGCACGTAGAATTCGAAAGATAGGCCAAAGTCGTGATGCCCTACAAAATAACAGCTGCACCAACAAGATCGCATCGCTCAATGAATGAAAGGAATTAATGAATAAATTGAAATAATGAATAAATTAAAGATACCAAAGAAGTGTATAGATAAAGCATTAGGTGTTAAAAACGGGGCAAATTTCACTTTACCAAACGTCAAAATGACACACATACAAACACATTTTTAAATAAGCATTTGTATGGCGACTCTCCATCTATATAATCTAAGTTGAGTACGTCTATGGTTGAAGTAGTGTGATTAAAGTGAGATTTAAACAGAAGGGGGATGTAATAGTAAAGATAGAAATGAAGATGTTGCATTAAAGTGGCTACTTAATCCAAAGAAACCAGAACCAAAACCAGAAACCAACAAAAGAACACCAGAGGGAGACTTTGTACAAAAGTCGATTGCTTGGGTACCTCTGTCCCATTCGTGTTTCAACCGTGAAGCAGTTGTGTTTGCATGACTATGTTTCGGTTTGAAGGGTGGGATATGGCGTGAATTTACTGGGTACAGAGAAATAACACCGGAGTCCTCAGGAATGGCAACGCATGGGGGGTGTCATGGGCAAAACAGTATAGTCTGTTATGTCCATGGTACTGCTCAGTCTATAGGCGACGGTTACCACTTACCATCAGGTGGGTCGTCAGCTTGTTTGTCATTCTAAGTTGTATAAAAAAAAGAAGAATTAAGACGAGGATTTATTGAACACGAATGAGTGTAGATCAGTAAAGGTCGCCTAGAGAAACTTACTCATATGTCGACCAAATAGAAAACGTGCTGGGATAAGACCATATTAGAAATACCCATAGGTTAAGCTATGATAGAGGTGACATATCCTTATAGGACAATGATCCCTATCCATCCCATCCCACCCATCCCTTAAATAGAAAAAGATTAAAAGTACCAATAACCGGCGAGCGTGTATGAAAATATTAACCCTCTGACCGCTTATTTTTTTTTTTTTTACAACAATAAAACACATCTGTTTGTCAACAAATAGCAGTACGAGTGTTTAGCCATCTAGCGAGATACTGAGAAACAATATCAATGTACCAAAACAAAAATCGCGGGATAACAACGTCGATAAACATAAAAAGTGCGAGCACGTCGTAAATCAAGGGATGCGTACAATTAAACTAGTAGATACTGCACTCGGAAATCGCGGGTCAGAGGGTTCATGAATGTGGAAGAAGCGAAAAAGGTCTTATTGAATCGGAGCATTTGATATTCCATTGTTTCTGTCTGCCTTAATTGAAGCCATGTGTGATATGCATGTAGGTATTTTGTTACAATAATACCATTTTTTTTTCTTTTAATGGGTGATAATGAAATGGTAACCCCACCCGCGCTATCGTTATACACCGGCGGGGCACCAGTGAAGGATGATAGGTGAGGATGAAGCAGGTCAGTTAGTCCATCGTGACGAATTCAACAAGAATTGTTCACGATGGTTTCCAGGGGGAACCACGTGGAGATCGACCTAATAAGGCATATTGCTAGCAAAGGGGCTGTCAAACTCCATTGCTAACAATCCATTTCCCCCCAATAATACCATTTAAGAATCAATAATGAAACCATTGTCTAGTTTCATTATTCTATTTTGAACTATTAAAAATTACAGTCAAAATTCCTAACCTGGCTTAGAATTATTTTTAATCCTTCTTTGCATACTGGTGGAAATTTCAATCATAACATTGAATGCCCAAAAATTATATAAAAGAACAAGTTCACTTTAAGATGATCGTGTCTGGTTACCATTTTAAAGTACATTGCAGAAAAAAAAAACATAGCTGTCAAATTTATTTTTTTAACAATTTTTCCTTTAATTTTGAACATGAATATCGTTTATATATGTAATTTTAGTATGTATGTATATCAATAATTAGTAGTACCGCATTCGAGTATTCTGACACTTCCCTATAGTTGACTGGGAGAGAATGCTTTTAGCATTAAGTCCGCCATGTACACATATTTGTACTAATGAATAAATAAATGAATTATATCACCTTGATTTATTTCACCAATAAAAAAATCATGCAAAGAAGGGTTAACTATCAAAAAATAATCGAAGTTTATTTTCTTAATAATTATTGATCAGTTAAGAATATTGACTGTAACCAACTATGTATATATTTAAACATATTTATATTAGTGTTTTAGTAAAATATTAATAGAGTTAATGTAAAATATACAATTTGTACAAACAAATAAAAATTATTTTTATAAAATTACGTTATGTATGTTTTTTTTTTTCATTAAAATATAAAGAGAATATACTTACGAAACTTGTAACGTATTTCATTAAATGAAATGAAATTATCTATTTTATAGTTGAATATAAAAATAAATATATATATAATTATATTCAAAAACTTGTAATAAATGTATCTAAGTATCAAATTAATAAAAATACTTAAGTTAATATTACCTTCCCATATTCATAAAACTAAAACAACCTACAAACCTATTTTAACTAATTAGAGTTTGTCTCTGTCTTTCAAATTGAGAAATTAGCGTAAAAGAAAAGGACAAAACACTTCAATAGTTAAAACAGGATTATGAGAGCTATAAGGTTTTTATGAATAAACAGGGTAAGCTTATATAACTAATATTAATAATAAATACAGAGCGAAATGAAAATCTTTATCATCCTTTGAAATGAGCTTGTTTGCCATTCTAAGTTCTATAAAAAAAAAAAAAAAAAAAAAAAAAGCGAAACTGTACATTTTCAATAACAAACTGTGGAGTACAGGCCACATATATTGTTTATAGCTATATATTATTATTTACCAAATTCGAAATTGACACGCATATCTATTGTTTCCTTTTGGCTTGCCTTCACGGCCGTAGTCTTCTAAGTTCCTTTAATCATTATACATATATTTCCAATTTCCATTCCTGGTTTCCTTTGTCGCCCGCACAGACAAAGGAAGAAAAGAGAAAAAAATAAAAAATTATGTCCTGCAAAAAGAAACCGACTTTTGAATATGACAAAACCGGTTATTTAGATCTAGAAAGTAAACTACTAAACAGATTTTCATAAAATATCTATGAAAGCTATCTGTATTTAGTATATCCTTTTAGATAAAAAAAAAAACTTCAAATCGATTTAGAATTGACGGTGTTATGAGGCGACAAACGTAACAAAAAGAATAATGGAATTGAAAACCTCCTTTTTTGGAATCACAGTCCAAGAAAACATATTATATATTAACATATATTGAAAAAGTAAAAAAAAAAATGCAAAATTACTGAAACTACAATGTTTCCTTTAAATATTTTAATATTTGTCAAATAATTTTCAATTTACTCCTAATTTTTTTTTATTTATAACTTTGCAAAAATACCCCCACTTTCGAATTACTTAACCTAAAAAATAACTATGCCAAGTATCAAGTTTGCAACAATTTTTCCTCCATTTTTAAACATATTTCGACAACCATTTGTTTTTTTGAAAAGTGAATTTTAAATTAAGACTTTTTTCAAAGGATAATATTGATTTTTATATCACTCTGTATAAAAATAATATATTAATTAATTTAAAAATATTATTATAACCTTGAAGATCCTATCCGAATGTATGCTTGCCAGGGGAATGTGCCAAATCCGGCGTCGTCGCCGCCAACTATTCTTCTTTGGGCCGTTTGCTTACTGACCGCTATGCCACAGCCTGAAAATAAAAAAAAAATATTTAATATATATCGTCTTTACTAAAACCATAATGTATAATTTAAAAAACATTATGATTTTCTAAACTTTATTCTAAGAACTAATATAAACCAAATTTTTATTAGCATTAAATCAAAATTATCCCATCAAAAACATAAAGTGTAAAAAAGTGCCAAGTCTCGTCCAATGCAGTTCTTCCACTGCAAAAAGTTGTGAGATCACATGTAAGACTAACAAGTTAGTTATTTTAGTTAGTATTTATGGAAGCATTTATTCAACAACTTTATTATAAATTGTTATCTAATAAATTACCTAACAATATTTATAGTAACCGTATCAATATTTTACATCTTTATTTCTAAATATCAATTATAATTGTTATTTAAAAAAAAAATGTAAATTATTGTATTGTATTGTATAATCTTTATTGTACATAATTCAAATTAAGCACTGATAAATTATTTAATATACAATGGCGGACTTATCCCATAAAGGGATCTCTTACAGTCGACCTTTGAGATGCTGAAAGAAAACTGTAGAATGTATAAGGGTAATAACCGTACAATTAAAGATAAACTAAATAATACCCAGTGAAAAATTGGATAATACGCGTACAATCTTTATTACGAAAGATATTAATCGAGCAAGAATGAATGGAGATGTCGGTAGGGGCCACCCTAGACGGACGTATGTCGACCAAATAGGCGACGTGCTGAAGAAGGGCCAAATTAAAAGTACCCGTAACCGGCGAGCGTGTATAAATAGATTCATGAATGTGAAGGAAGCAAAAGAGGTATGTTTGAATCGAAGCATTTGACGTTCCATTGTTTCTGCCTACTCTAATGGGAGACAGGCGTGACAGATTTGTATGTATATATGCATTTCTATATAATAATTATAATGAATTATGCAAGAAATAAGTATGCTAACCAGAATAAGTGTGCTATATTTATTATTTAGTCTTTATTATGGTTATAATAAATTCATTTATTACAATATATGTTACAGTCAAATTTCGACCACGCAGCGACTACTAGTCTAATCAGTTACCTATCAACATTTATAGTGACAGTATTATTATAAGACATCTTTATTTCTATATTAATTATAATAACTTGGCGATTGCACTGCACCGTAATTATGTATAAAAAATATTTTTTTTTATACATCTTAGAATGGCAAACAAGCTGACGGCCCACCTGATGGAAAGTGGTAACCGTCACCTATAGACATGAGCAGTACCATGGACATAACAGAGTATACTGTTTCGCCCATGATACCCCCCATGCGTTGCCATTCCTGAGAACTCAGGTATTATTCCTCTGTACCCATAAAATTCACGCCATATCCCATCCTTCCAACCGAAACACAGCCATGCATACACAACTGCTTTACGGTTGAAACACGAATGGGACAGAGGTACCCAAGCAATCGACTTTTGTACAAAGTCTCCCACTGGTTCTTCACGTATTAATATAATATATAGATAACAGTATTTCTCTTTGCATACATAACTAAATCAAATAAATCATTAAATGGAATTTCTCATAGTTGGAATTGTGATCTTTTTAATACTGACGCATTCATCATCATCAGCATTCATATCAACTTTTAACTGTCCACTGCTGAGCATAAACCTCCCCCTTAGGGGTGTTGCTAATAGTTGTCATGCTTGGCAAGCGAATTGGTAACTGCAGTTAGGCTTTAATGATGTTTTAAAAGACGCTGCTGCTCATCCCTCGCCCTCCTTTAGTCGCCTCTTACGACACCCACGGGAAAGGAAGGGGTGGCCTATCCCATGCCGGGACCACATGGCCAACTAACTACTTCACTAACACATTGAAGTTAAGAAAATTTATGAATACAAAATCTGTTTACTGGCTTGTTTTCATTCTCATCTATCACCCTTCACTGGTGCTCCGCCAGCGTATTCCGTTAGCGCAGGCGGGGTTACTGTACCATTTTCACCCATCAAAAAAAAACTACATTGCATTTATTAATATTTCAAGCTGTTATTACGTCAATGTGAAACGCGTTTGACTTCCATTTATACAGACCTCTTTCGCCTCCTCTTTTCACTAGATCCATCATTCTATTTATACAAGCTCGCCCTTTACGAGTATTTTAAATTTGGCCCTTTATAATGTAGGTACTATTCTTAATCTATGCTTTATAAGCTTTATAAACACGTTTGGGCATGCATAGACAGAGAATGACAAATATTACGTTTAATCTATCTAAGCACGAGATCTATTGAGGGCGACTTATCAACGTATTAAAAAGCGTATGTGCCTAACGTACGCTTTTTAAATACGTACACTAACGACCATAGATAAATAACTCCCACTAGCTGAATCCCGTGGACTTACGCACGTGAATCATTAGTTAAAATATAATATATGTTAAGTTATTAACTTAGATTACATAGATAAGGGTGTCTCTGTACAAATGAATCGAAAAAAGCGGATCAACTTTTTCGTACATTTTTGCGTGATAAATAGTTATGAGTGATTCCTTTATAACTTCTATATTTATTTGTGTTATAATTTTTGCATCTTTTTAATGCGTAAAAACTCATTTTATTCATTAAATAATTAAATATAGATATGTGAAGATACATTGTGTGCGTAAGTATATAGAACACTGATAAAAAAATCGAGTCAACTATTTGACAATAAGCTGGCACAAATTTGACCCCTTTTTGGGGCTCGAGACTCTATCTATATAATTTAATGTTAAAAACCTACTCGAGTATCAAATTTCAATCAAATCTGTTCATTATTTATTAAGTTAAAAAGTTATAAATCCGTCCACCTATCCTTACAAACTTTCGCCTTTATAATATTAATAAAATTTATCTACATAGGAAAAGTGGTTGTTATTCTTATCTATTGTAGGTAATAATAAAACAAAATATATCCTTAGTCTATGCTGTACCTTCGTAATTATATTTCCTTCTTAGATCACGGAACTTTCTTTTAACTTTATTGCGTGCAGAAATCACTTCTAATATAACCAGTATCACGATTAACAATAATATCAAATGCTTCATAATTATTGTATCTATTTAAATAGTTCGTATTTTAGTAATACATTTTAGATTAAGTATTCATATTTATACAAATAATTTAAATGTAAACTAATTATTTTTCATTGATAAATTACCGAATTTAAATCTAACTGGACGAAGACAATATCTCGCTTGATTTCTTATCATTATTGTAAACCCCGTGAATGAAATTGCGAGCAATACAGGAAATAATATTTCTAAACACTTCCATATTTAAAAATAAAATACTTGCTACAACTTTCCCGCCATCTGTACTTCAAGACACAGATTAAAATTTATTAAAAATTGTCTATGGTATTACACAGGATTACAGATTAAGAACACAAATTATAAAGCCAATATATACATTACACCACTGGTTTTTTTAACAACTTTACACGCAACATAAGCATTACAATTGTCGATTATAACTGAAGTCTAAATTCGATTCAGGCATCGATTATTTACGTAAACCCAAATGTTCGTTTTGTAATCCGAAATTCGTTATTTTAGTGCAATATATTTACGCCATACGTTTAATGTTACAAGACATTTGTCTTTATCCATTTTTTTTTAATTCATTATGATTAATTTTTTTTTTTTAATTAGCAATGGGTGACAACAAGACAAAGAATTAAAAGAGCATATAGGAATTTCGGGTAAGCCTTTTAGTAATTGTAAATTACATATTTATAATATTATTACTAATTAATAAGGCTAGTGTTTTGTAAACAGAATAATCAGGACGAGCTAATAAACATAAAATAAATGAGTGAAATGGAACTTTTAAGACTCAATGTTTTAAATGAAATTTAATCGGCTATCCAAACATTCTCTTGCTTTGCTCAATTTTTGCTCTATACTCGATTGTTCTCAGCAATAAGACCGCCTTACTGTACTTATACAATTGTATTAGTTACATTTATTAATTGTCTTGCTTATTCCCCTATATTGTATTGAGTATTTTCATTCATTGTCAATTGGTATTCCTACCTCTGAAATTCACGTGTACAAAAACAGGCAAAAAAACCTAGTTTTTAGTAATAGTAAACTATTGCTCTTGACACTTGGTATCAAGGTATATAACTTCAACTTGAACTTTCTCCCGCGGTTGCGGTTACAAGTTGTACCTACTGTAACACGAGTCAATTTACAGACACCGGGGCCGATTTCGAGGCGTCATTTCTCCAAACCTTCTCTAAATTTAAATTTAAATACAGTATCATAATGAAATGATACGTGCAACGATGGGACCGTGTGGTCCCGGCATAGAATAGGCCACCTTTTCCTTTCCCGTGGGTGTCGTAAGAGGCGACTAAGGGAGGGCGAGGGATGGGCAGCTGCGTCCCTCTTAAAACGTCTCTAAAGCTTGACTACGGTCGCCAATCTACCTGCCAAGCATAGCAACTACTGGCAAACCCTCCCCCCCCCCCCCAGAGTGAAAGCTTATGTTTAGCAATGGACAGTTAAAGGCTGATATGATGATGATGAACTATTTTTTTAATAAATTTACATCAAAATTATTATAATTCTAATCTATGGTGATATACAAAACCAAAGGGAAGACTTTGTACAAAAGTCGTTTGCTTGTGTACCTCTGTCCCATTCGTGTTTCAACCGTGAAGCAGTTGTGTTTGCATGACTGTGTTTCGGTTTGAAGGGTGGGATATGGCGTGAATTTACAGGGTACAGAGGAATAACCTCTGAGTCCTCAGAATTGCCAACGCATGGGGGGTATCATGGGCGAAACGGTATACTCTGTTATGTCCATAGTACTGCTCATGTCTATAGGCGACGGTTGCTACTTCCCATCAGATGAGCTAACAGCTTGATTGCCATTTTGAGTTGCATAAAATAAAACAGTAATTTTTAGAAATTATCAAATTGAAACATTAAATTAAGAGATAAGTTTAAAAAAAGGCTCATCGGAAACGGTCCCACTATCAGTAAAT